GACAAGTTCTTCCCAATCCCCGGCGAAACCAGCCGTTCTCAAATCTAAGTTCATGAGTGTGTGTGATGTTTGGCTCTGCAATTTAAATTCATCAAAAAAACTTCATTTAGGAGGTGGACTTTCACAATTCACACACTTTAGTTTGACTTTTTTTTTTTTTACCCTACTAGAAATTCAGAAATGGAGAAAAAGATGAATCAGTCCTTCAGCCGGACTCAAGCCTGAGTGAACCCAGTCCCTAAAACCAGGTCCTATAACAGTGTGATGCACTTTGACTGCTTTCTGCTTTGACTTCACAGACTGCACAGTTACGTATTCTGTAAATTAAAAATACACCTAATAAATGTGAAAGTGTGTGTTGCTTTTTTTTGTACATGTTGCAATGATGTCTGCACGTCTGAGAGTTCCAGTCAAGTTTGTGTACGTTTGAGTTATCTTTGTGAGTGTGTGTGCATATCATAGCAGGGGTAAAATGCATACAAATGACATTTAACAGACTGTAATCACACACTTTTTATTATGAGATGCAAATATCTTAAAAGAAATTAAATCAGTCTGACAATGACAGATTTCAAGAAGCAGTTAAAACTGAGTCTCTGCAAAAATTGTTTTTTTTTTAACTTTTCAGACAGTGTTGTTATACAAGTTCATGCTACAATAAGTTTCATGTTGTAATTGTAACCTTTGAACTCTTTCTGGTCTTTGCTCACAGCTCCTTTAAGCTTTTTAAGAAACTTCATTCCAGACTGAACAGAGTCATTGTAAATACAGGAGAGCTAAATGTAAAAATATACAAATCAATAATCAAATAATCAAACTAATATATATATATATATTTGTCACAGCTACATAACAGACCAAAAAAGGTCATATTCATACCTCTGGATATTTATTTACTATCAAACACACACGCATCGTCTAGTGTGTGTGTGTGTGTGTGTGTGTATAAACATAATCTAATCCATATGCTATCATGCATTTCCTGAAATAATGTAAACATACATTGCATACACAATGTCTGTTTTGTTTGTGTGTGTGTGTGTGTGTGTGTGTGTGTGTGTGTGTGTGTGTGTGTGTGTGTGTGTGTATTTATCCATTGATTTATTTTCAAACATGTGTATGTATTTATTTATTCATATTAATATAACTTTTAGATTCCACTGTTTTTAAGTTTTTTCAATTTATATTCTTTGGTTTGATTTTTTTGTTTTCATGCAGTTTTTAATTTATGAATAAAAAATGTCAGAAATTTGATTTATTTAAAATTCTTACTTTTTTTAATTACAAAAAGTAATACATTTATTCATATGTTCATGTATTGGGAGATATGCTTATGCACATTTTAACTGTATATTTTGTGAGAAAAAGATAATTCTGTATAATTAGTAAAAAATATATGCTTTGTGATGTTTGCTGATGGAGAAGCAGGATCTATTAAAAGAAAACAGAAAGGTGAAATTCATAAAATCCTCGTAAGTGTAAATTAGAAATATTTCATATGGTTTGTTATCTTATGTTTCTATATGTCCCCTTATTTGTAGGTTCATTTCTCTACTTTACATTTTTTAAAATAAAAAATAAAAAATAAATTCAGTTTAAAGTGTATTTGAGGTCCTCTCATTGCAAAGGGATTTCTTAAAAACTATTTCATAACTCTATCAACAAAATCCTTCATTTTGGGGGACACATGCTGAAAAGATTGAAAACCACACCAAAGCAGTTAACTCTACAGAGAGGTCTATAATGGGAATGTTTTTCCTCAGAGTAAGACAATAAAAAAGTTTGTTTTTTTCATGTCTTATGTAACAGATACAAAGAAATGTTTGTGATTGGAAAATAAATCTCTTAAATGGTCATACTCGGGTACTTACTCTTCACACTTATCTTCCACCAGCACTGAGAGGAAGACTTTGAATGTAAACATCTATATATTTAGGAATCTTTGCTGTACTTTGACTCTACTTTTGTTACTCGAGCATGTGGGTCAAATGAGGTTGTCTTTGTAGGCGTGTCTGCTGCATTGCAGTTTGACATTTGTGCCACAAGGTGGCAGCACTACACAAAAGAGCAGATGTGGTTCTTCTGCCAACTTATCATGATTGGCTGCAGCTCAACATTTTATCAGAGGGGGGAGTCGAGTTTTTCCACTTCGTAAATATGTTTGTGATAAGCACTGGAGTAGATTTTAACATTCACGGTTTTGAATTTAGGATTTTATGCATTATCACTGTGAGTAATTTTTTTTCTCTGGAGTAGCTGTTTCCTTCTGCCAGACAGTGACAGTGCAAAAAGTCTACATTAGTCATCCTCCCCAAAAGGTGTGGAATGACATGTCTGTGAGTCTCAGGTGTCTATTGTGGCAGGCTGAGCACTGCAGAGCTCAGACTGAGGAAGGATCCAGATGCAACTGTGAAGCCATGAGCAGACAGGCAAGAGTCACTTTGCTGGTTGCCAAGGCAACTTACCTGCTCCTCACAACAGCATCCTCATCCCTGAACACAGAGACAGAAGTCTGTCTGATCTGAAAGAGCAACATAGAGAGCGAGAGAGAGAGAGAGAGAGAGAGCATGAGTGCGTACACGCGTGTGCAGGGACGAAATAACAACACAGTGACAGGCAGAAACCAAGCATGCGTTATTATAACACTCCTCCAAAAACAGTCATAAATATCTGATTTTCTCATCAGGACTCATTTTCTCGCTCCTAATGATCCATCTTTTCTTCCTCTCTGACGGGTTAACACATACAAAAAGAAAAACACACACACACACACATACAAGGCATGATGGGAATTCTCACCTTCCAAACAAGCCCTTAGCACAGCTTAAAATTTGGCAGAAGCTGCTCGAACTCACCATGAGTGGGTGGACCTGAAATTCAATGAACGTAAAAAACACAAAGGTTACTTCCATCCACAGCCTCCAAAACTCTACTGGAATATTCAGCAGAAGATTGTTTCAGAACCATTAGTTACTACTATAAATAACTACTATAAATCTGTATCCTTTGAGAAACCTGTTATTAAACTTGTACTCAATAAAAATATTACATGAGACAAACAATTCAACTCAAACTCCAACTTCTGTTTATAGTATAATTCTCAACTGATGTGAAGTTCACCTGGGAAATACAGTGTAAGCTGCTATTTCTTATTTCAGAGCATAAAAAGTATGACTTAATGACCCAGATATGAGATCCTGTTTTTTTTCCCCATCTCTTTTGTGCACCTCTTTTAATCTCTATGACTTTTACTCGACAGAAATGTTTTTTAAAAATCAGAGGGGTGTCTGGGGAACTCAACAACAGTTTACTTATGGAAACTATATAAAAGCAAGTTTCATAACAATTGTTTTTGATATCTAAAATGCTGCAAAAAAAATATCCAACATTTTGGGAGCATTCATTTCAATTCTGCATGTAAATAAAGTGTGAATATCTGTGTCTGCTTCTCTGTCTCAGCGCTCCTCCCACTAATACTGTCTCGCCATTGAAATTTCAGCTTACGCCAAACTTGAATTCAGTGAACCAGATCAAGCCGTCGAGTAACACTCGGCATGGAATCCAGGTTGTTTTTGACAGGGGTCATCCCTCATACAAACAGCATTTATCATTTTCACAGTGTAACAAATAGAAAAGAGGGAAAACAATGAAAGGTGCACTCAACATTAAACACACATGGTTGAATTTCATCTGATGCAAACGCCATTGTGCCACAACAGCCTGACAACACACAGATGACCTTTCATACCTTAATATTCATTAAGTTTCCAGTCCTACAAATGTGTTTAAAATAAGTATGATATCATGAGAATGTTGGGCACACTAGATGTAAACTAAAGAGGACAATCGTCTCCGTAAACCACAACTTATTTCAGAAATGTGACCTTAAATTCATCGGAAAGTTTTGACCGGTAATGTAGATCATACAAATGTTTCATACAAATGAAATGTGCATTTTTACAAGAGTAGTCTAATCATAAAAACTCCAGCCGCCCCTTCTATACTGTAGTGGAGCAGTATCAGACCAGTACTAAAGCCTGGTCAGGAGCAGGGCCATGATGTCAGGCCTGAAAACACGGTGATCCGTTTAGACCAGATCGCAAAAGCTGTCCTGGTTCAGTCTACATAAAATCTTCCAGATACTTTTTGTTCACGGATGTCAGACTCAGAACTCAGAAGAACTCAGAAGGGGTTTTATTGCCATGAACAGGATTCACGGACTAGGAATTTGTTTTGGCATGATGGTGCAACAATAAACAGAGTGTAATATAAAATACTAGAATAAAAACTAATAAGAGCATGCAAGAAATATATGAAGTATAAAAGTATAAAAGGTTATGTACAATGCTATGTACAACTAAACAATCTAGAACAACAGTGCAGTGGGAGGAGTGCAATTAAAAAATCAAAAGTACATTAAACTAAAGTGCCCAGTGATAAAGTGATGGAGACACTTTGCAAGTTGTGAGACTCTGTGTCTTTTTCTTGTTGCGGTCTGATAAGTACAAAATATAAACACACAGTGAAAGTCTCTCACAGTGAAATCTGTGCGTAGGAGTCTGTGACTGTAACTGTGTTTACAGCTGTGAATTAAATGTGTTTTCTCCTGTATCTTACGCTGCAGCTGTCTTCCAGGTGAAAAAGGGGAAGGTTAGTCTCAGTTATCAGCACTACCCCTCTCCATATGACTTAAAAACGCATTGAAATAGACCATCAAATATATGAGCTTTGAGCATTTTGTAACCTGCAATTACAATGTTGTCTCTTGGTTATTTGGGACCCAGGTTGAATTCCATGTTTGCATCAAACCTGAGGGCCTCTTTTTGTTTTCTTAGCAGTGCAGATTCAACCAAACGTGCTAACGGAGGCGGGGAACTGTATGCTAAAAGTGTTCAGACGAGCAACTCGACCCTCCAACAGGAAGAGAAATTGTTGTTCAAACCAGCCAATAGGAGGAGTGGGTTGCCGCGCTGCTCCTCTCAGGGTCCTGTAGGGGCGGTCTTTGCCGTCGAGGACCCACCCCTCAAGGCCGAGGGGTTTGGTTGCACACAGGCTGCAGTTTCAGTTTGTTTTATTCACCATTTTGAGTAGCTGAAGGTAAAAAAATTAAGAATATTTGCGTGAGGAGGAAAGGTCGCTGCCCTACTTTGATTTTTACGCACTAGCTCGGACGGCGGAGTTGTACGCCAGCCTCGCTCCCCCTCGGTGTTTTGCAGAGCGGGAATCTATATTTCTTTTTTTCCAAGTGCTTTTCTTCTCCCCCCTCTTTTCTTACATCCGTAACCTCTACAGTATTCCTGCAAAATGTCAAGACCAGTGAGGTAGGTGTGCTAATTCCGTCCGCAGCTTTCCTCTAACTTAATAACGACACCGTGCTGGCAGCCATTGCAGATAACATGCACGGCTGGACCATGCTGTTTTTATGAGCTGTGAATGTGTTTGTTTCATGAAAAAATAATGGGAATGTGCGTGTGTGTGTTTCCCTCCCGTGTGTGTGTGTGCACCCTCTCTTTTTCTAACATGGATCCCAGCGGTGTGGACTTCGCCATGTCTGTGTCGTGTCTCTCAGGCTTTCCACAGATCCATCATGTGCATTGTTGCCTCTAATGTAGGCCGAGCGAAAAAATTAGGCGGTGTGATTTAACCAGGTCTGTTTTACGGCTCGCTTACTCCAGGCCTTACAATATTTTCCCTCTCTGGCTGAGAATGAGAATATGGCTACCCATTCAAACAGGGGAGGCTCTAAACGCTAATACAACCCCCCCTCCCCACCAACACTGAAAAAAGACGCCCGGAGGAGGTGGTGTCGGCCTCCGGATTTGATCCTGTTACCGCGCAGACTAGGCACGTCGGAGCCGTAGTCCGCTTTATATCGTGTTTTACTGCTACTTCGACATTTTTTTGTCTCTCCAGTCGTATATTAGCAGAAGAAAATGTCGCTGGAGAAAAAAAAGGCAGCGCGGATGTCCACATTTTCAGCGCTGGCTGTAAATTATCAGGCTGGCTGATGTCAGAGGAGGGCGGAGAACCAGGGAGAGTCACCACACCCCCCTCCAATGCGAGACTGGACTGTCTCCAGGCCCCGTTAATGCTAATTAAAACGTCCTTTAAACTTGATTAGAAGTCATGTTGTGCCATCAGATTTCATACATGACTTAAATGCTTCACTTAAACTGGTGGTATTTACAGGTAAAAGTTTGGATATAATTCAGTTTCATGAAGCAGAAGGAAAAATGACACTTCTTTATCTGGGATCTCTGTGTAGGGGGTTGATTTTTATTAAATAACCCCTGAATTATGAAAATATTATGGTAACGTGCAGATGCACCAATAGTAAAATACTGATATCAATTAACCCTCTTTGCATGACTTCTTTGTGTAAAATTTCCACATTGCAAACATTTTCTTTCAAAATCAGTTTGTCTAACAAAGGACCCACTGAGCAACAGACGGCTATATGACGTCTAGTTTTTGTTTAAACCTCATTTCAACCATCTAGATTCTGTATATTTTTAGACAGAATTTAGACGTTGCACTTTAACCCATTATTTGATAACTATTTATTTCAAAAGCAACTGTGAGTTCATAACTGATCTCCAAGTACTTAACCAAAAAAAGTATTATAGCCATTGAGCAATATACAGTGTAGTATAGATATAGCCAAGATTTAAACTTAAATTTAGACGTCTAAAAAACTTTTAAGAGAAACACCAACTGTTCATCTCAAGTTTTGCATTATGAGGGCCAGGGATGAACTGGCAAACAGGAACACAGCTGTTGTTGGACTGCTCAATACTTTGAAGTGTGGGCCGACCAAAAGTTAGGTTGAGGCAGCATTTTCAATCAGGCCACCACCAATAATATGCTTTAAAACTCCTTTGAAGAAAACTAATTGTTGGAACGGCATTAAAAAAAAAAATCCTTAAAATTCAGTGATGTTGATTTTTGGAGATCTCCAAAATCCACAAGTTTAAAAGGATAGTTTTAAAATGGGTGTTAAACACATCAAAGTAAATACTTTATCTGACAAAGATTGATTGAATATCTCTATCTGTCTCTTTCTCTCTGACTAAATTAAATATCAGGGCTTAACATCATTTTTTTTTATTTTTTTACAAGGAGCACATGTGGTGCTAAGTTGAAAAAGTAAGGAGCACACAAAGAACTTTAGGTGCACAAAAATAATTGATCAAACAATGTGTGTCTTATTGGTCGACATAAGTTCTATAATTTAAAATAAATTTTAGGTCAATTGGTCACATGACATGAAAGCAATTGAAGGAAAAAAGCCTTTTTTGAGAACATCAACAGGTATTTTATTGACGGTCCCTTATTCAACACCCAACATTGACATTGACGGTAATGGAGAATGAGAAACTGGTAGACCCGCAGTGAATGGAGTAATGAGATTTAACTGCGGTGCTATTGCCATTCCCGGTTGTGGAGAGTAAGAAGACACCGGCAGATCCGCAGTGCATGTTAGTGGAATATCCAACCTAAAACTAACTTCACCGCAGTATTTACATGAAAAACATTCATTGCCTCGGCTGATTTTTTTTTTTATGCACATGTGTGCTTCGATACATTTTACAATTTGCACACATCTATTTTTAGTTGCATTTGCAAGTGAAATGGTCGCACTGTCGAGCCCTGAGAAGCGTGGGCTGACGAAAAGTTAAGTTAAGGCAACATTTTCAATCAGGCCACCACCACCATATGCTTTAAAATTGTTGGTGTTGCTGAGACTACATTAATAGTCTGTACGGTCTACGGTACGGCATTCAAAAAAAAATCCCTCAAAATTCAGTGTGTATTTTTGGAGATCTCTGCTTAACCCACAAGTCTAAAAGCTTGTATAGATAAAACCATGGATAGTTTTAAAATGGGTTTAAAACACATCAAAGTAAATATTTTATCTTACAAAAATTGATTGAATCTCTCTCTTTCTCGCTTCCCCTCTTTATTGGTGTATTTTGGCTCAAATAAATATGGTCATCGTGTTCAAAGATCTTGTCAAAATCAGGCAAATAATCACCCATGCTTCTTCCAAAATGTCACTACATTACTGTTCTCAAACAAGCTCTGCTCTGGTCCTGTTGCTCTCTGACACTCCTGGTGTCTCTTACTCACATTTCTTCTGTTGTCTTCCTGCAACAAGTGAGATCTCAGGAGATGTCAGAACAACACTTCTCCATCAATGAGATTTGGTTGTGCACAGACTGACATAAGTGGAAGGTAAGGGAAACCCCTTACCTCTCTGGTCTCTCGTTTTGTACAACAATCTGAGCCTCTCGGTCCACTTGTAGTGGAGACAGTTTGGCGATGCACAATCGCCTGGTCAAACATTGTTTAAGCTGGTTTCATGGCTGCTGGCATGGCATGGCTCTGCTCTCCCTCATTACTGAAATTGTCCTTCCCTTCAGTCAGTCAGTCACAAACACACTAGGGCTCAGGCTAAAGAATACCAAAGTTCCTCTTTAACGGCTGCCGTGGGTCAGTTTTGAGACAGCTCACTACAGGAAATCTAGAAAATTAATGTTGCATCAACCTGACTGAAATCGGACTTGAAAAGTCCAGGGAACATGTTGGTCTGTCTGAAACACGTTCAGTTGGTTTGACTAGCACAGACAGTTTCTGGTCGATTTTTACGAGACAAAGCTTTAGTACAGTAGGTGTTGAAGTCCCACTCCGATCCTTTTTTCTCTGTGGTCTTTTAATTGTGATTCTAAAGTTTTTACCCAAAATCACATTACCTGTGTCATTTTCAAGGTTTTTTCTCATGCAGAGCTCCAGTAGCTCATTAGCAATTAGCCAGACAGCGCTACGTTGCACATTCCTCTTCATGCTAGCTTGTAGCCTAATATTGCTAGTGTAGTAGAAGTAGCAGGTAACATAGGAGCTATTCAGCTATTGGACACTAATGTCTTTGGGGACATGGTGAAAGCTAATATCATAATTAGCTTTTTTCCGAGCATTGCAATCTGCTAACACACACACCTGTTGTTCGCGATTATCCTCTGTATTTCTTAGAGTCTGGGGCTCCGGGGGCGGAGCTTGAAGTAGTGACATAGGAAATCTCATTGTGTCTGAGCTTGTCGTTTGGGTCTGCCTGAGATTCACAGCAATTTGAATGCAGAAATACTCAGAAATGCGATTTCACATATATTTTTCTCATGATATGTCCCGTAGCATCAGAAAAATGCCGTACGAACATGTAGACATAGGAAATCTCATTGTGTCTGAGCTTGTCGTTTGGGTCTGCCTGAGCTGTCACAGCAATTTGAATGCAGAAAACCAGTTTGTCTTTGCTAACTGGTTTACTAATTGTTTTTGTATATGATATGAAAGGTCAGACAAAGAAAGAAATGCACTGTTTTGCCCACAGGAGGCACCAATAGCAACACAATTGAAAATTTAAACCTGGGCGAGCAAACCATATAAAAATCTGCTGATACAGTTACAAAGTAGACTGATTTTTATAGAGTGTCCTCAGTGTACTGTTATTGTCCTGTTTGGTTGGACAGCACCTTTGTCATCTCGCTTTGCTAACTCTTTGAGGTCTGAATCCTTGAGACGGTGGTGCCTCAGATTTACCCGGCTGTTGGATGACTGGTGGATCAGGAGGAGGAAGAGAATTGAGAAATGCTCATTATAAAGGGAAGATGTCTGGTTTATTTTTGGGGTAGCGCAGTACATACCTTGACATAAAAATAAAGCTGACAAGAGTTGTGAGGAAGCACTGGGCCACAGAATTACCCTCAAGTGCTTTTAGGGGTGGGCAATATGGCAAAATATCATCATATGTAAGATGATCACGATGATAAATAATGGCTGCGATGATGAAATTATAAGGTACTGTAATAATCGTTCCAATTTAAGGACGAGTGGCAGCGTCACTCAGCAGAGGCGAGCGAAGCTGAGTACTTACCAACCTAACCCGCTTGTAGTCTTACCCACGGTGTCAAAGCCTCGGTAGCAAAATGTACACAATGCATTGCATTGCGGCCACCCAAAGCACTGTTGGAGTGTGTCCACAATGCGTCCCATCCGCTCATTAGCTTCTTAAAGTGGAGGAGATATGATCTGATATTTTAAAAAACACGAGTATTGGATCATGACAACCTGTCACATGGAGCAGCAAACTTTCGTACTGTTATATATATATATATATATATATATATATCACCAATATCTTGATATCAAATTTTTCATATCGGCACATGCCTATTTTGCAGCGAAGCCTATTTGCATTTACGGGGCATATTTTGCTACCAATTAATGTATTGATCTTTGATGGTGCACAGAGATACTATTTGGTCTGCACAGGATTAGCAGGCTAAGGTTGTGCAATCTTTGGGTGAATCAGGCCCAGAGAGACACAAAATCCACTCACTTTTGGCAAGTACACCTCTGACCATAAAACACAGAGAACTCACAGGAAAAGTAAAAAAGAAAATGTTGTGTTGCAGTACTAAGGGCACACGGCATAATAATGCAGTGGACTCACCACGGGTCAGACTTGCTGTTTGTTGAGCTTGTGGTCAACATTAGAGCTGTGCATTAAAGATGGCGACACTGTGTGTCTGTGTGTGAGCGTAGGACTGCAACAGATAGAATGCTCCAATACTGTGATATCTCTGTGTTAGTTCTTCAGGATCCAATATTTTCACACCGCACAACCTGCGCAGTGTGTTTACGTAATTGCATAATTGACCGTATGCTATGCTTACTTCCTTTTGCGCGCCAAGGTCAAATTATTGTTTCAGCTTCTATTGATGACTGTAGTTTTTGATTTCATCCATGGTGCGATCTACTGGTTCAAGTTTTTATTTTCCTTCTTTAAAAATTGCCCCTCCACCACCTCCATCCCCCCAAACAACAAACATGTAAAGGTTATATTCAAGAGCAATAGCCTGGTCCTTGCTCGGAGTGCAGAGTGGGTTTTAATCTACAAGACTTTTTGCATAGTGATACAGCATGTTACTTTTACTGTATTTGGATTTTATCTTTTCAGAGTGTGTCTGTACATCGTATAAGGCTCCTGAAATATCTCTTTTTTTCTCTCTTAAATAAAAAAAAAAAAAAACTACTCAGAGAGCACAACAAACTGTTGAATCTGCACTCTGTTATTTTCCCAGCAGAGGAATCGAGCCACATAACTGTTCATTCTTAAAAATAAATCCCACTCTCATCTCTGTCCAGAGAAACTGTTTTGGTTTCCTACTGAAAGCTGTGGCTGGGAAACAGATAATGTAGATTTAAAAGTGGGGGAAAAAAAAGGAAATAGCTCGACTGAATGATCTCAAATTTCCTACAAATAATCACCAATCTGCTCCTTGCTGTGTGCTAGGTGGTAAATTGATTCTCAACACATCATGAAAATTACGACCAGAATTATTTTCCATCTTTTCCACGATTAAATGACTCTATAATTGAGCTTTTTACTAGAATGATATGTTGCTCTGAAATTTATCAGATTGGATTGTTAATGAATGGAAAGCCTGTTTGTCTCTTACTGCTGCTGCGAGACCTTTTACTGTGGGATGTGTTGCATAATTACCCGCTGTTGTAATCTCGTTGGTTGTAAAAGTTTATGGTAGTGTTACCCCCAGTACTCACCTCCACCACACTTCAAAAAGTGTGATAACCCCAACAGGGATATAAAACCTGGTCAGGATACTCGGGGAGTTTTACGAGCAGGTCTTGTTGAAGGAAGGTTTTCAGTGTGGTCGCTGCACAGGGGGTACATGAGGTAGGGCTGCAGCTATCGGATATTTTAGTAATTGAGGATTCTTTTTTTATCTTTTTTTTATCGTCATCATTGGTACATTGCGTCCTTCCCCATGTCCATTGTAGTCAATGTCCTTAACCTTACCCCATCGAGGGCATATTCTTGAGAGGAACATCAACATCCTAACCTCCACTGTGCAACTAAGAACCAGAAATAAAAAATAAGATAAAATAAGAAACCCAAAACGAAAATATTTACAAATGTAGTAAAGGGTAAAAAAAAAAAAGAAAATCTAACCGATGGAGAGAGAGGAGTGTCTAACTCAGAATTTCTGTAAAAGCGCTCTACGTTAGAGCAGGGGAGCCAGATGGATCATACAAAATCTGCTCTTAATGGGGCGATCTGCGTTTTCCATTTGTTCCAAATTTGATTAAATGTAATCGAGCATTCTACTGAATATTCCATCAATTAATCGAGTAATCGGATAAAGCATATTTTTTTTTCTAGTTAAAGTGCAATTCTCGCAGAACAAGTGTGTGCATTAGCGGATTGCAATGCCTGTAAGAAAGCTAATCATGATATTAACTTTAGTCATGACATTTGTGTCCAAGAGCCGAACAGCTCCTATGTTACCTGCTACTTCTTCTACACCGACAATGTTAGACTGCAAGCTAGCATGAAGAGGAGTGTGCAGAGCAGCGCTGTCTCCGTCCATGACTCAGAGGCGAAATGCTAATGAGCTACTGGAGCTCTGCAGTAGAAATGCTCCTCTCATCATTTATTTTTTCTGCTCTGCAAAATCAAAACCGCGCTTACTCCCCTTTCTACCACGGTGACGTTCGAGCGTTGTGTCATCTTTAAAATGATCCATGCGAAACAGTGACAATTTGAGCTTATAAACGAGAACGTAAGGCAGAGAAAATTCCTCAATCATTTTTTTGTAATCGAGATACTCTTTAGATACTCATTAGAGCAGCAACAGGATTGAAAAAAATCTAGGACTTTAAAACCCCCTGAAAACATGTTAATTGTTTAAAAAAAAACGAAAGCAAACAAAACGTTAAAATCTTCCATGTTTCAGTATCACAGCACTTTATAGTGGCTCTGCAGTAGAAGAGTCCTGGTGCTAAACCGGCCTGTCTGCAGTACCAGCTCGTCCCCCATCAAACATTGAGTGTATCGTTAAAAGAAAATATATTTAAGGAGACCCCAATAGTACACTTCCATAATCTGCAAACAGCTTCTTATTTAATTTATGCCAAAGATGATAATCTTGAGGTTTGCCCAGAGCATCACTGGGCGAGAGATCAACCTGAGTGAATCCTCAAGATTTTTTTTATTGATAAACAGCAGAAATTTACCGCAAACCAATACGTGTGATAGATATGACGCACTTTCTCAGGATTGACAGAGCTGACTTGTTCTGCGAGGTGGTTATAAATCAATGAATGTCAATCAAGGTGTCAGATGTTTAGAGTCTGAAATTGCACAAATGATATTTTATAGGCCTTTTTGATTTAAAAAAAAAAAAGATGAAATCCTAAACTACGACTTCAATTTCTGGGTTGGGATCTGGCAGGGTGGTGGAAGTATCCATTGAATTGGTGGAAATGAAAATCAAAGTATGGATGGACAAAATGTATTGATTGTTAGTGTGTAGAATAATTTTAAAGCGCTGTTTTTACTGAGGTAAGATATGGATTTTAGAACCTGTACTGTACAGCCTCCAGACAGGTGTCACCTGAACTCGGCTTGGCTGCTGTCACCCGAAGCGTTCCTCATTCACTTTGGCAAATTAGCCCTGGAAACTGTAGATGTCGGACCAGTGTCCTATTTAGTGCCCTCAGATGGACAGCCTGTAACTTCTCCAACTAAAATAAACAAATCCAGGTTTTATTCACACACAGCTGACGTGTTGTTTGTACGTCGATTGAGAGAGATGAGCTTTGTGTTCACGCCCCCATCCTCCAACATCTGAATGAATGATATCACATCTGATGCAGAAGTGTATTCACTGTGTGTAAACGTAACCTGATGCAGAGTGTGTTCTCATTCACAGGAACAGGAAGGTGGTGAACTACTCACAATTCAACGAGTCTGACGATGCAGGTAAGAGAGGTTGAAGAGGTGTGTCAGTGAAGAGTACAAGCTTTTCCTCCTATGGAAGAATTCAGGAGCTTTTGCTTGTTGGCAGAGGAAGATTGAACCAAAACACATTTTATACTAATGTCACTGTTGAGGAAGCAGACTGTAAAAAACAAAAGAGTGATAGTCCGTCCTACTGCTCATGTTTTGTGTAAAAAAAAAACTCAACTGTCTTTCTTTTCCCTTCAGACGAGGAGTATGGTGATAGTAAGCCCAAGAAGGTGCGCACAGCCCCTCGTGAGCCCAAGCACAAGCGCTCAAAGAACTCACAGGATGACAGGTGAGCTCCTGGTGTAGATTGATCAGACGGGCGGTGTGGAGTGTTTGGTGCTTTGACCTTTCAGAGCAGGGTTTAGGTTAGCTATAGGTTTCATGTGTGGTTTTCCAAGGAGGCAAAGATAAAATCAGAGAAAATGTCATGAGAAAAGCGACAAATAAATTTTGTCTGAATGTACGACTTGAAGAAACAGAAATGTGTCGGAAAGGCGACTCCTGTACTGGCAGAAGGTCAGGGTTACCTGAATGAATGAGTGAATCCATAGTCACAGAATGATGTCAGCCAGCGTTGACCTGCATGAAGTGGAGAGAGGTTATCAACAAACGGAGAGACAGAAGGGATGGGGGTTCTGCCGCTTGGTCTGGCTTCATAAGAGGAAATAGACATTGAAACAACAAAAAAGACGACTGTCTTTTCTTTGAAATAATCATATTTACATAATAGTATAACAACAAAGTAAATAAAAAAGATAACAGCTCTATACTTTTATGTGTCAGGTATGAAAACTAAAATGAACTAGCTCAAAGACTGAAAAGTGATTTGTTGGTTTAGGACAGTGGTTCTCAAGTCCAGTCCTCGAGGTCCACTGTCCTGCATGTTCTGGATGTCTCCCTGCTCCAACACACCTGATTCAAATGATCAGCTCGTTATTAAGCCATTACAGAGCTTGATAACGAGCTGATCATTTGAATCAGGTGTGATTGAGCAGGGAAACATCCAAAACATGCAGGACTGTGGGCCTCGAGGACTGGACTTGAGAACCACTGGTTTAGAATAAATTTTTTTGTGGTAATTGTAGGTTATTGAGCAGATATGGTTATGTTTGTACGGCTGTAACTCTGAAACTGTGAATCGTTCATCTTCGTTACTCAAGTGTAAAACAATATTTTGCCTAAAATGCAGAATTTAGAGGGGAAATTGGTTTGTATATAATACACAAGAGTCTTATCAGTCTGTTCTTAAGAGATTTCCATGTAGAAAGATGGTCGAACAACCAGCAGAGTTTGACATGAACGGTAGTGGACTCCAGTGAAAGTTATCATCAACTCAAACAATAGCTGGTTTACATCTGCTGAAGCGGGGCAGAGAGTTTGACTCTTTACTGCAAAAAAAACTCAGATTGGTCAAAACAATCAGATAATGTTTTAGAAAACAGACCAGGTTCAACCAAAAACCCGTTTGGAAGTCCTCAACAATTGTAAGTGCTGGTCAGAAAAGCTAATCTATGAATCCATAAGTTCGCGTGCTGGAAAAACACTTTGAATGCATCGCTGTTACATGCAGCTGCAGCAAGCGCGTGACGTGTGGATCAATAATATAAGGAGTAGGCGATTGAAAATAGGGCAGAAAGGCAGCTGAGAAGAAAAGAAAGTTGAGAAGAAAGGTAGGACAGCTTCAGTTATCTGGAAACAGTTTGGCTTTAGAGGTCGAGCGGAAGGAAATTGTTTGTCATGCTGTCCTGTCTGCTCCTTAAGGCAACACGACCAACTTCAGGTTTTCCCCTATATGCAGTTGATTGTGGCGCACCGCCAAAGCTAATTAAAAATCGGCACACCTTAAAAATTAGTCTGTTTTATACGTGGCCCCTAACTCGGACTCATGTAAAAGTATAAGCGCATGCACGTGGGTGCTGAGTACAGAGCTGATTCATTTTTAATTTTTAACCTGTTTACTTGTTACTAATTTATTTCTTGCTGTTCGTTTAGGTTGAATTTAAAGTTAAGTTCTGGTGGTTCAATAGATACCAAAAATTTTGAAATCAATTAATAACTGTGTTTATCAACCGGGATTTCAGTATCGGTCAAAATGATTGTGATCATTATTTTTGCCATGATCTTCCTGCCCCAGGTTAGGCTCAGGAAGCCTCTGCAGGGTACAGAGAAGCTGAAGTAGGCGGTTTGTCATATACAGTTTGAGACTGGAGACAGCCAGGTGTGCTGTAGCGGTGAGTCAGGCCGGGCGAGGGATGAGCAAGAAAAGTGTGGAGAGAGAGAAACTCAGCTGGAGGTGACTCTGGGGGAGGAGGAGAGCTGCATTCGATTTATCACAGCTGCAACTTGTGATTTACTACTTATCCAGAATCCAGTAGGGGATCTTAGTGGCCTGGGTTGGCACACTTAATGGCTTTTGAGTTAAGTTCCTTGGCCAGGTTCCTGTTTATGATTTAAGACACCAGCATTAATTTAGTGACTACTGATCGAGGTTCAGTCATGTTACAGCTGCAGACACTCGGAGCTTCACACTTTCTTCCTGCTAACCTGATCATGCTCCAGCGAGGAGGAGGAGGAGGAGGACGGTACGGGAAACGCAGTCAGTGTCTTTGTTACCAAGACAGGAAAGCTGGTGGTGCCTCCGCCTCCCGTTTACCTCCACAGGTTTACTCAAACAGAGGAGCAGTTTAACGTCGCAGGGTGGAGGGAGAAAACTGAAACACCACGTTTGAAGGTTTAATAGAAATGGTTCAACCAAGAGTCATGTAATACTAAAGAAATACAGTGATAGAAAATAATGCCTTCAGAAGCATTAACGCTGCTACACTCACTCTGAGGGACAAAAAGTAAATAAAAAAATCACGCACACCTTCACATCCCTGCACCCCGCTGGCCAATCACAGCGTGAAGTAGGCGCTTGTTGAACCATTCATTCAGAAAAAAAGGCCAAACATGTTGAGATGAAAAGTTCTGCTATAATCAGGAAGTGGCACACGGTGCACAGTCAGTCATTATCTGGCTGCGGTTCTCTGTCAAAGTAGTAACTATCCTCTTTGATGATAACAGGAAATCAGCCCTCTGTGTCATTTTCTCGATGATTCATTCATCAGTCCGTGGGAGTTTGTTGGTGCTCACCTCACAGGAAACACTGTAGAAGTCATGAGTACAGTGCTTATCTCGTGTTTGAGGTTTAATGACACTTTCACTCTGATTGCATATAACTGGGTCAGAATTGTGACCTGAGCAACAAAGACTCAGTTGTGAATCTAATCGGTTTTTAATCGAATCAGGATTTGATCCGGATGGAGACACTTAAAATGACAAGAGTGACTGAGGACTGAGACACAGTCGAAGAGGCAGCCTTTACTCAGCACCTTCCAACAGAGCTTCATGTAGGACTAAGCAATTATATGATTGCGATTAACGATCCTGATAAATTTCAGTTCGATCACAGTGATCAGCTGTGTGCAAAGTTACTCAATCAAACAAAGAGGAAATGTGTGTGACCTTCTCACTTCTGTAAGTTTCTGGAGAAGTAAACAGGACCAAACGTTGAGCCGAGGACAGCAAAATAGATGTCAGCCATGACTCTGAGTCATCCTCCAAAGACGCCATTGTTGAGAAGAAAAGTTACTCAATGTCTCTTGTGTGGCGGTGGTTTGGGTATCTCCTAAGTGACGTCGAGCCAATGTGCAAGTTATGTTGGTGCCCACAAAAACCGGCAACACAACAGATCTGTTTAATCATTTGAAGAAGCAGAGGCTGCGTGATCACAGACAACATCACGGTAGTATTTAGTAGCAGCACATGCCCCCTTGTAATAACCCCCATAAGAACTGTTGTTCAGGACTGCTAACTTGTGCTTCCTACCCATTCGGCTACTGTAATAATCGTTGTTCGAGCCCGCACGCAACATTTTTGTTCTCATACATGAAACGCTTAAATCAGGGACATTTTCGGGGGCAGATTTTGCCGGGGACAGGTCTTCCAATTCGGGGACTGTCCCCGGAAATCGGGGACGTCTGGTCACCTTAACCTGATTATAAGGCGCACCATCAATGAACGCGTCTATCCGCATCTATTTTCATACATAAGGCCCACCGGATTATAAAGCGCATTAAGCCAAACAAAACCGTCAGATAAGTCAAACTTTATTGAACTCATTCAATAACTCTGCAAGGCTGTGGTAGCTGCAGTGCTCCGACAAGCTGAAAGGATTTAAAGTGCGCCTCATAGTGCGAAAAATACGATAATTTGATTTGTTATTTAGTTTGTATGTTGATAAAATGTTGAACTAATCTCTAGTTTCTTGAGGTTTTAGTACAGATACTTTAAAACTGGCAGTTTAAAAAAAAAAATATATATATGATAATAATCGAGATCGGACAATATGACAAAATATATCGTGACCTTTTTTTTTTGGCCGAACTCGCCCAGTCCAAGCTTCAATCTTTCATGTGCAAATCCAGAAATCCAGATCCCGAATCTGCTTCATATCAAGTTATTGCTCATCATTGTTCTGTTTTATGATAGAGCTGTCTTATCAGCATGTAGATGTTTTATACTTGCAGGTCAGCACAGGATAAATCAATCGCGGACAAATGTGAAAATCTATAGGATAGAGTCAGGTGTGATTGTTTCTCCCTCGTCCTCTGTTGGGGGAAAATGTTGCCAAGACAAATTCTTCAATAATTGTTATTTAGTTAGAGATGAAAATAAATTAACCATTTTTTTTCTTGACTTCTTTTTCAGCGAGGAGTCTGATGACAAGCTTTCCAAATCCAAAAATGATTCAGCAGGTCAGTAGCTCTGTTTGTCAGATTAAGAGAGAATGATGAGAAGATGCTCGTGCACTTTATTTGAACATGTGGAATTGGATTAGTGGCTCTGAGAGAGCAGGCTCAATGACTTTTCCTCTGTTCTGCTGCTGCTGCTGCTGCTGCAGATGACTTTGGCAGTGAGGAAGAGGACAATGACTTCGGTGAGGAGGAAGATGAAGATGGAGGGAGTGACTACGAAGAGAAAAGAGGGAAAAAAGCAAAGAAAGCCAAGGTGGAGAAGCCCAGCAAGAGGGGGCCGAAAAGGAAACGGGCTGCAGGTAAAAACTGATTCTTTATTTTTTCTCCTCACATCAACCTGATCACAGTGATTGAACTAAAATGAAACAGTTTTAACTGGTCAATAAATCCATGAAAAGGTGTCAACAGCCCCTCATATCCTCTAAATTCTGACACGTTGGGTTCAAACGGACTCCTTTGACAATCTGTATCAGTGTAGTTCGAGTTTTCTCTTTCTTATCCAGTTGAAGTAAAGCAGGCTCATTGTTATCAGGCTGTAAATCCTGAGTTATATTTATAGATGGGCTCTGAATAGCTGTTCTCTGACAAATCACTGTTGTGGTGTAAAAGTTGGTGCTTTATAACATTTTTTAGTATTACTTCACCCCACTTACACTGATAAATGTCTGTAATATGAAAGTGCAAAATAAAATAAAAAAATAGTTAAAAACAAGAAAATTCAATAAGTGCTACCAAAATAAAAAAAACACTAAACAGACTATTTTACATGTGTGAAAAGAAGTATGAAGTTCTTCAATTCAACCCCTTTGTTTGAAACTTATTTACTTTCAGTAACTTCAGGAGAACCCCAAAGGGAACTAATAATAAACACACAGTGCACAAATACATATGTATATACATATACAGATGCATTTATATAAATATGTATCTGAACTAACACCGAAAAAGTTGTTTCTGTGATATGACAGCTGACTAATGCAACAGGTGCTTTAACTTTGAATTAATCCAAGAGCATGTTCAATATTTGAATCTGTATCTGGTAAGCCTCAGCAGCACATGCTTGTTCAGTTCACCTGTCGAAGACGACTCAGCCTTCTGTCTTTGTGTGTGTGTGTCGTCTGCACAGATGACAGTGATGATGAAAGGGAAGTGAGTCGAAAGCGTACAGTGCGCCAGGCGGCCTCTAAGGCCGTGTCTAAACAGAGGGAGATCCTGCTGGGCGACGGAGGCAGCGAGGATGAGGAGCATGAAGACGCAGAGGAACCCTATATGGACCGTATGTACAGCTGTAATGTAGACTGCTGCTGCTGCTGCTGCTGCCACGCTTTAGAAACATGACTGTCAGACTTTCCTGCACAATATTCTGTTGAAGTCTCTCCACCTTTTCACTGAATAGAATCAGATTTTCATGCATTTCTATACCCCAGATTTATTCCTCTGTATCTTTCACATTGAAGAGTCTGCTTCTGAAATAAATAAAAGTTTGATATTATCAGGAAATCATAAAGTCGTTGTGGTATCATCATCAAAACCATCACGCTTTGTAGCACTCAGGGCTTTTGGGTGAGAAAGGTTCTTCTTCTGTTCGCAGCTGACGAGTCAGGCAGCGATGAGGACTTCATGGTGGAGGACGATGATGACAGTGACTACGGTCACTCCAAGAAGAGAGGCAAGAAGGTCATTCGACGGGGGCGGCCAGAAAAGAAGGAGAAGAAGAGCCCCAAACCCCGACTAAAGGCCACAGGTAAACAGACCCCATGAGAGACTCGGCACCAAGTCCTCATGAGCAGTTTGCCAACCGCAGTAACAGGTTTACAGTAAGATTGTGAACTTCCCAAAGGGTTTTGTTCCTTTGTGTGAACCCCACTGCTGCATGTTTTTATTCACGCCATTTCTGTCGGCCCTTCCAGTGACCCCCAGCCCAATGAAAGGAAAGGGGAAGGGGCGCCCCAGTGCTAAGGCCCTGGAGAAGAGCTCACCCAAAGAGGAGGAAGACGAGGAGCCCGAGAGTCCCCTGGAGGAAGAGGAGGAAGAGGCAGAGAAGAAGGAGACGTCCCCCGCCCCCAAGACGACAAAGGAGGCTGGCGGAGGAGATGAAGAGGAAGAAGAGGAGGAGGAGGAGGACGGCTCAGAAGAGGAGGCACCATCTGGAGAAGACTAGAGGATGGTATCCACTGAAGCCCACCTTCTGTCTCTCTTTCTCTCTCTCTCTCTCTCTCTCTGTCTTTTCTCAATGTTTTTGTTTCTTTTGTTGCTCTACGTTTTTTTTTCTTTCTTTCTTTTTTTACTTTTTTTTTTTTTCTTATTTCTTTTTTTTTTTTCTTCTTCTTTCTCCTGGTGGCCTGGCTCAATGGTTTGGACTTGGTATGCTTTTTCTTGGTTTGCCCCCCACTCCCCCACCCACTTCTCCAAAACAAGACATTGTTCTCATGTGATCAGAGTGTCTGTGAGGATTGTTTTTTTTTCTTTACTCGAGTCACAACATTCACCCTCAGCCACTCTGCTGTCTCTGTTACTCACATTCTGCATTTTAGTCGTCAGGCTCCGAGTCCTCGAGCATCCGTCCGTCTTGAGCGCGAACAAACCAGTTAACTTGTGTTTATTTTGTCCTCTCTCGGGCTCTGAAACGACTGCCAAACAGTTAATGATCCTGTTCAGATGAATGCAGAGTGGGTTAGCTAAAGCGCTGTAACTCTCACTGGGGGGGCCGAGGCCGTTCCTCTTCTCTCTGGTACTTTTAAACCTGGAGTGGTTTTAACAGGACAGCATTAGAGAACCAACCGTTTCAAAATTAAACGTGTTCTTCAGAAAAACACGGCATCTTTGTGTTTTATTTTGAAACTTCATCCCGACTCTTTCACACTGTACTGACCGGAGAATCGTCGCTGTGTTTAAAGCATGTTATTTTGAGAGGTAGCTGCAGCTGCTGCATCGTCGATCGGTTTCAACACTTTTTAAGTAGATTGTCACGGCAAGAGTGTTCACTACATTTCGAACCACCACTATCACATACTTCAAAGCAGCTTGTGTGGTTTTTATGTGGATTTATACGCTTAAAGTAGGAGTTCTTCTGTAAGAGGGCTAGTTCTTCTCTCTTGGTCAACCGGCTGCTTTTGTGTAAGGGGTTTCCGCTCCATGCTTAGTGACACACATTCGTTCAACAACACATGACCCCCCCGCCTCCCTGCATGGCTACAGCATCGTCTGAACATTCAACCCCTTGTGCCAGGCCCCCGCCCCACCCTACCCTCCACCTAAATCCTTTCGTTTGTATTTTGAAGAAATGCAAGAAGAGATGTTTCTTTTTTCTGTGGAGAGTTCAGAAAACGAATGTTGTTTTTTCTCCTGTTGGTTCATTGTTTTAATTCTCTATTCAGATTTTTTTTTTGTAATGTTTGTTTTTTAAGAAAAGAAATAAAATGTATCTTGATTTTAAAGAAAAAAAAGTTGACCCTATCTAATCTGTTCTGCCTGATGGTTGGACCAGCCATCCCGACTTTTTTCCTCCTGTCCTCTCATTCATCCCTTTTCTCTCCCCCCTCTCTCTCTCTCTCAGTCATTTCAGCTAAACGGTTACTGTTTGTATCCATGTCCATCTGTTTCTTGTAGCTTTTCGTTCACTACTAAGTATTTTCACGACAGATACTTTTGAATTTAGAGATGTGACGCATCGACGCCCAGAAACGATTGACAAACAGAGTGGGCAGCTCGGTAAATATCTGGCGTACATTTGTCTTTCAATGCCTTAATTTTCATTGGGTTCAGTTTCCGTGGTGGTTCTGAAAACGTCACGCAGGCCTGAGAATGTAACCTGTCCTCATGTTTTAGGTCTTTGCTACAAGCAGCAAATTAAAACAAGTCAACAATTTGTACGATCAGCAAACCATCCAAAGCCATAAATGATCTCGAAACTAGTGACTCAGAGATCAGGAGCAACACTTGTGAGATTGTCCTTTTTTCAGACGAGTAGTATTTTGATGTCAAAGAAGAAGAAAAAAAAAACAAACAAAACAAAACAGGCTGCTATTGTGATCTTGGGAACAAAATTCATTATTACGTGCCCGTCAGGTGAAATTTCAATTCCTCCCAAGGCTGCAATAAAAACCAGTCTTGGATTGTGTACAGGACACACTGGAACCTTGTTCTTGGTTCAGAAGCACATTGAATTGTTTTACAAATGTCCTTCCTAGCAGGTTAGCGTGTTTTTCTACGTTCAGGTCCTGATTGGCTCCCCCCCTCCATTCTTCAATGCCATTTTAAGATGATTGGATACTCTTAAAGGAAGGAAAGAAGAGTTGGTTCATGCTAATCTGAAGCTCAGAGAACACTGAACGCGGTAGGATCAGATCCTGTCCTGTAAACCACAGCGATGAGGCCTTTAAAGAGGGTCCTCTCCATCATCCCACAGGAGGCACATGGCATAAGGCCGTGAATTTCTCCTCTGTCACCCACTCTACTCTTTCTTCTGTTGTACTGTTTTTTGATGTATTCTTTTCTATCTACCTTCAGTTGTACTGGCGATGTAAATGTAAGCCAAGTTGTGATTCTTACAGGAGACCAAGAGGAGAAGCTTTTGTCTGTAGTGTGGAAAAAGGAACGCTGAACTCTTGAATCTTTTGCATGTTGTGGAAAAAGTGTGAAGCGATGATGAAATGATGAAATGATGCTGGTGAAGGCAATATTGTGGTCTCACAAAAAAAAAAGTATTAACAACAATGATGTTGATAATGTTTTGGTTTCCCAGCTTCTAATAAAGGCAACCTACTTTTTATACGGATTTAACTACTTGTTTTGTGACATTGAGCTCAAGGGGAACGCGCAGGCAGTCGTCTGTGTTCATGATCAGAAGCAGTTCTCGGGGGCTGCCACCAGGAGGCGCTGAGTGCACCAAATTTGGTATAGTCTGAAGGACAGACCGGGGATGGGTCGATCTAAACCAGACTGCAGCTATCCTCTAAGGAGACATATGACGACTTGTTATTAAAACATAAATCCCTATTAAATTTAAAGATCAGTTTCAGATATTAGGAAGTTGTTTCATCACATCTTTGAAAAACAGAAAAACCCTGTGTGAAGTCTGATGAACGCTCAACTTCACACCTCCTTCCTGTAAGAGCTGAGTCTGTCCATGCTTTTCATCTTTTTACCCTCCTCCTCCTCCTCCTCCTTACAAAAGTGACCCATTTCTGTTTCTTTTCTCTTCATACAAAAATGAATAAATGTATTTATTATGAGCTCAGAAACTCAATGGTCAAATAACAAATAGAAAAAAAAAAAATTACAGCAAGTCTGTCCTGATTTTTTACAATTCACTAAATAAAAGTCTAGACTGAAGCCTGGTGCCTCTATTATGATACCAAGTTCCTCACTGCAGCTTTGATTGAGATTTTACATTCAACAGTGTCTTTAAACTCATTGTCCAGATTATTATTATCAGTAATGGGTTGGAGTTTTCTAGAGAAAAGTTACTGAAAATTCAATATTTTACATCCAAGACAGTGAAAAGATATATTCAGGACTCACTAGATGAAAACTAAGATGATTTTTCATGTAGTTTTGACTTTTTTCACCCTTAGCTCCACATTTTATCATTTGAAAAACATGAATATTTGAGATCTTTAACGATTGTAATTGTAATTTTAATATCTTTGTTAGAACTGCTTGAGGTGCCCCCCACAACAGACTTTCCTACCAACATACCAGTTAATTATGATGTCTAGACTTCCTTATCTACCAGTAAGATACAACATCCTGCAGGATACTTCAGGTGTGAAACATCCCCAACACCACCCCAGGGTGGGTGGAGTGACGGTCCGCACAGAAAACAAAAGATGCCAACAACAAATCCCCATTCCTCGCCCTCTGAGGGGCGGTCCTCAAGCATAGATGTTCAGGTTTCCCCATGTTCTGGGTCTTTCTGGATTCTGACCGCTCAGATGCAGATTGACCTTTTCTTTGCAAAGAAAATAAAACCTTGTCGGCCGGCAGAAGTCTCTATTTCATTCTTCACCAGCAGCAACGGGAAGAAAAACTTCCAGGACACGATGCATCCTAATCTTTAGATGATTTAACAAACATGTTCTCGACAGCAGGGAGTGATAGTTTCCATAGCAGCACTGGAAAGAAATTGAAATGTATAAATAAAGTTTGTTAGTGAGCCGTGGCACAGCTAAAACTGATTTACCGTAGCCTGGGGTCAGTATACTGCAGTGGTAATGCCTGACACTAATGGATGCTAATGGTGACCTGTTCTCCACTGAGCACCCACACACCAACATTCCCACTTCAAACGTTGAACAGACTGAATAGACTGGTCAGGAGGGCCGGTTCTGTCCTGGACTGCTCTTTGGACTCCCTGGAGGAGGTGGGTGAGAGGAGGATGTTAACAAAGCTTGTATCCATCATGGACAATCCCTCTCACCCACTGCACCAGACTGTGGGGGCTTTAGGCAGCTCCTTCAGCAGCAGACTGAGACTCCCACCCTGCAGGACGGAGCGCTACAGCAGATCATTCCTCCCCTCTGCAATAAGACTTTACAATGAACAGTAACAAAACTGATTTTACACCACCACTTTTTTTATGGCATTTAAATTGTGTATATTGTAGAAAGCTTTATTTTTTCTTCTCCCTTTTCTAATTTTTTTCTTAATTATTACATTTATTTAAGTTCTTTATATTAGGACCCTTATTGTTATAACTGCATTTTTGCACTTTTTGTCTTGTCTGTGTTGCTGCTGTGACAAAAAAAATTTCCCCCATGGGGGATCAATAAAGGAATATTCTATTCTATTCTGAAACTCCCAAACTGTCCGACCACATAGACGGTCAGGAAACAGTGGTGGATCTGGAAAACTCCACCATTTTTCAGTCAGTGTGTTTGCTCCTGGTCTGCTTCACTGCTTCAACTCACTCTTTTCTAAGTTTTGGCCATTTACTGTGTATCTGGAGAACAGTCCAGTCTAATGTGAATGCATGAATGTGTTGTATCTTAGACTTGTATGTTAACATCTACTCCTAAGCGTTATTAATAGCAGAAGTTTGAACACTCCGTTGAAAGTATTACTCACAGAATAAGCGAAGTGATACTTGGGGTCACCCTCAGACAGAAAAATGTCTCGAATCCAACCGGCTGACAACAAAAAAGTGAGTAAATCTGATTTTATTCATCGCCATCTGCTCTCACCATCCGTCATTACAACACTGCCTTCTTTCTCCACACTCATTCATTCAAATATCAGCTTTTATTTCAGCCTGCTGAAATAAGCAGGGTTAGTCTGGTGAGGGTTGGACTCCACCAGGGCTGCCTGTTGTCACCAATCCTGTTCATTACTTTGATGGACACTTTAAGGGACGTCTGGTTTGGTGATCTCAGGATTGGGTCACTGTTTTATGCAGATGACATTGTCCCGTTGGCTACATTGGACTGCGACCTTCAACTATCGTTGGATTGGTTTGCAACCAAGTGTGAAGCAGCTGGGATGAGAATCAGCACTTCCAAATCTGGATCTGTGATTCTCAGCCAGAAAAAGGTGGAGTGCCTTCTCCTGGTCAGGGATGAGATCCTGCCCCAAGTAGAGAAGTTCAAGTGTCTCGGGTTTCGTTCAGAAGTGAGGGAAGAATAGAGCTGGAGATCAACAGGTGGATTGGTCCAACATCAGCAAGGAGCTGAGCCAAAAGGCAAAGCTCTCAGTATACTGGTCGATCTATGTTCCTATTCTCACCTGCAGTCACGAGCTGTGGATCGTGACCAAAAGAACAAGATCACGGGTACAAGCGGCTGAAATGAGTTCCCTTCTCAGGGTGTCTGGGCTCTGCCTTAGAAGTAGGGTAAGAAGCTTGTTCATCTGGGAGGGTCTCGGAGTAGAGCTGCTGTCTACCGAGTTGAGAGAAGTCAGATGAGGTGGCTTAGGCATCTAACCAGAATGCCTGGAGCAAAAGAGCATTTCAACCTAGAATCTAGCAGGTAATTATCACAAATGAGATCCTTTATTCTACTCTCTGCAACTTGACTTGACTTGACTATTTTCAAAATCAAACAGGATTGTCCTCTGAACCCAAATCAAAACCAGTTTCAGTACGACTAAAAAGGACAAACACCTAACCAGGGTTCTGTTTTAACCAGCCTACACCCTAAGAGGGTTGTAGGCTAGTTTAAAAAAAAACACTGTAGCCTGTTTATGACCAACAAAAGCACACACGACAACCAGACAAGAAAAAGGGGAAAAAAAGTCCTTCATTATCATTTTGAATGCCTGTAACAGCTGTAAAGGGGTCAGTGTGAGACTTGATCATCTGTAGCAAAGTGAAGAAAAAACTGTGGGTGATAGGCTACATTGGACTCCAAATGCAGAGTAGCTAATAAAATAAGCTGAACTTAGTTATGTGCTCTAGAGGAAAGTGGTCATTTTGCTGCAGCTAACAAACCATAAGTTATCTCCTTAGCTTTATTACAGACGGATAAAAACACACTTCTCACATTTTTACAATACTTTGACCTTAACATAACTCCCAAAGAGCCCTGCAGCACACTGTTCAGCGAATCCAACTTTCTCAAGTTTATTTACCGTTACTTTATTTAAAACAAGTATCAGTGAACTTTTACCCTCAACCTCTGACAGAAAAACAGATTTCTGCTGAATGCCTGGAGGATTTTGTTCAGCGTATGAGTAAGTGTATCAGTCAGAAAACCTAAAAACAGTGTACTGACACATAACTACATAAATTTTTAATTTTTAGCTAACAGCAGCTTTTGTGCAGGTAGGACACTCAGCTATGACTAACAGCTGCAACTAGAAGCAACTTAGAAGCTAAATGCTGAGTGTCTCATATATTCTTCTGGGACAAGGATAATCAATGACCCAACCCTTTTAAAAGGAGCCTACATTTATTCCCCTGATTGACTATGATGATTTTTTATATATGCATGCATCAACTCAAAGCCGTCCGTCTCTGGATAAACATTACCATGGAGCTCTGAGGTTCATCACAAATCTGAAGTCTCTAACTCACCACAACTCTCTGTATGACTAAGTTGGATGGTCTGCATTGTCTATTCACTGATTAAATCACTGCCGTAGTCTCATTTAGAAGGTAATTCTTAACTTGCTCCCCTCTTATTATTGTGATATAATCAATTTGAAAAATGTTAGAAGCTATAGTTTTCGCCCTGTGACCAAAGACCAGGACTTACTTTTGCTACCTGTCCCCAGAGTGCACTTTGAAATGGGTAAAAACAGTTTGAGGTACACTGGTCCTGCAGCTTGGAATTTATTGTAGGAAGATTAGAATCAAACTGTCTCCACACACCAAGCGCGAGTAAAATCATTTGTATGACTGAATTACATGTTAAGTCATTGTAAAGATGCAATTGGATGGTCCTACTACTCTGGTGGCGTGAATGACACGAATTGGGCGGGAGCTAAAAATGTCTCAGCTTGAGTGGATATTCAGCGCAAAGGTTGCCAGGTAGCATATGAAAATGGACGATTGTTCACTGGTATCTAAAATGGAGGACAAACTAATCATGTCGGTGTGTGGGTGCCCCGAATTATACGATACCTTTTCTTTCAATTACCGAAACCAGAATAAAAAGGAGCTCGCCTGGAGGCAGGTGAGTGAGGAGGTCGGATTACCTGGTAAATTGTGAAAAACTTTTGTCTATCACTTGATCCCACTAGTTGAATTGGCAGGGATTACTGTTGAAATTACCATTGGCACACAAATGAAGCATGTAAATACTATTCATTCACACGTCTAGATTCACATGAATTAAGCGAGTCGATGATTTTACTTGTCCTTGGTGTGGGTGCCCCATAAGGGAGCTGGTCTCCCCAGGTGTTTTTAAAAGCTGTGGAGGAAGATGCATCAGGCTCGGATGGTTTGCATGAAAGTTTCTGTTGTATGACCCTGAACATGTTTCAGAATCAGAATCAGAATCAGAATCAGAATGCCTTTTATTGTCATTATACGCAGTACAATGAGATTAAAGCCACCCATATCAGTGCAAGACATTATAAAAAGACAGATAAAAAGTATAGAAAATATGAAACAAGATTAATATGAAGTATATACAATGTAAACGTGTGGACCTGAGATTCTTTTGACAGGATAAATATGGTACGGATGTGCATAGGTGTAAAATGTAACAGTATAAAATATAAAGTGCACAGTCCTGAGATCCTAATTAACGGAATAAATATGGTAAATATACAGAAATAACATAAATGTAATGTGCAAATGAATCTATATTGTCCTTCAGTGATTTGGAATATTGCACATGTTTAGGTATATAGAAGTAGAAATATGCAATATGCATTTTTTAACAGTGTATGTGTATGACTGTAACTTTGTTGGAATCTGCTGCTGCTGTCTCGGCCAGGCCAGTCTTGTAAAAATCAATCAATCAATCAAACTTTATTTACGGTCTCTCTCTCTCTCTCTAATTGTTGCTTTATATTGTATTGCAGGTATTGTATTGGTGATCAGCCTCAGTTCGATAACGCGGCTGCCTGACAGTAACAGAACTATTATGCTCTCCATCTGCTCAACTGGGACTATGTGCAGGACAGAGCAACCTTCAACTCTCCATGAAGAAAATCAGCAGAGAACAGAGCGTTCACTTAAACCCCTGAAGCCAAAGTGATCACAGTTCTTTATTGCAGGTTTCTGGAAGCTGTTGAGTCTTTTTGTGGTTGTATTTTATTGTCATAGCAAAGAGACACATTTAAAACAAAACAACAAAGGATCAGATGAGGATACACTGTGAAACCAAACAGAGCAAACAAACCGTGTTAATGTGCAACTTCAGTTTCTACATTCCCGTATAGGCAGTGATAGGGAGTGATCTCCTGCTGTGTACTGTTGCTAAGAAACCGCACAGGAGCCTCGACTTTCCTTGTTTGCAGCATTTTGCTGCAGTATCCTCATCCTCATGCGATGCTGGGCTCCTATGGAGGATCACTTACAGCAGACACGCAGACAGCTGAAAGAAAGGTTATTACTCAACAGAAAATAAAGGTCCCATTTGCAGTCAGACGTCCCACTTAATCACAGTAGAACTGCCAATGATGAAGGTCAAGGACGACAATCTCTGCATCCTATGATGTTCTCCTCTAGCACAAGATTATGACAACATCAGAGGAATTGTATCAAACCCTTCGATTTAAAATGCATGCCACATTTTTTAAAAAAAATATTTCATGTAAACATTTTCCATTCCAACAGACAGGCACAAGGACAAGAAGACTTAATAGTCACATTCAGTGCAAAGTTGACAGATGTCAGCAAAAATTTAAGGAAAACAGCTTCTCGACCATAACATCCTGAATAGAAAACAAAATACAAGACAAATTTAAATAAAACATGATTAGAAGAACAGAACAAAGCAAGAAAACAAACAAATAACAAAGATATAAGAACACAACACGTTTGGATGGGGTCCTGTCATATACATTGCATAGAAATCAGTCAAGGAGGAGCATGTAGATGTGTGGATAAAAGGTAACACTAAACACCATGATTCCTACAGTCAGGTCTTGTCCAGCAATACTAGAAAAGGTTTTCACACTTAGAGGAAATAGCTGGGGGAGTTTGATCTGCTAGCATGAATCTGCTGCCATATTAGCAGCAGAAAGCATTTTATTAAGCCGCCTGTTTAAATATGAAGGTGTTGGAGACTTCCAATTCAACACCATTAATTTTCCAACCACCACAAAAAAATGAAAAAAATCAGCTGAACACAAGTTTTTCATGCTTGAGTTTGATTTTACAAAAGAGAACTCTCATTAAATAAAGACCAACACTGATCGCAATAGTACAGAGTTTAGTCATACTTAAGAAAAACAGATTGCGGTTTTGTATTCACTAATAAAAAAAAGTGCCTTGTCTAGCAATAAACGAAAATGCTTCCTCACAACTCTTTCCAGCCCTGTCTTCTCTTAACTTCAGAAAATTCTGAAGCAGCCTGTAGATTCAGCCATCAACAAAAAAACATCTTTCATCTGGACATCAAGCCGCACAATGTCCTACAACATCTCACTCTTCTCCGACCTTGTCTGTCAATCTTATCAGTAATGGCTTTTAGATTTGATAAAAGGACATTCCTCTCATGCCTTTTCTCCCTTTTTTCATCTCTTTCCTTCCTCTGTCATTGTATTAAACAGCTACCTTTATCTACACATGGTTGAATTACAGGACAGGCCTGTCCTACCACAGATTGGCAGCTAGGGGCGCTCTTTTACTCATTCCTTCCTGGACATGAGCGTTTTACCACCACCAGCTTCGTCAACAATGATATAGAAATCAGCGAAGAACAGTCCAAAGGTAGGACCTGGACTCAACTGTACTAAATACAAACACATATTAATTCTCCAGTGTGCTTTAAATGAAAACTCATATTTACTGGACCTCATTTGTTTCATTGAAACTTTGTAATCACTCACACCTGGATGTGCTACTCCCTCTCTTGGTTTTCAGACTGCAGGACCCTGCTTTTCATGTGCCTAAACACAGACCCGATGGAGCAGGTCACTCCGAAGGGAGGAGCTATGACAACACCTTGCCTATAGATAACCAGGACCTTCACCAATCCAAGGCCACCTCCGTGAATAAAACCTGCCCTACCAGTCCTCACACCTTACCCCAGGATGGCATCACACAGGAACTCTGCAGTCCAGGACTAAGATCATTCAGACAGGGAAATGTCTCTGAAGGATCCTGTTCACTCTGTTCTCCACCTGCTGAGAAAAACTGGAGCCCACCTCACTTTTTCTGCGCTGTGACCTGCTAAATCGCCAAATGTGCCTTGGCTACAGGACCTTATGGTGGCCCTGACCTGCAAAACACAACAGCAAATCAGAAAACATGACACAAAAAGAGAAAACATAACAGCAAATCAGAAAACACGACACAAAAAGAGAAAACACAATGGTTAATGTCGTTATGTTTATGGTTAAAAAATAGAACTCTTTCTCATGTGAAACAATTGAAATACACCCCTCTTCCTTTACCTCGCTACTTCTGGTGTGAAGTTATCTCGTTATTAAGCCATTACAGAGCTTGATAATGAGCTGATCATTTGAATCAGGTGTGTTGGAGCAGGGAAACATCCAAAACATGCAGGACAGTGGGCCTCGAGGACTGGACTTGAGAACCACTGGGTTACAGTCACAACTTTTTGTGTACTCAGGCTGTAACAGCTGTGGCATTATGACCAAAAATGCATTCAAACGCATTGAAAGTTTGTATAAATGTAGTGGGTTTTGATGGTCACACACCCACACACATATGCACACACACAAATCCTATAAAGGTATTTGTCCACAAAGAGCGTCCTTGCGAGTTCGGCTGTTTTTTTAGATAAGTTTTTATAACTGCATTGCACATTTTTAAAAATTTATTTTCATGAAGCTTTATAATTCTTCTTACAGATCAAATAACACACAAGTTTACACTGTCTGTTCAAACGTATCATTCTGTGGGATAAGCAGCGGGATCCTGACTTCATGGCTTCTGTCAAACCAGCAGAGGGCGCCTTTATATAGCAGACCAACTATGAAACAACATCTCTGAGTCTAAACTGAGGATATGACTGTATTTCATGTACTAATCGTCTCTGGTCTTATCATACAAATAAAAAATGGATCTCCTACAGATTATAACAAATGGGGACATTTCAGTCAATGTTTGCAACTACAACTCCTGATTAAAGCAATATTTATTTTCTGTTTTATGTGTTTAACCTAAAATCTTCTTATGGGCTTTGTTGTTTAACTGTATTGTAGGCTACAGAGGACTCAGACAGGTCCAGGAAAATGATTCCCGATACGCCTAAGAGATTAAGGGTATAAGGAGGTATTTTATTGATTTTTAACATGGAACACGTTGTTCATTCAGATAGCGCTGGAAAGTGTTCTTCAAAACTCAACTTTTCAAGCCATAGAAACTCAAAACTGGTGGTCTTTCTAAGGATTTTAAGACCCCTGGAAGTTCTTTGTCCTGCAGGTCTCATAGGATCCCTTGAACAAGTTTCAGGAAAAAGCTGATAGGAGAAGCCTGGAGATGACGCTGATTGTATTATAGACGTTTTTTTTTTGCAGTCACAGAGGTCCCACAAATCCTTCAGAGAGTGTTTTTGTCCTGACATCATTTGATACAGCCGTTGATTGAATACAGTCTGTGGTCCCGGCATGTTGCTGATTTTCACAACGTCCTTTTTAATAGGATCCAAGTGCACAGCTGCGCCGGGAACCAGGTTTTGAGGGCCATGAGTTAATTGGAAGTGATGTTTAAGATGCATTCTTACAAACCTGATAAATGAGTTTGCATCGTTAACATCTGAAAATAGGTTCATATTACATTGATTGAAACAGGCTTTTGAAGCTATAGCTGTATTTACTTTTCTGGTGATGTTAAAGTTTCTAATTTATTTTTCTGTTATACAGTCATCAGGCGTCACAGCACAAAACAGGTCAATCTTAATCTTAAATTAAAGATTTAAATTAAAGAGGCTATTTTGTCTTGATTTCCAGAGCTACTCTATGGGCTTTGCTCACTGACTTCCCTATCTATCTTCTAACTTTGTTGTGGAGGGCAGGGATCTGCTTTTCGGAGAATAGCTTTTGGTTTGGTATTTTAAAACAAGACATGTAGGAGGTGTTTGAAATCTTTGTTTTCTGTTACACTGTAAGGCTGAATATCTTTGCAGATGAAGAATGCCACAGCATATGTCATTGCCATTGAGCATGTAGATTTATTAGCAACCGGGGCATGGAAGAAACTTGCAATTCTTTGCTCACCACTTTTGGAGCTGTCGGCTGCAGGTGAATCCGAGCTGGAAGCAGGTGAGGCGGGGGTGCTAGCAGACCCCTCCACGGCAACACCTTGGCGCTGAGTTATCAGGTTTTTTTTTTTTTATATACTTTATTAGGTCCGTAACATATAGCAATACAATTCAATTGCCATTTCATCAATGTTTCTTTTTCATCATTTATATCACTGTTTTACAGACATTTTGACCCTTTTTTTTTCTGCACACAGAAATAAACTCAAACAGAGAAGTAAAACATGACATTTCTACACAAAAACATGTTAATAAATAAAATAGAAAAAAAAACTCTCTCTATATATAAATTAATTCATTTAAAAGAAAAAAAGGCTTTGTTGTGTTTGTTTCAGCAATGAAAATTCTGTTTTTAGGCATACAGGTTATCCTTATTTGAAAGATAAGAGACCCATCTTTTCTCAAACATCTTTTCTTTTGAGTTACCAGGTTAGTCATACTGCCTGTGTATTTTACAGCAGCGTGAGTCCAAAGAAATTATTATGCCCTCAAAATGGTTTGGTAGCTTAAAAATAAAAGTTATGTATGAAACGGATCGGATTGTATCGATACAAACATATATTAACGAAACACCTTGATATGCATTCAAAACTCAGTCACTAGTAGCTGCTCTACCGGTCCACCCACATCTTGCACGCGCATGACCGTGTATTGGTATTAATCTTCTCATCCCAAGTAACAGCCTTTTTCTTTTCATTCAGATGTTCACTTACAGCAGGATGAGGCTGGGGGTTGAAAACATTACTTGCACGTGTACAGGACAAGAGATTCAAGCTGCTAGAACTCATAATACAGTATACCAGCGCATCAAACCTCATGAAGTAGCTTGCCATTTGATCCAGCAGAGTAACCTTGCACTCTTGACCTCAGTAAACTGATACTGGAATGTTTGTCTCCAAAAATGGAGGACATGGTCAAGCAAAGCAGCGTCATAAAAGACAAAGATGGGCTCAATGTTGACTTTGTACCTGGTAGCTGTCTATTCATCAACAATGAATAGTTTGCAGGGTGATAGCTTTTGCACCCACATGAGGCAGCAGCACCCGAGGCACCACAGATGAGTAGTGCAACTCCACATGACTGCCCTTTTTTTATGGGAGGCCACTTGCCAAAGGCTCGGAAAAGGGCAATCATGATAACATTGCAAAACTCACAAGTGTCTAAACAATTGCATGTGATGTTCAACATTCATATGAAGCTATTGTCTTTTTGATTTTTCTTAAACGAAGAGCCCTTAACATCAACCTAAAGTCCCTCACAGGAGCTTTAAGGGGTTTTGGTATAGTAGCATTTAAATGCACAATTTACCAGCTTCAGGTTGTACTTGACATTAATCTTGCAATCTGTGTCTGGTTCCTTTGTTTTATAGCTTGTCTAAAAGATGGGGGTAGACTCAAAGCTGTCAAGTTTGGTCTAATTCTGCTCATAATTTTTCCTTTGTAGGGGAAAGTGGGGCAAGATGAGCCATTTTTCATATTTCGGATCACTACATCAAGGCGAGCATAGTTTTGTCTCTAACTATCGTATCTGCATATATTTCAAAATGTTGTGCATCCCTGCAAACCAACAGAATGAGTGTAAACATAACTGTCTTGATAATATAGCATGCAAAAAACAGAGGTCTCCTATGGTCAACTTACCCTGTGTATGGGGTAAGTTGAAAACAAAATTAAAATGATCTTCTTTGGTCTGAACACAATTCTAATAAAACTGATGACAGACTAAATTCACTTTCAGGAGTGAAATTTTTTTTTTTTTTTTTGTAAATAAATGTCTAACCCCTTCACCCATGTGCTTCTAACCTTCACAGACTCCATGAATTGATGCCCATCTCCTAAATATTTGGTCACATGATCAATTTCTTTTTTCCATTTCCAAGCAACAGCGGGTGGGTCAACTCACCCTTTGGCTCAACACTCTCCCCTACCTGTCTCAGATAAAGGGAGAAGGTTGTAAAAAATAACCACCTGAAATACACAGTACAGGACACTCCAAAATCAATCAATCAAACTTTATTTACAAAGCACTTGTCATACAAAAATTTGGCACCAAGTGCTGTCCATTCAAGCAGGACAAAAATACAAATACAGAACCCTCCCTAACCCACACAAAATTCACACATGCATAGCACGAACATACTACAACAGGCAAGGGCTGTGTCCGATATGGATCCCTAACCCCTATATAGGTGACTATATGGGGGTTAGCACCATTTTGAGGGGTGTCCGAAACCTCAGTGATCAATTCCAGTGCCCAATATAGGCGACTCAAAATTTCCCATAAAGCATTGCAAAATGTAGTGACCATCCAGTGGTCACTCACCGGTGGTGGGCATCCCGTCATGCATTGCGTCTTGCCATGTAGTGTCCGAAAACTCTGGTGATTGAGTTCACTACATAGTCAACTGTATAGTAAAATCCCATATGGGGGTTAGGGGTTTGGGATTAAGTGATTCATTTCGGATACAGCCAAGGACTCTTCAAATTGCCACAGATGACTGAGGAAATGCTAAGACAAAAGTGATAAAACCATGATAAGATATAATAAAGGAAATTAATTCAAATAAATCAGGCTGTCAGGATGCTGAGAGACAGCAGGACACGGAGCACAGAAGCTGTTTTGAAAACAAGGGTTTGCCTCTTCTTTCTATAAGGCATTGTTCCTCACAGCACAGATCCTCCCATCTATGAGCTTTTTTTACTTGCAGGTAGCTCTTCTTTTAGAGATGAGAGAAACCTGTCAACCTAGATCCTCCTCTCAGTCTCTGTAAACACAATCCTCAGACCTTTTCCCAGCCCCCTATCATCCGCTGTTAGTCCCCTCTGTGCCAGTGAGAGCACAAGAAAGAGACAAAAGAAAATAAACAAAAAGAGGTAACAAAACACACAATAGTAACTCTGAAACTTCAATGGGGTAAAATCATAAAATTTCTGTTTAAGAGATTAAAACAAAATCATGTAAAAGCCAGACTTAAAAAGTAGGTCTTGAGTTTACTTTAAAAAAAAATGTAAAGCCTCATGGAGCCTCATTCAGTAGTTGTGTTCTCAGATCTAGGTGAAGTTTTTCTAACTCCCCCCCAGCCTTTGAAAACTTCCTGAATGAATCAGTCAGGAAGTAGGTCAACAGGGCGTCCTTTTGCTGTTGCCTCTCAGATATGAGCTTCCACAAAGGTCAGCAGGCATAGAAATCATGTGAACTGAACAAATCACGGCTGTCTGGGTAGACTCTTTCAGGCTTTAGTATGCATTAGATTAGGGGTGTTGTTGTTGCACTGCAAACACGGGTTTATAACTTCTATTTAGCAGCGTCATGTGGTCGAAAACTTGCAGATCTTCCCCCTATTTGTCACAAACTTGTTTAGGTTTTCAGGGAGAGGGAAGAACATCCCCTGAAAATGTTCATACCTGTAACAAGAGTTTTAGGCGGTAAAACACAGTCTTTACTTCTTGTATCCCCCTGATTCCGCCATCATTCGGACACATTACATCCTGTAGAATCGTGGTGGTGATCCCTCCATCAACACATGGCAGTCTGAATTTATCGAGTGGCAGCCAATCAGAACGCTCCTTTCAGGGCGAGCCTCCAACGCGCTCAGCCAATCAAAACCGCGGAATCAGAACCGTGCCTACGAGTTGTGCAGCAAAGCGGTCACGTGACGGTTGGAAAAGGAATGCCAACATGGACCCGTGGCAAGGACGGGATGTGAGTGTGCTACGACAATAACACGACGAAGGAGAAGAGATACGAGCAGGATTTCAAAACCCGTCGACGGTGCTGCTCTTCCTCACCGAGCCTCCTTCGAAACATACACGGTAGGTTGAGCCGAGTATCCGGGATCCTCCTGTACGGATCCTCCGGAGAGACGGAGGAGTATAAATAGAACATTTTTTGACCCAGCCGAACTTGAGACTCGTGGATTACTGTGGAGGGGCGCTCGCATTCAGGCGGATTAGCATGTGATCGATCCCTTCTTCCGTGTAAACACATTCAGGGGGACGATTTATCCGCTTTCGGGGACCGATTGTGGGCTCGTGGTGAGTTCTCTTCGACATACGGCGATGGGCGCGTCAGTGCGGGCCGTGTTTACCCAGCGCCTTGTTCGTGCACTGTGTGGAGTATGAGGCCCTGCTGCAACATGTGCCTGACCGTCTGACAGCAGCTCCAAACATCCTTTTACATAAGCAGAGGGGAAGTTCCCCTCCACTGTTCAGACTCAGGTTTCAAACTGAAGAGCTGCGGACGTCAAAGAGGTCTTTCTTTACTACGACCCTCTAAGTTTAACTTTTAGTTTAACTCTAGTTTGCAACCTTTTTTATATTGATGTTTTCAATCTTCATAACTTGCCAGATTTGACAAACCCACAGATCTGTGACTTCAAACCTAAACAACTCCAATGTTAGGCGATTAAAGGAGTTCTTGTGGTCAACAGATTAGGGGCGGGACATGTGGATTGGTAACAGATCTGACTCATGCAACCACAGGAGCAGATCTGGAGCACTGGCATTCAGAGACAGAGTATTTACACATGCCTACTCATTGAGTGATAAATAAAAGTAGAGGAAGATAGTTCACAAGATTTTAAAGAGGTGTGGACAGATGTTGATGTTTTAGTAAATGAATACAACTCTTAACAGTTTAAATCACTGCCTCACTATTTCATGACTCCATTCAGGTACAGTATTTTTGCCTGATGGGGTCATTTAGTATTGTTCCGTTATTGCGGTGTTGTATCATTAGCCCCGTTTATATGGGTAGTTTTCCTCAATCTGATTAAAATCAGTCGGATTAAGTGAATCTGATTCCATCTGTATACATGAACTTTAAGGAAAGAGATCCACATTCAATCCACGTTTGCATGGCCCTAGCTGAATCCGATTGATTGTAGAAAGATGGATCCGCGTCGTGTTTTGTTGGGGACGCTTATTGTGTTGTGGTACAACAGTTTTTCTGTTTGTTCGCCATGTTTGTTTTGGGTTGGGCGCGCTCTGCGTACGTCACTACGTGCCTCTTACGTACTACGTAGTGCCTGCGCAGACCGAACAAGCCTCTCTGTAAACCCAATCCGCTCCACTCAGCTGTATATATGGAGCATGGAGCGGATTATCAATCGACGTAGACTACCTCTTACAATCCGACCCAAAATACAATCAGATCCGGGTGAATCAGATTGGCTAAGGTGTTGATATGAGACATTTAGACCCATGTAAACGGGGCTATTGTATAGCTGTGTTGTGAGTAGGGCTGGACAGTGGGAAAAAGTTTATCATGATGTATTTTTTTTCATATCAGCCGATATCGATATATATTGCGATATAAAAAATGAAATTTAACAGTACTTATTGGTAGCTTGTCTTTTGAAATACAATAAGCTACTGCATCTGCAAGGTCCTTGTGTCTCTTTGACGTTTTGTCATAAAGCATTGCGCTAGAGAAAGTGGACTGAATGGTCGGCCATGGCCATGCTCCGTTTGGGGTTTGTAACTAGGGATGTACGCGGTTATTCGTGTAAACGGGGCTGTCCTTACTATCCGTTTAGTAAATAATATTCATTCGTTTGCGTCACATGCTAAAGTGCTATGGTTGCATGTAGCTGCGGCCTGCTACTACGCAGTTGTTTGCTCTTCGGCTCTAATTCAACACATAATTGTTTCAGCACAAAGCGGACCTGGAGCAACTCCCCTTTTCAGTGGCTATTCATATAGTCTACCAAAACGCGGCAGAATGCCAACTATTGAAAAGCATATTGACCATGTTTCATATCGATATCGAGGGAAATTAATTTTAAATATGAATCATTATCGTTTTGTCGCCCAGCCCTAGTTGTGATCATATGACATCCTTCAGAAATGATGCAGAAGTGTTAAAAACTGCAGTTCCACTTTGCGCCAGCTAGAGACTGGCTTCAGAAGCACCAGAAACCACTAACATAAAAGTCAGAGAATCATGAGTTTCCCTGTAATTCCTCCTCCAACCACCAGGGATGTCCCAAGCAGCCAATTCAGACTACAATCTTAATGAGACCTGTCAGGAGTGTTTTATATTTGAATAGATTTGAGCAAAAGTCAGTAAAGCAGTAATTACACATGTCTGTATGACCACTGGTGCTCAAAAGCTTTGCTTTCAGGTTAGCCGTTTTTTTTAAGGGATATTCCAGCGTAAAAATGAGTTAGGATTAAACACACAGTGACACTGAGTTAGACACCCTGTCGAGAGATGAATGTTGCCGATCGCTAGCGTTCCCCCGCTGCAGTCGATGGACTCATCTGGATGTCTCAGTACAAACAAGCGGCTGCTGGTAGAGAGTGGGTGAGTTGTGTTTGGTCCTGTACTGTACCTTGGACCCTATATGTACTGTTGAAGTTAGTTGCTGTTCTGAGCATTATTTGTGGCTATAGAGTGGCTTTTTGGTTTGAGCGCATGACACTCTGTATTGCTATCCTGCGGTCATTACTCAAGTTGGTTTAACTAGAGAAGCAAGCGGTCTGCATCATTCATCTCTTGAGGGGGTGTTTAACAAGGTGTTACAGTGTGTTTGACCATAACTTAATTTTAAGCCAGAATATCCCTTTAAGATTAAATGGATAAATATCACTGAGATTATGTACATTAAAACAAGGCTAATCAACTCTGGTAATATGTGTCATTGCACCACTCTTGATTTGGGGGATTTTGTCAGGATACTTGTATGTAACTGCAGCACAGAGCAACATCACATCATGTTTCACTTCCTATGTTGTGATGATCTTTGCTGCTGTGGGGTGAGGTGGTGTCTGAAATGTGGTGTTGTCAGCTGCATGTCAAGTTTTTAGATGTCATATTGAATTGAACCCAGCTCTGCTGCATGCTGCTTGTCACTCTGCAGGCATTTTAGCCATGGGGGTTGCTAATGCTAACTTCTGGTTTGTTTTCACTCTGTTTACAACAGCTGACACTGCTGATTTGGATTAAATAATCAGCTCAAATTTCTGATCCATTATCAGTAAAAAATTGAGGGAAAAAGTTTGGATTCGCTCTGAACTGAGATCAGAAAAATCCCAAGTCACTGAAGGTGTAGGGATAACCTACAAAAAAAATAACACAAAATAACGGATGGGACATTTCCCCTTAGTGCTGCCTTAAGTATGTCGACAAACATTTTAAAAAATAGGACGCTTCATGTCGAAATGAAGCATTTGTCTGAGGCTCTGGGCAGAGCTAGAGGCCTGAACCAAAAGTGACATAATGAGCAACTTTCTCTGTCCAGATTTGTCGCTGGCTCGCTGAATTTAGGGATGCTTGTTATTGCAAATGGGATCAAGAATATGTACGACTCAAACAGCCAAAGGCGAGCGAAGCACGAGGATCACTTTATGAGTGATCGCTGAAGGAGAGTGCAGGAGTATCTGTATATTTTTGGTGCTCACACTGTACATGTCTTCTAAATGGAATAAGAAGAAAGTAGCTCAGTAGCTCTTTGGCCAGTTATTATTAAGTTGATGTTTTGAGCTCTGTTTCTAAATGTTGGAGAAAAACATTGAACCAGGACACCTTCTTAAAGTGTCTGCATCCCCAGAATAGGTGTTAAATATGAACATTGCATCGTGGGTTTATGGGAAGACCTGAGTGTTAAAAATTTGCTGCTGTTTTGTTACTGTTGTCTCAAGTAATTATTGTGAGAAGACTATAGATGTAATAGTTGTGTAGGGTTTTATTCCACATGCATAAAACTTTCAAGTTTAAAATGTGAGGAAATAAGCTGCAATTCATGCTCATCATCTACTTTTCTGACAGGTTATAAATCCAGTGTCATTGATGCCTTTGCAGGTTTTTGTGATCCCGCCTCTGGATAGAGTTTCAGACAACACTCTCTGCTCTGCATCGGGCCTGGATCAATGGTGTCTCTCAGCAGCAGAACGCTGAGTTTGGAGAATGACCTGTTCAGGGACAGCGGCCTGTTCCCCCTCGACCTGGGAGATGGCGCCTGCAGCGAGGGGGGCAGTTCAGCCTCCTGCGACAGCCCTGAGGCAGCCGAGCTGGAGGTCATGCACATCTGCAGCCCTGGAGAGGAGGAAGAGGAGGAGGAAGAGTATCAGGAGGAGGATGAAGATGAAGGGACGCAGCTTCAGATTTTCCTGGGAGAAGAAGAAGCTGAGAGTGAGGGGCCGAAATTGCCAGAGTTCCCTTTTCATCCCTCCTCCCCGTTCTCCCCAACCCTGGAGGACATCGAGGAGTTCTTGAGGGAGAAGATGGAACTGGTGAAAGAGGGGCTGCTGGTCCCCAAAGAAGAGGCCTGCCCCCTACCGTGCAGTCTCACTCCACCCTCTGATGCACCTCAGTCTGATCCCACAGAGACTGTCTGTGATCCTGGGACTAGCTCCTCTCACTGCACTTCAAGTCCAAACACCCCTAAGAATGAGCTGAACAGCCCCAGCCCGAGTCCATCTGACCCCTCTCTCGCTGCTGAAGTGAGCCCTTCTCTCTCAGCCTCAACCTCACCTGTGCTTCTGGGCGGTCCGTTGGTCCTCCAGCTCCAGCCCCTCCCTCTGACCCAGTCTCAGACTCCAGCAGGCTCTCCACCTGGGGCCCAGAGTGGCATTTGGCTCACTCATCTGGTGATGGGGCTCCAGGATGCAACAGGACAAAATGTCACCCTGCTGGCCCCACAGGTGCCCTCCAACCCCACCACCACCACCCTGCTAGCACTCAACAGCGGAGACAGCAAGTCAGCTGACCACAAGTACGTGAAGATCGCTCCTTTACCCATCACTATGAGGACTCTAGAGATCACAAGTGTGACAGGGGTCGGAGGTCAGAGCAGCAGTGTGCTGAAGACTGTTGCCCCCAGGGTGACCAGAGTGCCGCCCACAGAGAGGGTCCATAAGTGCTCGCACCCAGGCTGTGGGAAGATGTACACCAAAAGCAGCCACCTGAAAGCTCACTTCCGCCGGCACACGGGAGAGAAGCCCTACACGTGTAGCTGGCCAGAGTGCGGGTGGAGGTATGTGTCATCATGTGCTCTGTACACGGTTAAATCACACTAAGCCAAGGAATCAGATTAATTCAGTGAGCCACACTGGAGGGGAGGGCAGGGGAGGGGAGGGCCGCAATCTTTAAATATTACAATCCAGGAAGTCCTGTATGAGTTACAGATGGGTGAGTTTGAAGAGTTGCATAACAGAAAAGCTCTGTGCGGCGGCTTTTAACTCGACAAGAAGAGATTAAACTCCTCATGATTTTAATGATAATCATTCCTCCTTCAGCTCAACGATCAATCACTACCTGAATGTAGATGCACATAACTCTGTGGCAGAGCAGGCTCCTGAATGATGCAGGAGGCTAACACACAGTGCAGCTTTCATTCTGGATAACGCTGCAGCCTTATGACAGCCTGACAGGAAATGACAAATGAAAACCATCTGTATTTAGCTCGATGGCTTCATCTGTTGATACTAGGGCTGCAAATATTGTGTTGACATTAAAATCAGAATTATCATATAGTATTTCTTATTTTTTGACATGTGCTGCACATGCAAACCTCCTTAAATTTTCCACTAAGAATTCCTGTAACACATTAAAAAGCAAGGATAAAAAAACGTCTACATGTTTTGTCCATCTGGATCAAAATAATTTAAATAGTGTGTCTGGGAAGAACCATACATTGACTCTTCACTCTATTGTAACAGCTTTGACTTCAGTTTTGTGGTAATACTCAGACTTGAACCCGTGGTGGAGTATTATGACGATGTGTGATTAAAGGGATATTTCGGAGTAAACTTAAGTTAAGGTAAAACACACCGTAACACTGAGTTAGACACCCCCCCGAGAGATGAATGTTGCTGACTGCTTGCTTCGCTAATTATACCAACTTCAGTAACGACCGCAGGATAGCAATACACAGCTGTCTACGTCTCCATGCGCAAACCTCAACCAAAAAGCCACTCTATAGCCACAAATAATGCTCAGAACAGCACCTAACTTCATCAACAGTACATATAGAGTCCCAGCCGTAGTACTAGCCAGCAAACGTCTTTTTAGCTTTGCCTGATTTCTTTAGCAAAGAGACTAAACACAACTCACCTACTCTCCTTCAGCAGCCACTTGTTTGTGGGGAAGCCCCGACAAGTCGATCACCGAGTGCAGCAGAGTTTCGCATCTCAAGGAAGAACATTTATGATTATTACTTCATGGAAATGCAATCAGAGTTCTTGTGTATCTTGTATGTGCACTGCAGACGCGGTAGTTCTTCTGCTTTAGTGTCTCGTTCTGATTGCATTTTCTTAAAGTAATCATTATAAATTTTCCGCTGCACTCGGTGGTTGACTTGTCAGGGCTCACCCACAAACAAGCCGCTGCTGAAGGAGAGTGGGTGAGTCGTGTTAAGTCTCTTTGCTAAAGAAATCAGGCAAAGCTAAAATTATGTTTGGTGTCTAGTACTATGGCTGGGACACTATATGTACTGTTGATGAAGTAAGGTGCTGTTCTGAGCATTATTTGTGGCTATAGAGTGGATTTTTGGTTGAGGTTTGCACGTGGAGACATAGACTGCTGTGTATTGCTATCGTGCGGCCGTTACTGAAGTTGGTATAACCAGAGAAGCAAGCAGTCAGCAACATTCATCTCTCGAGGAAGTGTCTAATTCGGTGTTGCGGTGTGATGGACCATAACTTAAATTTTACGCCGGAATATCCCTTTAAGACTGAAGAATCTGAGCTCTTGCCCATCTTACATCTGATCACAGACTAACATCTTTTTGCATTTTTGAGCTTTCCTCATATTGAAGGCAAGACTTCAGACGGGCTGATGTCTCTGGTTAGCCTGGCAGTTGTTGGTAGCTCACTTGTGATAGCTACAGCCTGTCCCACCATGCTAACTCTATATAATATATATATATAATATGCTAATATAGATCACAGGAACCACAGTTGCTTCAAGGGGTGGACAAATGAGTCTGCCATGACTCACCGTCCCTTTTAATATTTACCTCCATTAAGTCTTTGCAACATCACCGCCTACAAAAACATCCTCCTGTAAACACAAACAGCTGTTAAAGCCTGCTGATCTAGTAATGATCAGCTGATGCTGTCATTACAAAACAATGTGACTTCACGTGTCAGAGAAAAGGAAGTCTCGTGTCTCTACAATCCCATTCTCTTTATCACTCTCTCCTCTTGTCACGTCCTCATGTATCTCTGGTGGGAGGGACAAAGGGGCGAGTGAGAGTTAAATGGATGCAACCTTAGGGAACTGGGATATAACCTTTGACCCTCTGCAGGCATTACTGATCATTGCTTTTGGGGGAAGTTAAATGTTTATAAAAAACAACATAATTCCTCAGCAGAAAACTGATGGATGTGGCCCTATAGTGTATATAGTTTATTTACATTTGTGACTTTGTTTACATCAACTGAAAGAAGTTGTCGGAGGTGTGACATTGAAACTCGGTCTTACTCTCCCTGTCTCCTCTAACATCCACAGGTTCTCCCGATCTGACGAACTGTCCCGTCACCGCCGCTCTCACTCTGGCGTCAAGCCGTACGAATGCTCTCTGTGCGAAAAGAAGTTCGCCCGCAGTGACCACTTATCCAAACACACAAAGGTCCACCGCAGCTCCAGGCCAAGCAGGATTATCAGAGCCACTGTGTGACACCTTCAGCCAGCTGAAACCCTGCCCTGCACCCACTCACCCTGCCAGCCAGCCAGCCCCGCCTGACCTGGTTCAGCTCAGACCGGGGGGCTCCCTCAAGACTTTTGGTGCTTCATAAGCTGAACTTTTCGAGGAATCTGGGGCTGGCTGCTGTCGTCGCCCGTCGTTTCCCGCCTTTCCCTCCCTGCCGTTTATTCTTCGCTGTTCTTTCTGAGCTGCTAGTCTGATACTAAGCGAACAGCCTCCTCGGGAAGGACTCGGCTGAAAGTGGATTTCCTGGCCTTCTACTCACTGATATTATAAAAACACACACACACAATAGGAGACAGTCTCACTGCGGCCCCTCTTGCAATCACTGCATGCCTTCTGTTCCTGTTTCCAAGCTACCAGGTGCTGTTTGAAGGGGATAGGTAAACAGTAACAGGAGTGTCTGTAATTCAATAATGTCCTTTCTCCTTCTGAGATTGCCCGGCTTCATCAGAATCTAACTTCAGGGTCCACGTGGAAAGAGCTTCCCAACATTTTGTACTTTTCCTAAGTGACAATATACTTCTTTAGTGTAATGTTTATGTCATGTGTTTCACTCATAGGGCTTGTGATGGACAGTTTATTGAAGGGTGAAAATGTAAAGCACCAGAATCCCCTCGAAATACCTTGAGTTACACTCCACCCTGAATCTACAGTCTGACTCTTGCTATGAGCAGCAAATGTGAAGTCATTGTTTTTGTCGGACTTCACAGATGGCTCTTAGCTAACAGTTTGGAAAAACCAAGAGAAACCTTTTTTTGTTTTTTTTGCATCCAAGCCCGGCCTTTTGGACTAATGAAACCCCTTTTTGACTCGTATGCCTTTTCTCAGCCCCAGAATGCCCTAATCTCTATCGATGCCTTTGTCCAAATCACAAAACCTCACTTGATCCTGCTGTTATCATATGACTGCTCTTATTTAACTGTGATTCTTCGTGGGGGTTGCCAAACCAGAAATCCCTGTTCTGGCTCTGTGGGAGCATGAAAACTACACCGTTGGTGTGCGACAGTTTATAAGCTCTTTGTTCTCTCAAATTTTCGTGCAGCCGACTCTTGTGGCCTAGAAAACGCCTCGGTCTATATGTTGTGTATAAGCTCAATGGTGCAGAAGTGATGTAAAAACACTGCTCTTTATTATTTACGGTAGCTTTTACTGTAAATCATTTGTTTGTTGTTTATAGCAGCAAGAAAAGCTAATAGATTAAACGGCTGGCAAGGCAGCTAATGTCTATTCAATCATCTGTATTAGAGTACTTATTATAATGTGTACTGAACATAAAGGACAAAGATAACATGTACAGCTTGTAGCCTGTATATAGATGTTTTTTTTAACCAAACATGATCTTCAATCAGTGCATTAAGCTATTCAAAGGTGTTGTCTGGAGAGGTTTCTCCGTCTGTTACGTGAGTTTGATTGTAGCGTGATCAATCTGTGGAATGTCAGACTAATTATGGTCTGGGATTTGGAGTCCAACTCTATCCACTCACAAACCATTAAGCTGAGTCTGCTGGTTTCAAGTGCACTTGTGTTGGTGAAGACAGAGAAACAGTCGTGCTCTTATGGCAGTTCCATGAAATCTACTGGAACCATAACACGCCAAAAACATACCAACACGCAGGTATTTACACAGGAAGGTTTCACTGCAGCGCACAGTGCGGACGCTCTTATCGTTTTACCTTTGATCTCAACACTTTGGTGCTTGTTTATCTACCAGCGCTTCACATATAAAGACTGTATAACGGACAGTGTAAGACTTTATATAACTGGACTATCTCTGTTGAACCGGCGGACACTTAACACTACAAACTGCAGGTTCTTCGTATTTAAACTTTGCTCAACAACATTGGTGCTTTTTTCGGATAAACTCTGAAGCAGAGCACTTGTGTATGTAGCAGTGCACACTTATTTACACAGCCATCATCTTTAATACTTCTGCCAATAGAATAACGGTTACATTAGATTTCACTCCATATAAACAATCATGCTTAGTAATGTAGAAAACCCGTTCAAAGCAGACAGACGGGCAGACGTGTTTATCTGTCTGAACTGGTGCCGTCTTTGTGTCTGAGCCTCCCCAGGCTGCTTCTACTGACCTACATCCAGACCTGTATTCCCTAATCATCGTCATCATCATCATCCAATTCTTTCTCTCTCTCTCTCAGTCCCGTCTGTGTATCTGGTTAAACACAGGCTGTAATTGTTTTTTGTTTTTTGAATACCAGAAATGCTATTTTCCTATTTGCAAAATAAAAGCTCAAAAATATCCACTGCTGTGCTCTTTTCTTTGCCGTTATCTGGACTGTTCTTGTTAAAAAAAAAAATGTGTTGCAGTAATGGCTCAGTTCACACCCTGTGTTGGATAATTGCAGTATTGTGACAAGGCTCTTTAAGCCCCCACTACCATCTGACAGAACACTATAATGGGGTTTTTATGTTTGACACCTACCACTGAACGCTTGCCAATAATAATTATGCGGCGCACTATTAGGAAGAAGCACTGATGTAAATTTAATGAACATGTAACTGCATACATAATTTCTCTCTTAGAAATAGATCAAGTGATGGGAAACCGAGGGGGGCTGTTCAGAGGAGACGATACAAGAAGAGTGATTCCTTATGTGTGCAATACGCAAAATGATTAACAATACATTATAACATTTAAAAAAATCATATCTTATCGGCCTTTAACTATCTATGAGTGAAGCTTTAGGTACAAATCGTGGGTGTGTGCGGGTGCGCTGAAAAAAGAAAATCCTGTGAAAACATGAAAAAGGCTTTTTTTACATGATAAAATTCAGAAAGGTCAACTTTCTGAGTTACTTATTAAAGATATTAAGATTTTTTGCTTTATTTTGATGAGTAAAATTAGGAATCTGATATCACATCTTATTAAAATGTTTCCTTAGAAATAACATAAATGTGCAACTTAAAAAAAAGTATATGGTTTTGGCTCCTTTACCCACGAATTCATGCCAAAGAGGCCATCAGTCTGCCACGCTGAGGTTTTACTGAAGCCCAGGTTGCTCTGAAAGTCACCTTCAGCTCCTCTGTATTTTGGGGTTGGGTGTTTTTCACATTTCCCACAGATTATCTGAAGGGTGCAGGGGCCTATTCTACGAAGCAAGTTCAACCTAGCGAGGTAGCCTTGGAGCTACCTCACTCAACTTAATGCGGTAGCCAGCGGTCTCGCCAAACGGTCTTACGATGCTGGTTATCAACCTTGTAAGTGGATCCAGCTTTTGCTATGAGCGCGTGCACACATTTAAGGCGGAGCCCGCCGCGTCTGACCAATGGCGAACATGGACCAGTCTGGAGTGTCAGAGCAGGCCGGAGAGCGAAAAGACGAGAGCGAAGGACCGTGTACTTTACAAAGGAGGAGCAGGAGACGATCATGAGAAAGTATGAGGAATTCAAATCTATCATAAACCTCAAAAGCAACACAGTCGCCGCTGCAAAAGCACGGAAGGAATGCTGGCAGAAAATTGCTGACAGTCTCAATGCGGAAGTATAGTGCGCAAAAAATCTTTGATGCCATCATCACCCTGAAATAGCACTGTTCAACGTGTGCTTTTAACATGTACCAGACATGTCTAATTCATTTCCAAGATGAATTCATTCATTTGTTCATTCCTATCATGTTTACATTTTTTGTGTGATATATCGGCCATATGAGCAAAATAAGTGGGTCCGTGCGGATCCTGAAAACTCCCGCGCGCTGGAGTGCTCCTCGGACAATGCGAGCACCGAGGTCTATAGGATCCTCCAAGAACGGACAAGCCAATTTTCGAGAGAGCTCATTGGTCAGTGGGCGGAATAGGCCCTTCGTAGAATAGGCCCCAGGTCAGATGAGTTGATTAACCAGTCGATTACATTTATACCATTTATAGGACAGTTCATCCAGAAAGGTAAAAAACATTTTGTACCTGACAAGTTTCGGCTGCTTTGCCTCTGCAGCCTTCATCAGAGGTGTCACATGATGTTGGTGTGACATCGTCTGTGATGAGTTTTATGTGTTTTGCCATCCTACCTGAGATGGTGGGATGGCGGTGTCCCCCAGCATGGGCCGGAGTAGTAAGAACGTCTAACTTGTATTTCAGTTGCGCAAATGATTTTACTCGCGCTTGGTGTGTGGAGACAGTGAGAGAGATCTGCACTGAGGAAGGTGGAGACTATTCTAAAGAACATGGATCGTCCACTTTGTAACACCGGTGTGTACCAAAGGGCCAATGGAGGTGGACAGCTCCTTTCTCTTTGCTGCAGGACACACAGATTCAAAAGTTATTTTGTACCCACAGCCATCAGACTTTATAATTCTTCTGTAAATAATAGATGACTTGAGATTCCAGACAAATGAATTTCCCTTTGGGGCTCAATGAGTTCTTGTATCATAGAGTATCGTGATGTTCCCTGTGTGAACACCAAAAGCAAAGAAGTTCATCCTCTACAAGACTAATTATTTCTATGCAGTCGTTTTGAACCTGCAACTCCTGAGGGTGGGTCGATTTACACAAGTTGATTAAAGAAATTTGTACTTCCTTTGGTCCAGTATGGTTTCTGGCTAAAACTGATGTGACTGGAAGGGATCTTGTGGCAAAACAAAGAAACGACAACAACGACAACACCATGTCATGTATGACAAATGCAGACACATTTTTCCATTATTGCACATTCCTAACTTCACAGACCTACAATGAAAAGCCCATTTACTACAAGCAGAAACAAACCTCCCATCACTTGTTACCATGCGTCATGGCCTTATTTCTTTTGTCACCTCCTCTGTACTAATTTGCCCAGCGACAGTCTCAGTGAAATGACACCAGTCTGAATCCCCTGCAGAGCTGAATGACGGCAGGGATTACAGCAACAGAGTGGGTTGGCAGGGTAACCACAACAAGGCCACTACGCTGAGTCTCTCAATTCAAAAAAATGCTGCAGGCAGGTTTCAATCCGACAGCCGCTCTCCAATACTGATCTGTCTGCTGCAGTGTGGTGCAGCATCCCTCTGCTCAATACTCTGGAAAGCAGAGAGGAAGCTGCAGCAGCCCAGTCTGCACGCCTATCAAGCTGGAATTTCTGGCTTTTGGTGCTCTCCAGTTGTGTTTGGCCAGGAGGGAGGCACCCGGAGGAAACTTAGACCCCCTTCTCATCAGAATCACTTCTTCTCCTGCTTTGCTTTTTCACGCTGTGTTTCAGAGGTTAGAAAAATATAACAATCTGAATATTGCATGAGCTTATGCAAACAGGCATGCATTCATTTGAGCAAAAAGTACAAGGGTGTGGACAGAGAAAGGACATGGTTTTGGTTGCAGAAATGAATTTTGGCCACAAGCTGTTGTATTTTAACCGCAGCTGACTCAAGTTATTCTCCAACAGAGAAGTGTACTGTCCTCTAAACGCCGCAGGAGAGACTAAAATGTGATCATTCATTTGATAAGTTACCGTGAAGAGAACATCTATTTTTCCTGAAGCCACCAAACAAAGGCAGACCTGTTTTGCTTATTTTTATTGACTGTTCAAAGCTGTGGATTCCTCTGAACTTATTTCAGGATTTATGAGATGCTTTTTTACTCTTTCTTTGGTTTCTTCTCGCTCTTTATTTCTCTTTCATACCTTGCAGGGAAATAGACTGAATTAATGTCAGAATCAGAAAAGCTGCAAAAACAGTTAAACACCCTCAGTGCTGCTTTTATGAATATGTCTTTGTACGTTAAAAAATGGATCAAATAAAGGAGTTACTAAAACTTTGACTGGCAGAGAAATGGTTGTAATGGTGGATGTAGCTCAGTGGTGGACTAGGTCATCTCCCTATCAAAAAGTTAGGGGGTTGATCCAGGGCTAGCCACATGCCGAAGTGTCCCTGACCCTTCCAACTGAACCCTGCCGACTGCATCCAGTGATGTGAATGCAATTTGTAAAAGTTGTATTGAATTGTATATATAGCCAATATACCCATGTGGGGTATGGGTACCACACTGTTTTGGAGTCCGTGCCTTCAACTTTTAAGACCCTGTAAAGATTATTTTTAGCTATCTTTATTTGTGACCCTCCTGCAGTAACAAAATCTACAAGCTCTCAGACTGCTTCTCAGAAACTTCACTTTCTCCGCTCTGTGTGATGCCGCCATTTGCCACTCCAAGAACCTGCTCTGCCCACTCGTTTATATTCAGGATTCATTTGCACCGACCACACATGAACCTATAGAGCAGCACATGAAGCTTGTAAAGGAAACACTGCACGCCCACTGTTTTATAGATCTGGAGTGTTTTTATGCACACACCATTTCCCGGTTTTTAGCACACAATTTTACGCGCCAACTTCGAATGAATTCTATGCACTGTTCCAAAATGAGACCCTGACACTTATCCTCTTGGCTATAGTAGCTGTAGTCTTTGGCTCTTCATACTGTGGTTTACGGTTTTTTGCAACTTAACCAGCAGGATGTAGCCTTAAAGCTTTTCTTGTCCAACATCAAAATGGCAGCTAGCTAACATTATGGAGCATTTAACATCTCTGGAGGCAGAAGTGATGGAGAGAGAGTTGTTGTGTGCTGCACAACAACAACAAAAAATGGACAAACTTCAACACAACGTTTTGTAGAAATAAAGCTATAAGTGTTTTCTTTCCGCTCCTTTCACTGTGCCAAGTCACAAAAATAACGTACATTAAGTCTCATTAAGTACATTGGAGGGATATTCCAGCATAGAATTAAGTTAGGGTCAAACATACTGTAACACAGACACTCTATGGAAATGCGATCAGACCGAGACGCTAAGGCAGAAGAACTGCTGCGTCTGCAGTGCAAAATGATTGTTATGATGATTATTACTTCAAGGAAATGATGAAGTAATAATCATAAATGTTCTTCCTTGAGCTGCATAACCCTGCTGCACTCGGTGATCGACTCGTCAGGGATCCCCCACAAACAAGCAACTGCTGGAAGAGAGTGGGTGAGTTGTGTTTGGTCTCTTTGCTAAAGAAATTAGGCAAAGCTAAAAAGATGTTTGATGGCTAGTACTATGGCTGGGACCCTATACGTATGTACTGTTGATGAAGTTAGGTGCTGTTCTGAGCATTATTTGTGGCTATAGAGTGGCTTTTTGGTTGAGGTTTGCGCATGGAGACGGAATATCCCTTTAAGCTCAAAAGCTTTAAAATGTTTTAAAAGATCCAAGAACCTTTGCCATTGTGAAAACATGTCAGGGACTGCAAAGTATGTCACATTATAACGAAGCAAAGAGAAGACCCTTGTGCAGTACACAAAAAGTTTATTTTAATAAAGGAATAACAGTTGAAAAAAAACTTAGTTGAATGGAAAAATTCCAACACCAACAACAACAACAACAAAAAAAACAAATCCAGACACTAAGACCAGGAACTAGAAATCCACCCAGAAAACACTGGGAAACCTTAAGGACATAAGATTGGGTTGACGATGATCTGACAGAAAGGGAAGGCAGCACAGGGGCTAAATACACAGCATATAACAAGAAATGAAAGACCGGTGAGACAAGAAGACAAGGGTGCAGTCAATAACTAGACGCACAATGAGGAAGAACTACAAAAAACAACAGGAAACACTGACAACTGATCTAAAGAATAAAACACTGAGAACACAAGGGAAACACTACACATCTAAATCAGAAAACACAAAACAGGGAAAACCCCACAACCCAAGAATAAATCATGTGGGAGTATACTCAGGTATGTTGTACCAGTTGTAGATACAAACCACAGAGTATGGAAAGCCGTTTGAGCATAAATTCGATATCAGTGATATCAACCATATTTAGCCCTACTAGTCCTCAATTTAAGCTTACATGTACTCCATTTTGGTCTACTAGTGCGCAAGTAGACCTTACTAGTGAAGCAAAAATTGTCACTAGTACTACTAGTAGACCAAAAAAGTCTACTAGTAGTACTAGTTAGCCTTATATGCTAATAAGGGGGAGGGGAAAAGCAAATTCAGGCTTCCCATTGGCCTTCAAAAATATTACAACCAATCAAGGTGCTGGATTTGGTTATAATCCCTCCTTCTTCATTTGCATTAGGTCTACTAGTACTACTAGTAAACAAAAAAATGTTTTACTGGTAAAGGATTTTGACGCACTAGTGTGCGAGTAGACCTTACTAGTAAAGCAAAATGGTCTACTAGTAGACCATTTTGTGTTACTAGTAGTACTAGTAGACTTAAAAATGTTAGTAGTAAAAACTCAAATTTTACTAGTACTACTAGTAGCACAAAATGGTCTACCACAGAGTAGCACAGCTACAAGTAATGTAAGTGTACAGCACTGACTGACATATCCCTGTCATATCCACCCAGAGTATGACCACACTGTAAAACATTAGATGGTGTTAACATGGGCAGGCAACATACTTTGAATTTCTTCCTGCTGTTGTGATGAGTCACTCAGGCTGCAAGTGAAACCAGAAGCACCACTCTATTAATAAACAGGTTCAGTCATGGATAGACTGAACAGTCCTGATGTTTTTTGGCTGAATGTCAGAGTTACACTGGAGTTAAACGGTGTCCTGATTGGTTGAGGATGAGTTTAAAGAGACTTGTTTGAAGCACCTTAACTGTTTTGTATAGCTAATAATTTATTGTATTACTGGAATGTTGAGCAGCTCCATTCATGTTGAACTCACAGTCTTACTCGAGCCAATGACATCTGCTGAATGTTGTGATTGTTATCGTGCCTGTTTAATGCATCTTTGGTCTTTTGCGACTTGTAGGTCACCTCATAAATTTGTAAAATTGTCCTCAGACACTTAAACACACTTTTAATATATTTTAGCCCATTTTATATGAGATAACCACCAAAAATGTCAAACGAATTACACCTGAAGGGTCCAGCACCGGTGCATGGTGGTAAAATTCTGCTATTATTTGCTGCCACTTGGTGGTTAATTGAAAAACATACATACAGTTGATTCCTTTTTATAACCTGCTTTATAACAGAACATTTCTCATTGAAATGTGTCTGTGTTTTGTACTTCAAAGAGTGTAATGCTTGGTCTTATAATTTAAAAAAGGACTTAGTCTGACTGTTATGTTGAACCTTATTTTGAACAGGTGCTTATTTCGTTTAACTGTAAACACCAAGTGTTTTGCATTCAAATGTAAAAGACAAATACTCAGTCTCTCAGAAATGTTGTGCTTGAAAATAAGAATAGCTTTCTGGTTCCATGGTTGAAAATCTTTGAATCGCTAACAATCCTGTATAAATGAGTGAGAAATCTGCTCCTGTTGTATTCAAAAAAATAAAAAAAAAACATCCCCCCCTTTTTTTTAAAGCAGCAAGAAGAGCTCTGCAGAAGTTTTATTTTAACTAATTCACAAATTTGTTTCATAGAATCAGCTTTTTCCAAGTGCTCTCAATACTGTGATTGAGACTCACCCTCTGTGTTTCAAAGGCAGTAACCATTATTTACTCAGTAGCAGCAAATATTTACCGTCTGCAGTTCAAACAATAACAGCAGCTGGAGGAAACAGTTGTATAGCCTTGTGAGAAATCTGCAGCCTATGAATTATGAATGAGATAACTATTACTGTGTTGCAATGCAGTTTCTCATCAATTGCATCCACAGGGGAATAACCATATGTGTGAGACAGCTCGTTTAAGACAATTTTTTTTTTTTAACAGCCAAGCACATAATAGGATGAACAAATTATCATAATACTGCTGAGGAAGAAAGAAATGCGTTTTGATGACACACTGTTGAGGCATTAAGCTGCTTTCGTCACACTCCCTTTGATTTCATTCCTTTCATAACTGAGGCCTGTCATTCACAGGTGCTTACATGATTTTCCCACAGTGACTTGCGTTCAAGGCCCTACATTGATGTGGTGCACCCTCCTTTCCAGGAAACTTATCAGATTATTATTTGGATTTATTATTTTAGAGTATCCATTCATCTTTTGCGTGTCTGAGCTGCGATGTGACAGTTTGATCTGTCAGTTTGCCCCTCTAAAAAATATGTCTACCTAACAAATTGGTCTTATGCCGCAGACCTTTATCATTTTATTAACATAGTTCATTTAAATTACCCTCTTCGCTATAATGTTGTCAAAACGTCAGCCATCAATAAAAGCAGGTTCTATAAATCCGAGTTATGATGCAGTGCTACGTTTTAATTCGAGGAAATTGGAGAAAAAGGAAATTGTTGAAGCACAAAATATCGTTGAGCAGCATTAGGCCTATTTCTTTTTTAACAAACTTGATGCATAATTTCAGAAAAGACACAAATGTGCTTTGCCTTTTACGATATGTACAATTAAATGTCAAAAAAGATTAATAAAAATAAAAAAACACGACAAAACTAAAATATAATGTGCAATATATGTTGATTTATTTATCAAATAAACCTTGGATTAAGCTTCAATCAATCAATCAATCAATCAAATCAATCAAATTTTATTTATATAGCGCCAATTCACAACAGTCGTCATCCCAAGACACAAGAGCAGGTCTGGACCATTCTCATTGTTTGATGAATTATCAATAACCAACCTAAAATGGGTTTTGGCCCATCTAATCTAACATGAGTAACAGTGGCAAGAAAAAACTTCCTTTTAACAGGCAGAAACCTTGAGTAGGACCAGATTCATGCCAGACAGCCACCAGAGAGAGAGAGAGAGAGAGAGAGAGAGAGAGAGAGAGAGAGAGAGAGAGAGAGAGAGAGAGAACAAGATATACAAAATGAATTCAGTTTACAGGGTTAGGACATAAGTAATTATGGACTATGTTAAATTAATTTAGTGTGATTACAGTCAGCAGCCCTAATAGTAGTTAACTCTAGTTTTATGTTATGAATGTCAGTGAGGTTGATGTTCAATCGTGGAGTTTTTGTTGTTTCTGTTGTTTATACGTTTTAATCTTTCTATGTTCTTTTTATTTCGCTGAAAGTGTCCAGCGTGGGTGACTTTCAGCAATTCTGGACTTCTGATAAACACAACCACAGAAACGAGAGAGGAAGTGATCTCAGCACGAGTTAAATGAGGCATTTGAAGTTTGACGGAAGCGACGGAAATTGTATGTATCGTATACAAACAAAGCAGACATTGGTATTTTAGCCTACAGGAGGTGCTGATTTGGAACCTTGAATCCAGATGAAGAGAGGCGCATCAGCGAGAGAAACACAAAAGTTAGCATCACTTTAAATATTCAGTGAAAATCATTATGTAAGCGTATTCCCTCATCGCTGTCATGGCTTTTTTGAGCAGTGACAATACGTATAACACTAAATATCAAAAGCAAATATATTTTGCTGAATTTGTATTTCAAGGTAAAATATGAATAAAAAATAGATAAAAGTTTATTATATCTCTGTTAAAACAGCCTCCTGTTAGCTGTAAAAACTCCTTTGTGCTCACGAGTTAACGCAACGACAGCCCCAAGAGTTTTCGACACTGAAAAAAACGAGCTGCCGTGAACGCATCATATTTTTCTTCTGTAAATGATATATCGACTGCGAGAGCCTAAGGAAGTGTAATGTGTCAATGTACAGCTATTTTCTCTACACTTTCTCTCAAACTTGTTTTCTGAATTATGGCGCTATAGAAAGCTTTTCAGCAATGATCTGGGAACACCTCAACGCGACTCGACGACTCGGAAATTCAGCGGGCTGTACGAGTGAGGTAAGGTTAGCATGCATGCTAACGGAGCTAGCTCATAGCTATTGTACAGTCCACAAACTCCCTCAAATACCATGATTTGATAGACTCCTTCACCAACACAGGAGTGGTTTGTTAGAGGTCTAGCTTCTAAGACCGAAAGTTAGACTTTAAACCACAGGGAAATGAGTAGTTGTGAGTGTTGAACGGTAACGAAAGTAACGTTGATCATCAACAAGTGGTCTTGTGTTTTGCTGTGTGGGTGCTGTCTGCTTCTGGCTCTCTAAACCAGTCCCTCCAGTCAGGGCGCATAGGAACTTACCCATGTTATATGACCGATCAGACCCTGCCATGGTTACCTCAGTGATAAGGTTTGCTGCTCATGTGGTATGTTACATAACGATCATCTGTTATCTTTTTCTCTGGCAGCAGTTTTGACGCTGTCCTATTTTTACTCCGACATCAGCGCTTTAAAATGACAGTTTGGGACAGATTGTGAGTGGGGGAGTGTGTCTCCATACCAGCAGATCTGGATGACTCTGGACAGATTTACCCGTATCTATAAGAAGCTTACACGATGAGACACTCAGACACACTCTCTCACACACACACTTGTTGACAGATACTGACGTGGAGAGCACAACCCACTATCAGCCTGTAGCACTGCAGGACAAAATCACAACATTCACTGTGATTTTTTTTTATGGTACAATCCCAGATGTCTGATCTGATCGATACCTGGTCCTCTTTGACCCTTGTGAGTGTGCTACTCCACTAAAACAGCCACAACTGTAGTATGTGTGTGACCAGGTTTTTATACACAAACTGAAAATTGCATGTCACAAAAGTCATTTCAACTCAATATTTAGTTGGAAATAGTGCAAATGAAATTTTGATCTCTTACATATTTGGGAACACACCATTTATGCTGAATAATGTAAATAGGTTTTGAATCAACGTGCTGCAATGAATGCTGAAGTGGCCTTCTTGAAGTCTTGACTTGTCACTAGGGCTGGGTGATATGGGAAAAACTTTATCACAATATTTTTTTTCATATCGATATATATCATGTTCTAAAAAATGAAATTTAACAGTGCTTATTGGTAGCATGTCTTTTGCAATACAATAAGCTACTGCATCTGTGAGGTCTTTGTGTCTCTTCTGCGTTTTGTCGTAAGGTGTTGCGATAGAGAAAGCAGACTGAATGGTCGGCTGTTTCGGCTGCACAGGCGCCATGGGCTCCTTACTCCGCTTGGGGTTTGTAACCTTGAGCACATTTTCTTTTTTTCTCACTGATAGTGCTGTCAGCTTCACGTGTTTAAGTGTTATGGTTTCATGTAGCTGCAGCCTGCTACTACGCAGTTGTTTGCTACTTGGTTCTAATTCAGCACATGATTGGTTCAGCGCAAAGCGGACCTGGAGCGCCTCCTCTTTTCTCTGGCTATTTGTATAGTCTACCCAAACATGGCAGAACGCCGGCTATCGAAAAGGGTATTGACCATGTTTTATATTGATATTGAGGGAAATTAATTTTCGATCGTTATATCGTTATGGTTTAATCGCCCAGCCCTACTTGTCACCCACTGAAAACATTTGGCACATGATCATGACCCATAAAATATGTCAGTGGGGACACAAAACTGTTGAAGAACTGAAAACCTACATCAGGAGGACTCCAGAAACTGTTCTACTTAGTATCCAAATGTTTACAGAGTGTTGTGCAAAACATCAAATTCTTCTCTGAACATTTCACACAGCGTCACAACTTTACAGGGTTTTGGGTTGTCCATGGACAGCTCCTTAAAGTCCAAAATAATAATGATAATCATTGGAATGTCCCCCTGTGGGACTAATAAAAAGGATATCTTATCTCGATACAGTCAAGGAGCATACTTAAGTAAGTCTAAGTCTTTTTCAACTTGTCAGTCACATACACTTGTGCTGTAATACATGCAAGGAGATAATCTTTGGACAAGGTAAATAAGGTAAAGTTATGAGCCTGGGTGTGTTGTTTTCTTCCGACAGTGAAAATGCCTCGTACAGCATTAGGTGTGAGTCACTTTTCTTGCACCTGCAAACTCAGCAAATACTGGTGTGCCAAATTTAGCCGATGTCTGAAAAAGGAAATTTGAAAAATATGTGCTCCTTCACACCCCTCGAGAATTTTAAGGTTTCAAGAAAAGCGGAACACTCTTTGTTCATGGGTTTTATGGGGAGTAGGTTTCCTCTTTTTCTTCCTCTCTAGACAATTACAGGCTGTCAGGATGCTGAGAGACAGCAGGACACTGAGCACAGAAGCTGTTTTGAAAACAAGGGTTTGCCTCTGCTTTCTATAAGGCATTGTTCCTCACAGTACAGATCCTCCCATCTACAAGCTTTTTTTACCTGCAGGTAGCTCTTCTTTTAGAGATGAGAGAAACCTGCCAACCTAGATCCTCCTCTCAGTCTCTGTAAATACAATCCTCAGACCCTTTCCCAGCCCCCTATCATCCGCTGTTAGTCCCCTCTGTGCCAGTGAGAGCTCAAGAAAGAAACAGGTAGATAGAGATGAGGGGAACAGCTGTAAAAGGAATTAAAGGGATATTCCAGCGTAAATTTAAGTTATGGTCAAACACACTGTAACACCGAGTTAGACACCCCCTCGAGAGTTGAATGTTGCTGACTGCTTATTTCTCTACTTATACCAACTTTAGTAATGACCGCACGGTAGCAATATACAGCGGTCTATGTCTCCATGTGCAAAAGCCACTCTATAGCCATAAATAATGTTCAGAACAGCACCTAACTTCATCAACAGTACATGTAGGGTCCCAGCCATAGTACCAGCCATCAAACATCTTTTTAGCTTTGCCTGATTTCTTTAGCAAAGAAACCAAACACAACTCACCCACTCTCCTCCAGCAGCCGCTTGTTTGTGGGGGAGCCCTGACAGGTCAATCACTGAGAGCATGAAGTAATAATCATCATAATAATCGTTTTGCACTGCAGACGCAGTAGTTCTTCTGTCTTAGCATCTCGGTTTGATTGCATTCCCATCAAGTAATTATCATAAATGTTCTTCCTTGAGCTGCGAAACTCCGCTGGTCTTGATGATCGACTTGTCAAGGCTCCCCCACAAACATGTCACTTAAAGTTACGGAATATCCCTTTAAATCTTCAGCACTTCAGAGCAATAAACTGAATAATATACAGCTGCACAGCCGTTTTTTATAGCCTGACACTGCGTTTATGATCTCTGTTCCATGGGCACAATAATGTTTGTAAAACCTTATACTTTTTGGGTGTTTTTCTCTCCATGTCGTGTGTCCTGCCTCTTTCAATGTTGGAGGCGCCAGAAAAGACTCCCACAAAAGTTGCTCTCACTTGCTCCATGATGCCCCTTCACTTCCTTTGCATACAAAACACCCTTCAAGGTAGCACACGTAAAATTGATTTATGGATCACAAGCAGAATGGCTGAGGACAAAGATGATGATGATAAGAATCTTGGCAGAGATAATAGAAAAGCTCTGCATGACCCTTGAAAGGTGCATCCATCGGCATAGTGATGGCAAGAAGTGTTTGTTAATTGTACTTTGACTTTTTGAGACACTCAAGAAGAAGGCCTCTGTTAATGTTACTGGCGAATCCTGGTGTTCAGGTTCTCATTGCAATAAGGAGTTACTGATTTTGAACAATGGAATGAGTCTTAAAGTAGCTGATTTTCTGTATTTTACTTTTTCTATCAAGGCAAATATATATTTTCATGAAACCAACAGTCTGAAGTCCATACTATCAATGGATGGGATTGAAGTTTTGGATAAACGGTTCATTAATTACTGTGTATCTGTCAGGGCGGTGCAACATCATAAGTATCAAACTATGTCCAGCTGTGACACATGTAACACACATGTGAGAAATACGTCAGTCCCTTTCAGCACATGCCTTGAGGTGAGGTCAAGAGAAAACCCCTGCGTACTGGTGTACATATACAGGAAAGCTGCTCAGAGGTATCAGACAAAATCTTTCTTACAGATTGTGCATTTGCTGTGATGAATCAGTCACTTTAACTGCAACCGCAATAAAGGCTGAGAAATCCAAGAACCTTCGCAGGAAGAATTCTCATCGTTATTTATTCCAAGTATTTAAGTATGACAGTATTTTAAGTTATTCAAAGTTTTTTCATTAACTGTGTTTATAATAATTTTGCAAATGTGGTTTCATGAATCGACACAAGGCTCCCTCAACTAACTCCCTTATGGTGATCATTAATCACCGTTCTTACTGAGGGCTCATTTCATTTTCCGTGCCATATGGTGTTATGATACTCTTTGAAAGCCAGATGTGAACAAGATGTTTGACCTTTACCAGGACCAATGAAAAGCCACATCAGTGTGCTGTGTGTTAACTGTGTCCTTTAAAGAAATAACTGTTTTTAACGAGGCTTAGGTCTATTTATATGAAAGGAGGACAGTAGTATCAATTAATCTCAACAGTTCTACTGCATGGTGTTATGGGAGTTTTCAGCAATCCCTCCAGTTAAGGAGATAAAGAAAGTGGAAGTCTTCCCTCAGCTCTCCGCTCCATCATTTTCTGAAAATGGAACGACACAGAAGGTGTCTGACTTCATCCATCTGTTAATGTAACAACTCTGGAAATAGTTCTGCAGGATGTAAGGTGGTTTTATTTCACTGCCATATGGGAACCATATGCGTTTTCACCCAATGGTGCACCTGAAACTTGCAGCTTCATGTTCAGTGGTTAGATTACTGTAGATATTAATTAACTATACAGTAAAGCTGCCATACTTTTGTTTATGCTTTGAAGGGTTTAATTAGTTTATTTTCAGTTCTTTATAGTTGTTCTTATCGATATCAGATTTGATGGGCTTAACGTTTAAGTAGTTTGCTGTAAACTACATTGTGCACTTACGTATTTACTGCATTTGACTCACACTGCTACTGATGGCCTCCATAGGTGCACACACATACACACATGCACACTGGGGGTGGGAGAAAAAATCGATGCAGCATAGTATCACGAGATATTGTCTGGCGTTATATCTTATCATCTCATTAACCAAGTATTGATTTTTCAAATTAATTGTTAATATGAAGTCAAATCTATGATAATGGAAAAGTAAAATCAACTGTTTGTCCAGTGAGGTTGGCAGAGGTGACAACATAGAGCAGGAGAAAGTTAGTACGACAAATATATATATAAGGTTTTGCAAGATGTGCTACATAAAAATAAAATACAGAGTAAATAAGACAAACATAAAGGAGAGACAAATGCTAAATTAGCTTAACAGTTGAAAAATCTATAGATTGCAATATATTGTATCGCAATACTCACTGTATTGCAAAATGTTAAAAATCTCATAATATCATATCATGGCCCAAGTATCACGATCATATCATATCGTGGCCCAAGCATCAAGATAATATCGTATCGTGGCCCGAGTATTCCACACAAAAATCTATAAATTGCTATATATTGTATCGTAATACTCACTGTATTGCAAAATGTTAAAAATCACATAATATCGTATCGTGGCCTGAGTATCCCGATAGTATCGTATCGTGGCCTGAGTATCAAGATAAAATCGTATCGTGGTTCAAGTATTGTGATAATATCGTATCGTGGCCTGAGTATCAAGATAAAATCGTATCGTGGCCGGAGTATTTTGATAATATCGTATCATGGCCCGAGTATCGCGATAATATCATATCATGGCCCGAGTATTGAGATAATATTGTATCATGGCCCGAGTATTGCAATAATATAGTATCATGGCCCGAGTATCAAGATAATATTGTGTCGTGGCCCGAGTATCGTGATTATATCGTATCTTGGCCCGAGTATCAAGATAATATAGTATCGTGGGGCCAGTAGTGATTCCCACCCTTAATGCATGCACACACACACACATGTTCCCGCTTTGAAAAAAACAACACGTCAGAGCAGAGTGGATACAACATCACCTCATCATATGATCTGCCTGAACAGTCTGAATTTACTTAACAGACTTTTACTGGTGTGGTACAGGAGCCCTGTGTTTGTATACTGTGGTTTACTGATCTGACAGCTCTTCTTTTGAACTTGTGTTTTCTTTAGTGAGAGACATGGACAACTCTGTCACCCTGTGGCAGTTTCTTCTCCAGCTCCTGTTGGATCCCAGTAATGAGCAGCTGATCTGCTGGACCAATGAGGAGGGGGAGTTTAAACTGCTGCAGGCAGAGGAGGTGGCCCGGCTGTGGGGAGCCCGCAAGAACAAGCCCAACATGAACTACGACAAACTCAGCAGAGCACTGAGATACTACTACGACAAGGTAAACACACTGACTCCTCCCTGTTGTTGGACACAGCAGTGGGTTTAGGTGACCTAGAGTGCTTTCACTGCCATGTACTTCAATGCTTTAACTCAGTCCGGGTGCTGTTTGAAGTCTTTCATAAGCCAGCACTGTCACCATAGGCCAACCGTCAACCTTCAGTCAGATGTTTTCCTGCATTGTTGTATTCACACATGTTGCTGCCTGCTCAGTAAACTTGATTGGACACATTTCCTAAACACTGTAACTAACTAATACTTCCTTGAAGCTTTGACCAAAACTGTAAGCATTTGTTGTTTTGTTACTTCATCAGGCTTTGGAACGATTACAGCCTTCATCTGTTTTTTAAATGTCAGATGGTGGCCTGTGGGCGCAGAATGATGTCAGAGTATGGTTGGTCAAAAGAGACCCTTGAATGGTGGATTGACCACACTGTGGTTAGTAGACTGAAGTTTCATAATAAGCCTAATGTTTCTGCTTTTTATGACTCTTTTGCCATTCTTAGTCCTGACGTAGGGATCGTTTTTTTAAATTATCAAGTAGGGATGGGCGATATAGGCCAACAAATTTACCACGATAAGATTTGCCATTCTGGCGATAACGATAAAAGTCCCGATAGAAAAATATTACGATTCCAATCTATATTTTTGACTCATTTTGTCTTGAGAACACCAGTTGGAGTGGTCAAATAAGATACTTATTCACAAGTTTAAATGGTAGGTTATGGAGAAAACTAATGACATCAAACAAGTCTCAAATGTGAAAACTCTTATTGCACAGAGTGAACAGCAGCAGATCCACTGTCTGATGTCAGGCATACGTGATTGCGCTCATCTAAACTCCAATCTTGAAGGAAATCCCTCATGTGGAGCCTCATTCAGTAACGCTCAGAAACGTCTTCTTCATTACCTTCAGCCATGTTTGTTTGTGGGTTATAGCTGTGAGTTCATTGCTTGTGCTTATGTCATCAACTTGCATTTATCGTATTTATCATGAGATGGCAAATATTTATTGTGGAGGATTTTTCTGGTGATAAATCGTCAACGATAATTTATCGCCCATCCCTATAACCCAGTATCAGCTCATGTTTGAACCGTGTCTCTCTAATTCTGGATCTGACTTATAGCTGAATTTGTGACTGTAACTCTTGATGCTATTTCGACTCCCCTAAAACTATGTGAATGTACAATTCATCAAAACAGGTTTTATTCCAGTCAAATTCTTCACATTAAAAGTTCATAGGTTGTTGAATTGTCAGCATCTACCCTAAAACTCAATCAGGAAGGTGTGAGAGAAAGTCCTCGCCTGTCTTGACCAGGGCAGTCTTTGTTCTGGTTTGATAGAAAAATTGATATTCGGATCACTTACCTTCAGTTAGCTACAAGCTACAGTGTTCACAGTGATTAGTAAAGGGCTCTTTCTCTGCTCTCATACATGGACTTAAGTGGAATATGGCATCTGAAACTCAATTTAATGGAAAGAGGTCATAGCGAGTGACCATGCTGGGTCCTTTTTAATATTGTAGAATCGTGATTTAATAGCATTGTCAGAAAAAGCAGAAGAAAATTGCACACCCTTGCAAGGTTGTACCCCCTACCATACAGAGTAAGTAGACTATTTTTACACCAGCTCCAGGTTTTACTATATCAGATCATACTTTGAGTCAGATTAGATAGATAGATAGATAGATAGATAGATAGATAGACTTTATTGATCCCAAACTGGGAAATTCACAATCTATCTATCTAATTTGTTTCCTCTTGATTTTGTCACTCTTGCTTCATTTTCGTTATAATTCAGTGAAATTTGGCTGGTGTTGCACAGCCACTGAAGCATGGATAGGACACTGTTTGAGGACTCTTTCTACCAGACACTTGCACTGTATAGAGCACCAGCACAATAAACATGGATCAGTTTCTCCTCAGGATGGTCAAAGTCCTGCTTACAGCTTCGAGACATACAGCAGGGGGGATGCTGTCAGCCTCCCACTCTGCCTGTGGTTCGACAGAAGCGCCGCCTGACCCTGTGGGCGCTCTGGGCAGGGCTGCAGCTCTGGTATGCTTGGCTGCAGCTTTACTGGCTGCTAGTTTGGTACAGACAAGAGGGACAGAGCTATCCTACGCACAAGGCTTTGCTGTGGTCTCACGCTTCTATTTTTTTCTTTGAGTGCTTCTTTGCAAGATGCAAAACCACATATAGACCAATCTTGTTTATGCTCACACTGTCTGCTTGTCTTGTGTTTACTACTTAGTCTGTATTACAGTCAGCAGGAACAGAAATGTCTCTAACAGATCTTCTTCTTCTGTCTCTCCGTGGTCTTTTCCAGAACATCATCAAGAAAGTGAACGGTCAGAAGTTTGTCTATCGTTTTGTGTCGTACCCAGACATACTGAAAGGAGATATTTCCTCTCGAACAGAGGGTGGGGAAGTGGGCGCTCGAGGCATCTCGTCCCTGTCAAAGAGAGGAGACAGTACCCAGCAGGAGGATGAGTCTGGTGACCGCAGCAGAGTGGGAGGTAACGCAGCAACTCTGAGCTCGAGCACCAAGCAGTCAAACCGTAATGACTACATCCACTCTGGCCTGTACACCTCCTTCACCCTCAACTCACTGCAGAATGGACGGCAGCTATTCAAGTCCATCAAAATAGAAAACCCAGCAGAGAAGATGGCTGACAAGAGAAGTGTCGCAGCCATTGCCCAGAGCCAGGAGCAGCTGTCTCAGCAACAACAGCCCACTTCTTCACCATCCGTCATCAAGTTTGGTAACCTCCCTCCAAAGTCAGCACCAGCACAAGCACCAGCACTTCCTCCTCAGGTCATGATAGAGCCTTCACTCATAGCTAGTCACTTGGATCCTCTGCAAACACAGCCCACAAGGGCCGAAGAAGTCCACACACACTCCTCCCTACCATCCCAGTCCATCTACTCATTTGAACATATCCGTCCATCGGACCCAACATTTGGTCTACCAGACCTCACCTCAGCCAGCCCGTCCCCGAGCCTAGTGCCTGACTCCACCCAGGAGTTGGTGATCGACACCGACATTGAGTCTGGATCATCTCAGCCTACAGACACTCAGGCTCTGGAGAAGGTTAGTTTAAACTCATGTTGTCAATACTTAACACACAACACACTCCTTTATATAGAGGAAATGAAAGTGAGAGCAAGCAGCTGAGGTCGATCAACATAGAGAGAGAGAGAGAGAGAGAGTGCTGGTGAATGACTGAAGAAAATGAAGAGATTTTATCTGACTGTTTCACAGCCATCACACTCTAAAGAACTTACAGTTGAGGCCAAAATTATTAGCCCCCCTATGAAATTTTAACTTTTTTTCCAAAATTTCCTAAGTGCTGTTCATTAATCTGTTGAACAGCACTCAAGAAATTTTGGAAAAAAACTTAAAATTTTATAGGGGGGCTTATAATTTTGGCCTCAACTGTATAAACACGCCCACACCTCTGCACAAACATCCAGGAAGTTGCCTGATTTTGTTGGTTCGCCGCTGAAGTGATGCTTCCTTATGATGTAAACGGCCACAATCACAGACACGACCATTAGTTCTCCTCATTCACAGGTTGGTTTGATAACTGACCTTTTTTGAAGTGCCTTAGGATTTACAAATAATAAAGACACACATGTTGTGTCTGCTGTAGACAGACTGGGAGAAGGACAGAAAAATCACCCAGTGTTGCCATTTAGTTCTGACAGGAAGCTTCATACCACTATACAAATATTGACTCTCAAAAAATGACCACGATTGTAGTCATGGAGTATGAATATACAGACGCTACACAACTCCTTTAGATTAAATATGATCATCCAGATGACATATTTTTGGTTAAACGTAGTAAAGAAAAAAATATTTATTTTACCTCAATATAAACAGTGACATGTTGATACTATTCATGGTTAGATGTTAGTTTGTGTCTAATGACTTTTTCTGTATCAGTATAATGTGTAGGTGGGCGATCAAAACAAACAAGAAATCGCTGTTTAGTGACCAGTGCCATAGGGCTGGGCGATATGGGCTAAAAACTAAATCTTAGGGTTTTTTTTTTTTTTCACTAGGTGGACAGCAGCACTGGTTTGTCTTTGGAGGAGAGCAGTTTGGTGGACACTGAAACCAGCTCATCCTCAGTGAGCAGCTGCACTACAGTCAGCACTCAGAGCTCAGGAAAGACACGCAAGCCACCCAAAATCCTTCAGATCAGCCCGCCAACTCTGCTGGTCACCGCTTCTGACTTCTCCCCCATGAACCTCTGCAGCCCCTCTCTACCTACTGCCTCTCTGACACCAGCAATGCTACAGGTAAGAGCATAGGTCCTCACGCACAGATATTAATAAACAATGATACAAAACAGAAGGTAAACAAAGAATAACTGACATTAAAACAGAAAACAAGTGGCACTGGTATAAAAGACAGCATCTATATTTTGGGGGCTTCCAGAGGGAAAACTGGGTTTCTTTCAACTGGTGAACTGGAAACTGGATGACACACAGCTTTTGTGCAGGTGTGCAGCTTTCCTGGTACCATCTATTATTGCTACCCTCCCGGCTGTATGAATTTATGAGGTACCAAGGGACCTGCTGCCCAACTCACTGCTTGTCTCTTGAAGGCCTAATTTAAGAGCCTTTTCAATCAAACCGTCAGCCTATAAGGTTTTTTGTTCCCACTGTACTAGGGCTGAAATGATTCCACAAGTGCCTTGATTGCTAAAAAAAGATTGCAACCCGCTTACGTCACCACGTAGGAGGACGCACGGTTTCGCGGAGCGGAAAAAATGATTGATGAGAGGGGCTTTTCTTCTGCAGAGCTCCAGCAGCTCATTAGCACTTGGCCTCTGGATCGTGGCAGAAACAGCGCTGCTCTGCATACTTCTCTTCATGCTAGCTTGCAGCCTAACATTGCCGGTGCCGGACACTAATGTCTTTAGGGGCATGATGAAAGCTTCGGTAACGCTTTCTTTTACGGTACTCTTATTACCAGGTAATTAACAGGTAATTACCTAGTAACAACATGTAATTATCTGGTAGTTACATGATAACTACTAAGTCATTACTGTCTAGCTACCAGGTAGGTAACCTTCCATCATCACACAAATTTGAAGCCGAATTGCTCTGGTATTTCCAGGACTTTCTCCGCTTCCTGGAACCACCACTTGCGCAGTAGCATTGTACGCATTTGGCGGGTGAGTCGCTGTGATAATGCTCCGGTCAACAGCGTATTGCTACGCAATCTCCGCACGCCCATAGGCTGTATCAAGTGTCAATCATAGAAAATAAGAACCCCAAATAGCTTTTGAAAATGGAGCTGCACAGAAAAAAGAAAAACTAGACAGTATTGACTTTGTAATTATCATGTAATTACCAGATAACTTCATGTTGTTACTAGGTTATTACCTGTTAATTACCTGGTAATAATTGTACCATAAAAGAAAGCGTTATCAAATTAGCTTTCTTGCGAGCATTGCAGTTCGCTTCGCACACATTTATTCCTTTATTGTCCTCTTTTTCTCAGAGTCTGTCTTTCATAGCGGGGCTCTGGGGTTGGAGCTTGGATTTGTGACATAGGATATCTCACTGTATGTGAGTCTGCCGTTTGGGCCTGATTACTCAAGTAGTTGATGGAATATTTAGTAGAATACTCAATTACTAAAATATGCGATAGCTGCAGTCCTACCCTGTACCACTTTGTTCTTTAAATGCCATGCATCCAGGATGCTTTGTGCATTTGTCTCTTGAAGCGCCATCTTCTGGGTAAAAGGCTGTAAGACAGTGGAAAACATTTCTGTGCATGTTGAACTGGTAAAGAGTGGAGGTTGGTACATACAGTAGGACCCAGCTTACTTCATGGAGCTTGAGTAATAAGGATAAGGGTTGCATCTTTTATAAATATTATGGTAAGACGAAGAACTGTATTGATCCCCGAAAGGAAATTGAAATTAAGATGAATCAAAATCAATCGAAAATTCATCCAGTCACTGAGAGATGAACTGAAATGATTAATAATATAAAGTCACATTTTAAATGACAGTCTCAGCCAGTTTAGGGTTTGAAGGCAGAGAAGCAGAGCTATCATTTGTTATTGTTTATACTGTCAGTGGTCCACTTAACTGCTGAAAACCCCAGTGTTTTAAGTCCTATATGATTTTATTTATAGTTTTTTTTTTTTTTTTTTTTTTTAAATCTCACCTGTCCAGAATTGACATTAAAAGTTGTAATTTCTTAAATATCATGCTGTCTATCTATTCAACTTTTTGCTGAATGACACACCTGTACAGGTTATGGAGCGTTATTTCAGATACCAGAGAGCCCCTGGTGGTCACTCATCCTAACCAGCAGGTCGCAGCAGTGCAGCAGTTATCTGTGGATCGAGCTTTTGTTGCGTGTATTACCAGAAGATTCTATCTGCACCACATCTGACCACATGACTGTTTTTGCTCCATTACAGAAATGAGAGTTGATTGGATTCACTGTTTCAGACAGAGTTGTTTTGGGTCAAGTTTGATCATGAGATCTGTTGTCAGATGTTTCCTTCTTTAGGGCCCGAGCGTAGCTGCTAAGCAGCTGCGAGAGCCCTCTCTTGTTCCTGTAGTTTCCTTCTTTTGTTATTAGGGCCCGAGCCAGCTGCAGAGCAGCCGGGCGTAGGCCCTGTTATTCCTGTAGGGGTTTTTCTTTGTTTCTTTCTTTCTTCTTTTTCCTCCCCTTTGAACTGGAAAATGGCCCACTTCCCACTGGCGAAAACTCAGGAAATTTGGCAGGACGACCGGGCCTGGTGAAAAATTTGATATTCTGAAGTCGCCAAAACAATAAAATGCAAAATGGCTCCATAGCGCCCCCTAAGGTGGAAATTCACACTATTGACTGTCACGCCTGTACGCTTTGTCATATTGACACAAAAATTGACACACATATGTATCTCAATAAGATCTACAAAAAAGTCAGTGCGGCCGTATCTGTCAAAATTACGGTTAAAGGGTTATTTCGCATTTTTTGCCGATCCGCACACATTGGATTTTCGCTAACTCCTCCGAAGGCTTTCGTTCCACCGGCACCACATTTGCTCAGGCCAATCTACACCCCGTGGCCATTAAAAGTTATCAAAATCATGACGCTGCACCCCAAGGTTTAGGTTCTAGGGGGCGCCAAAGATAACACTAAAATCCACATATTTAAAAGTCTTATAACTTTTTATTTTTGTCCTCACTGGCCTCCAAGTTTTCTAGGATGATGCAATGTCCAGCCATCAACACATTTGTGAAGGAATTTTTACTCCCCAAAAAAGCGCCCCCCCATGGCAGGAGAAAAAAGTCCATTTTTTCTTGTCCCCTAAGGTGAAAATACACATTGTTGAGTGTCACGCCTATACGCTTTGTCAAAATGACACAAAAATTGACACACACATGTAACTCAATAAGATCTACGAAAAAGTCAATGCGCGCGTATCTGTCAAATGTACGGTTAAAGGGTTATTCCGCATTTTTTGCCGATGCGCACACATTGGAATGTGGCTAACTCCTCCTAAGGCTTTCGTTCCACCGGCACCACATTTGCTCAGGCCAATCTACACCCCATGGCCATTAAAAGTTATTCAAATCATGACGCTGCACCCCAAGGTTTAGGTTCTAGGGGGCGCCAAAGACAACCCTAAAATCCACATATTTAAAAGTCTTATAACTTTTTATTTTTGTCCTCACTGGCCTCCAAGTTTTCTAGGATGATGCAATGTCCAGCCATCAACACATTTGTGAAGGAATTTTTACTCCCCAAAAGAGCGCCCCCCCATGGCAGGAGAAAAAAGTCCATTTTTTCTTGTCCCCTAAGGTGAAAATACATATTGTTGAGATTCACGCCTATATGCTTTGTCATAATGACACAAAATTTGACAATCACGTGCCTTGCCTGGTATCATTTTTTTTCAGCACAACCTCACCTGTGCGAATTTACAGTTATTTTATCATGTTGACATACTGAATTTACACAATGGACCCAAATTCACACACAAAACATAAAATCCGAGTGGAAAAAAGTAACATTTTTACTGTGAAAACCACAAATATGTGTGATGAACTGTTTTTAAAACTTAAACTTCAAAAAAAAATTGTAAACTTCAAAACATATGCAAATTTTTAACAAAGAACATAGTGATTTACCTCTATTTACATCAAAATGCAGGCAATGGCCCAGGCGTTCTTTGTAAAATTATTTACAAAACACTGTATAGTCTCACAAATGTCACTTTTTATTTATGCCACTACAAAAAAACATGATGTAAATGATGCATGATGTAAAACATGATGTAAAAAACTTGTGTAGATCCTCCTCTATGTCAGTCCATGTGTAATTTTTCCATAATTCTTTGTTTTTTGCAGCATTTTTGTTAGTGTAACTGCAGATTGTGCTGACAGTGTCTAGGGCACAAAAAAAAAAAAAAATTAAAATGCCTCAACATGAACCCCTGGTGGTCTCTGAGGGTGAAACCTGCTAACTGCTGCAGCTCTGTCAGCTTCAGTCTCCCATGCAGAGCTCTGAGCGCATGTGTGGCTCTGCACCCTTAGCAGCGTTGCTAACTCCTCAGTAAGGAAAGCCTGCTTCATGTCAGAGTCTCTAAACTCCAGAAGAAGTCGATAAAAGTCCCTTTCTTTCTAAAAAAAAGTCGTTAGGGGGTCTGAAAAGTCATTGAATCTAACAACAAAGTCGCTAGGTTTGCAACTACGTGTCCCAGACTGCATCCCTGCTGAGAGTCCCTCCCTCCCTTCTCATGTTGCAGGAAGAACGTAAGCGCCCTCCCCTTGTCAATCAGTCACCATATAATTTTGGATTGGTTGTTGTGGTGAAGTTTTCCACCAATAGGAGAGATGTTGTGGTGTGTTTTTTTTTTCTTTTGGCAAGCCTTTTCCGCCTGTAAGACCTGTCGCTAATGTCTGCATGCTATGTTTTCCTGTCTCATACAGCGCGATCGAGCGCCGAACGTGATCAAAATAAGCAGAAGAAAAGTATCGCGGACATAATTTATCATAACTCTGGTTTTATTTGGCCTATCAACACAATTTAAAAACTGGTATATAGGTTGAGGTCCTCACTTTTGAGATAAGTTGAAACGGAGAGTCAACGAGGCTCCGTCTTGCAGCTACATCCGGTTAAATATGTCATGTGACTTGAACGCACACACAGACACACACACACGCACACACACACACACACACACACACACACACACACACACACACACTCAGAGTCTGGTTTTTAGCACCTGCAAAAACATGCTATTTACATATTTGACAAGAATGCAGAGGCTCCTTTTGCCCCTGAAAAAAAAATCAAATTTCAAACACAACTTGACTGGTCATTTCTCCAAAAGACAACCATGAAGCTCCATCCAAACCTGAAGCAGGCAGTTGGTGCATGTGTACAGTAACCTGAGGGGAGTGAGGTGAGTGCTTCTGAGGAGAACATGAGCAGTGAAGATTCACCTTGGAGCTAGAACAGAGACATGCACATGATTATACAGGGGCAGGGGCTCAAGTTTTTTCCAGTCGTTTATACAATATGGAAATTAATGTGAAATTAAAACACAAAGTATTAATAGAAAGGTAATGACTGTCCTGTGTAGGTGACAGTGATATCGAATAGGCTAGGCACTCACGAGGCTGGCTGTGGCAAGTGTAAGTGAAAGCAACACGCACTGGCAGGAAGAACAGCAAACGCCGATGAAGGAAAAGGGTCTTTGCAGTGATGGGCGTTACCAGAGAGGGCGATGGCCAGAGGACACAAATGGGACGGGGAGGCGGTCGCGTTGGGGGGGGGGGGGGGGGGTGGGGGAGCTCGGGCCCGCCAGTGCCCCAACGGGGTCCTAGTTATTATTTTTCCTCCCCTTTGAACTGGAAAATGGCCCACTTCCCACTGGCGAAAACTCATGAAATTTGGCAGGACGACCGGGCCTGGTGAAAAATTTGATATTCCGAAGTCGCCCAAACAAGAAAATGCAAAATGGCTCCATAGCGCCCCCTAAGGTGAAAATTCACACTATTGACTGTCACGCCTGTACGCTTTGTCAAAATGACACAAAAATTGACACACACATGTATCTCAATAAGATCTACAAAAAAGTCAGTGCGGGCGTATCTGTCAAATGTACGGTTAAAGGGTTATTTCGCATTTTTTGCCGATCCGCACACATTGGAATTTCGCTAACTCCTCCGAAGGCTTTCGTTCCACCGGCACCACATTTGCTCAGGCCAATCTACACCCCATGGTCATTAAAAGTTATTCAAATCATGACGCTGCACCCCACGGTTTAGGTTCTAGGGGGCGCCAAAGATAACCCTAAAATCCACATATTTAAAAGTCTTATAACTTTTTATTTTTGCCCTCACTGGCCTCCAAGTTTTCTAGGATGATGCAATGTCCAGCCATCAACACATTTGTGAAGGAATTTTTACTCCCCAAAAGAGCGCCCCCCCATGGCAGGAGAAAAAAGTCCATTTTTTCTTGTCCCCTAAGGTGAAAATACACATTGTTGAGTGTCACGCCTGTATGCTTTGTCAAAATGACACAAAAATTGACACACACATGTATCTCAATAAGATCTACAAAAAAGTCCATGAGCGCGTATCTGTCAAATGTACGGTTAAAGGGTTATTCCGCATTTTCTGCCGATTCGCACACATTGGAATTTCGCTAACTCCTCCGAAGGCTTTCGTTCCACCGGCACCACATTTGCTCAGGCCAATCTACACCCCATGGCCATTAAAAGTTATTCAAATCATGACGCTGCACCCCACCGTTTAGGTTCTAGGGGGCGCCAAAGATAACCCTAAAATCCACATATTTCAAAGTCTTATAACTTTTTATTTTTGCCCTCACTGGCCTCCAAGTTTTCTAGGATGATGCAATGTCCAGCCATCAACACATTTGTGAAGGAATTTTTACTCCCCAAAAGAGCGCCCCCCCATGGCAGGAGAAAAAAGTCCATTTTTTCTGGTCCCATAAGGTGAAAATTCACACTATTGACTGTCACGCCTGTACGCTTTGTCAAAATTACACAAAAATTGACACACACATGTATCTCAATAAGATCTACAAAAAAGTCAGTGCTGGCGTATCTGTCAAATGTACGGTTAAAGGGTTATTGCGCATTTTTTGCCGATCCGCACACATTGGAATTTCGCTAACTCCTCCGAAGGCTTTCGTTCCACCGGCACCACATTTGCTCAGGCCAATCTACACCCCATGGCCATTAAAAGTTATTCAAATCATGACGCTGCACCCCACGGTTTAGGTTCTAGGGGGCGCCAAAGATAACCCTAAAATCCACATATTTAAAAGTCTTATAACTTTTTATTTTTGTCCTCTCTGGCCTCCAAGTTTTCTAGGATGATGCAATGTCCAGCCATCAACACATTTGTGAAGGAATTTTTACTCCCCAAAAGAGCGCCCCCCATGGCAGGAGAAAAAAGTCAATTTTTTCTTGTCCCATAAGGTGAAAATACACATTGTTGACTGTCATACCTGTATGCTTTGTCATATTGACACAAAATTTGACACACACATGTATCTCAATAAGATCTACGAAAAAGTCAATGCGCGCGTATCTGTAAAATGTACGGTTAAAGGGCTATTTTGCATTTTTTGCCGATTAGCACACATTGGAATGTGGCTAACTCCTCCTAAGGCTTTCGTCCCACTGACACCAAATTTGCTCAGGCCAATCTACACCCCATGGCCATTCAAAGTTGTAAAAATCATGACGCTGCACCCCACGGTTTACGTTCTAGGGGGCGCCAAAGATGACCCAAATATCCACATTCTTAAAAGAATCCACATCCCCCCCCCCCATCCCCCATCCCCCATCCCCCATGGCAGGAGAAACAGTCAAGTTTTTCCTGCCCATCACTCAATGGCTCAATCGCATCGCTCTCCCGGCAACACCGTAACGAGGAGCAACTTGCCGTTTGGATATATCCTAGCTGTGTTTGTGCCCTCACTCATGGTCCAGACTTTTTTCAAATAGGACATGTAGTTTGTCTGCAGCGAGTGTTTTGGTAGAAACTGCGCCTCCCATTCATTATAATGGGAAATGACCACAGACAAGTGCGCACACCATCTTTGGACCTTGAGTGTGACGCGATCGGGAGGGGGAGGCGGTCGCACTGGGGGCAGCGCAACGTGGCTCGGGCCCGTCAGTGCCCCAACGGGGCCCTAGTTTCTTTTTCCTCCCCTTTGAACTGGAAAATGGCCCACTTCCCACTGGCGAAAACTCATGAAATTTGGCAGGACGACCGGGCCTGGTGAAAAATTTGATATTCCGAAGTCGCCCAAACAAGAAAATGCAAAATGGCTCCATAGCGCCCCCTAAGGTGAAAATTCACACTATTGAGTGTCACGCCTGTACGCTTTGTCAAAATGACACAAAATTTGACACACACATGTATCTCAATAAGATCTACAAAAAAGTCAGTGCGGGCGTATCTGTCAAATGTACGGTTAAAGGGTTATTTCGCATTTTTTGCCGATCCGCACACATTGGAATTTCGCTAACTCCTCCGAAGGCTTTCGTTCCACCGGCACCACATTTGCTCAGGCCAATCTACACCCCATGGCCATTAAAAGTTATTCAAATCATGACGCTGCACCCCATGGTTTAGGTTCTAGGGGGCGCCAAAGATAACCCTAAAATCCACATATTTAAAAGTCTTATAACTTTTTATTTTTGCCCTCACTGGCCTCCAAGTTTTCTAGGATGATGCAATGTCCAGCCATCAACACATTTGTGAAGGAATTTTTACTCCCCAAAAGAGCGCCCCCCCATGGCAGGAGAAAAAAGTCCATTTTTTCTTGTCCCCTAAGGTGAAAATACACATTGTTGAGTGTCACGCCTGTACGCTTTGTCAAAATGACACAAAAATTGACACACACATGTATCTCAATAAGATCTACAAAAAAGTCCATGCGCGCGTATCTGTCAAATGTACGGTTAAAGGGTTATTCCGCATTTTTTGCCGATTCGCACACATTGGAATTTCGCTAACTCCTCCGAAGGCTTTCGTTCCACCGGCACCACATTTGCTCAGGCCAATCTACACCCCATGGCCATTAAAAGTTATTCAAATCATGACGCTGCACCCCACGGTTTACGTTCTAGGGGGCGCCAAAGATAACCCAAAAAATCCACATTTTTAAAAGTCTTATCACTTTTTATTTTTGTCCTCACTGGCCTCCAAGTTTTCTAGGATGATGCAATGTCCAGCCATCAACACATTTGTGAAGGAATTTTTACTCCCTAAAAGAGCGCCCCCCCCATGGCAGGAGAAAAAAGTCAATTTTTTCTTGTCCCCTAAGGTGAAAATACACATTGTTGACTGTCACGCCTGTACGCTTTGGCAAAATGACACAAAAATTGACAATCATGTGTATCTCAATTAGATCTACGAAAAAGTCAAAGAGCGCGTATCTGTATAATGTACGGTAAAAGGGCTATTTTGCATTTTTTGCCGATTCGCACACATTGGAATTTCGCTAACTCCTCCTAAGGCTTTCGTCCCACTGACACCAAATTTGCTCAGGCCAATCTACACTCCATGGCCATTCAAAGTTGTAAAAATCATGACGCTGCACCCCACGGTTTACGTTTTAGGGGGCGCCAAAGATGACCCAAATATACATTACAGTAGACAAAGTAGTTTTGCCCACTGAGTGGCGCCAAAGGGACTTGTCTGTGGAGTCTGTGAGTCACTATTGGCCGTTTTTGACTACTTTAGATTTTACCTTTATATTTCCTCTTACAAAATTTTTACCTTGCCTTGCCTGGTATCATTTTTTTCAGCACAACCTCACCTGTGTCAATTTACAGTTATTTTATCATTTTGACATACTATATTTACACATTGGACCCAAATTCACACACAAAACATAAAATCCGAGTGGAAAAAAGTAACGTTTTTACTGTGGAAACCACAAATATGTGTGATGAACTGTTTTTAAAACTTAAACTTCAAATAAAAATTGTAAACTTCAAAACATATGCAAATTTTTAACAAAGAACATAGTAATTTACCTCTATTTACATCAAAATGCAGGCAATGGCCCAGGTGTTCTTTGTAAAATTATTTACAAAACACTGTATAGTCTCACAAATGTCACTTTTTATTTATGCCACTACAAAAAAACATGATGTAAATGATGCATGATGTAAAACATGATGTAAAAAACTTGTGTATATCCTCCTCTATGTTAGTCCATGTGTAATTTTTCCATAATTCTTTGTTTTTTGCAGCATTTTTGTTAGTGTAACTGCAGATTGTGCTGACAGTGTCTATGGCAAAAAAAAAAAAAACTGAAAATGCCTCAACATGAACCCCTGGTGGTCTCTGAGGGTGAAACCTGCTAACTGCTGCAGCTCTGTCAGCTTCAGTCTCCCATGCAGAGCTCTGAGCGCATGTGTGGCTCTGCACCCTTAGCAGCGTTGCTAACTCCTCAGTAAGGAAAGCCTGCTTCATGTCAGAGTCTCTAAACTCCAGAAGAAGTCGATAAAAGTCCCTTTCTTTCTAAAAAAAAGTCGTTAGGGGGTCTGAAAAGTCATTGAATCTAACAACAAAGTCGCTAGGTTTGCAACTACGTGTCCCAGACTGCATCCCTGCTGAGAGTCCCTCCCTCCCTTCTCATGTTGCAGGAAGAACGTAAGTTCCCACCCCTTGTCAATCAGTCACCATATAATTTTGGATTGGTTGTTGTGGTGAAGTTTTCCACCAATAGGAGAGATGTTGTGGTGTGTTTTTTTTTTTCCTTTGGCAAGCCTTTTCCGCCTGTAAGACCTGTCGCTAATGTCTGCATGCTATGTTTTCCTGTCTCATACAGCGCGATCGAGCGCCGAACGTGATCAAAATAAGCAGAAAACAAGTATCGTGGACATAATTTATCATAACTCTGGTTTTATTTGGCCTATCAACACAATTTAAAAACTGGTATTTAGGTTGAGGTCCTCACTTTTGAGATAAATTGAAACGGAGAGTCAACGAGGCTCCGTCTTGCAGCTACATCCGGTTAAATATGTCATGTGACTTGAACGCACACACACACACACACACACACACACACACACAGACACACACACACACGCACACACACACACTCAGAGTCTGGTTTTTAGCACCTGCAAAAACATGCTATTTACATATTTGACAAGAATGCAGAGGCTCCTTTTGCCCCTGAAAAAAATCAAATTTCAAACACAACTTGACTGGTCATTTCTCCAAAAGACAACCATGAAGCTCCATCCAAACCTGAAGCAGGCAGTTGGTGCATGTGTACAGTAACCTGAGGGGAGTGAGGTGACTGCTTCTGAGGAGAACATGAGCAGTGAAGATTCACCTTAGAGCTAGAACAGAGACGTGCACATGATTATACAGGGGCAGGGGCTCAAGTTTTTTCCAGTCGTTTATACAATTTGGAAATTAATGTGAAATTAAAAAACAAAGTATTAATAGAAAGGTAATGACTGTCCTGTGTAGGTGACAGTGATATCCAATAGGCTAGGCACTCACGAGGCTGGCTGTGGCAAGTGTAAGTGAAAGCAACACGCACTGGCAGGAAGAACAGCAAACGCCGATGAAGGAAAAGGGTCTTTGCAGTGATGGGCGTTACCAAAGAGGGCGATGGCCAGAGGACACAAATGGGACAGGGAGGCAGCGCGTTGGGGGGGGGGACGCGACACAGCTCGGGCCCGCCAGTGCCCCAACGGGGTCCTAGTTTTTTTTTATTACTTATAAGGATTATCAGTGTGTGTTTGGATGGATTAAAAATGCACCTACCTTATAAACTGTATCTGATTTGGGTGCCTTCAAGTGTCACTCCTATCAATGTAGTTTACTGTTGAATAGACATTTTAGTGTTTCTGCCGTTGTCAGATGTGACTGACTCAGACTGAAGTGTTTAAGATACCAAAGGAATTCAGAGCAAATCAAAACCAGACACAGTTTGTTTGAGAAAAGGGCAATGTGGAGCAAAAGTGTGAGATGATGAAACCTGTCCTGATTATGTAAGCAGGCTGTCATTCCTTTCAACTCACTCATTCATGGACTGACCACTCTCTCCTGATCACTACTATGCCTGTTGTGATACTCTATGGACATGACTGGGTCACATTAGGGCTGCATGATTAATTGATTTTAAATCGTAGTCAGATTATTTGATTATGACGATGTTAAAAAAATTGAAATCATCAAATGGATTTTCCTCTCTATCATGTCTCGTGCCTTCAGCCCACCGTGGGCTTCCCCCTCCTGTGGGAGTGCTCCACAGTTCCCACACACACCAGCGTACACAAACATGGCTTTTGCAAAAGAAGGCGACAATTTTGTGGCTGAATAGAGCAAGGGCAAGTCAGTCATTTGGAATTGTTACGGCTTCGTAGTTTTGGACGAAGAGCAAACCACTCCCCACTGCAAAGTCCGTCTAAAGGCAGTATCAACCCGTCCACACGAAAACTAATTCAGGAGTAAACGCAAACGTTTACGGATCAGAGAGTGCATAAATCTGTATACGACTACCATTTCATCTCTGTGTGGATGTCTGTCTGCATCTCTCTTGAAACAATCATGTGACACACAGCGTAACTCTTTAATGGCACCTGGGCGTGTCCAGCGAAAACAACCCTAATACACATGCTCTGTACTCTTCTTCTGTCTTTTGTGCATTTCCTCGACAGTGTTACAGCGCCATTTACTGGCTTGGCATATGCACTACATCGTTTTCAGTGGTTTTGTTTTGAGAGATGATAGAAACAACTTTTTTAATCAAGTGAAATTTTGTGAAGTTGTCACTGAATAAAAAATCGAAAAGTGAGGTCTCAGAAAAAAAAACAGATTGTTTTTTTCTCTGAGACTTCGCCAAAATCATGCAGTCCTAGGTCACACATGAGACAGAGCCTGTTGCTCCTCCACATTTCAAATAAATGCACTCAAATGCTTTAAAAGGAGTTTTCTTTGTCTTCCTCCAGACTCCCACTCTGTTGCTAACTCCCAGTCCTCTGCTGTCCAACATCCACTTTTGGAGCACGCTCAGTCCGGTGGCTCCCCTCAGCCCAGCCACACGGCGCCAGGGAGCTCACCTGTTCCAGGTTAGTATGATACAATCTACACTTTGTTTCCGTTTTAAATCATTTGATTCTCTTTACATGTCAGACTCCTGAGTTTTTCTTTGTTTAAATGCAACCATGTAACAACTTTCTATGACCAACCCTCTAAGAGATCTGTAGCTTTTGAGTTTATGTCTCTAAGTGAGCTCTGATGGAGGGTTAGGAGCTGATCTTGAGTAGAAAGCTGCATGTGGGAAAGATTTGGTAATTGCTGATTTAAGGTCTACATAAAGGATCACCAAAATCCTGTCTTCTTGGGCCCTAAACCCTCATTCTGCTCTGTTTCAGTTCCCATCAGTCCTCACTCCTCAGTTCCAGATCCCTGTTCACAGTCTGGATGGGACCAACACACCAGGACCCATTTCCCCAGACCCGCAGAAGACATAGGAATACTCCTCATGGTGCCACTGCATTTGGACCCAAACAGGTGGATACTGACCCCCCTCTGCTCATCTCCTGTCTCATATCCTGAACCTTTATGTGGGAGCTCTGTCCTTGCAATTCCTCATTTTCCCAGCACTTGGGAGCGCACTGCCACAGACGTCTCTCCACAATCAGAATCTGAGGGAGGCTGTGTAAAGGCTCGTTTCAGCATGATGGACGAGGATAAATTACTTACTTACTGCTACATTGCACTCACACACACTGGTGCCACCTTTCCTTATGCACCCAAGGGTTTCTTTTGTTTTTATCTGGCTTTTCTGGATCCTGAATCACAAACAATTCAACAGAGGGAGGAATTTCCATGGCAACAGCAGGGGCACATTAATGGGACCCTCAGCAGCGACAATCTGCTTCTTGCTTGATACAGAACAGTGATATGGCAGATATCTGACTGTTTCCTTTGATAGACTGTCCTTCTTGTCCTTTGCGTCCGTGTTTCTACCAAAATTGACAAAACATTTTTGATCAGTTTCTAACCTCTGCTGACAACGATTCTGTCCCCTCTAATCCCTGAGAGGGGTCTGGCTGCAGACCTCCATTGAGAGGACTTGAGGTGAGGTTTTTTGTCATGCGCTCCAGTGTTTTTTTACCACAAAGATAGTCGAGAGAGAAGGTGAGTTTAAGTCAAGAGACAACTTTTCGTCATTCTCAAAGCAACAGAAACAGTTCTTATTCACTAGCAAGTTTTTTTTTTACTATATATTGCCCTGTAATATTATACTAATTGGCTGATTAAATTAAAATACGGGTAAAATTATGAATTTTTTAAGGAATGTTTTAAAATGATCATAACAGTAGCTGTCCATTAAGTTTGTATTTTCTATCTGTAGAATAACCCTCCAAGTGGTCATCCCGTTTTGTATTGTATTGAAGTTGAACACATGAATACACCAAAAAATCATATGAACATCAAATAAATAAAATAAAGCCCTAAGAAATAAAATAAATTCATGCAGGATTAAAAATACATACTTCCCGGTCGAATTGTATTTGATTTGAAAGGCTTTAAATCAACTTCCAACGTAAGAAAAATTTACTTGTTATATTTTCGCTTTTATTTTGAAAAGCCTCGAATCAATTTCTGACATAAAAAAAATGTACTTGTGGCGTATTTGCTTTTATTTTGAAAGGCTTTGAATCAGCTTCCGATGTAAAATAATGTACTTCTGGTATAATCGCTTTTATTTTGAAAGGCCTCGAATCAACTTCTGACGTAAAAAAATGTACTTGTGGTGTATTTGCTTTTATTTTGAAAGGCTTTGAATCAGCTTCCGACGTAAAATAATGTACTTCTGGTATAATCGCTTTTATTTTGAAAGGCCTCGAATTAACTTCTGACATAAAAAAAATTACTTGTGTTGTATTTGCTTTTATTTTGAAAGGCTTTAAATCAACTTCTGACATAAAAAAAAATTACTTCTGGTATAATCGCTTTTATCTTGAAAGGCTTCGAATCAACTTCTGACATAAAAAAATGTACTTGTGGTGTATTTGCTTTTATTTTGAATGGCGTTGAATCAACTTCCGGTTCGTTCATGGAGCAGGTCCTCACAGTGGAGGTCTGCAACGAAGGGTCCTCACAGTGGAGGTCTGCAGCCAGACTGTCTTGTAATCCCCTGTCCTTGACTTTGACACATTTAAAAGCGTAGTGCTTCAATCCAATATTGTGATGGCTGTTGTTGTCGTCTTTTACCTGACTCTTGCCTGCCTAAGTGTGAAATGTTTGCTGCTCAACAATGCCGGCTCAGAAAAGCCATATCCAGCAGACTTTTAATTCAGCTGCCTTGTAATGACAGGTGGCTGTAAACCGAGTTGCCACACATCATCATAACTCTGTAACAGTAAGATATGTATAAAGCAGGATACGACAGGAGGCCGCTGTGGTCCACTTAGTCCTCTGGGAGTAAGCTTTCATGTGGGAGTGAAAGTAAATGAAGCCATAATCCTCTACAAACAACTTCAACACCCTGTTTATTTTTCTACCCTGACTAAATAAACGTCACTTTATTAAAGGCAGCCATTATGCTTATTACAATTTACAGGAATAAGCAGATAAATTAGCATTTTTGAGGCATTGTTTGACATTTTGGAAAACACACCTGCCAGAGCCCGACAAATCAAGAAAATGTTTACCCTCATTCGGTAGAGAAGAAGCTGGAGCTAATGACCCCATATCTGCTTGTGAGCTTTTCAGAGTTCACCAATGAAAACATGACAAGTTGAATTATGAAAATATTGATATATGTACAGTGGTTGTATGCCAGTCTCTATTAGTTGTCAGGAAATTACCACGTTCAAGAAGAGAACTTCAGCACGTGTCATAGCACAGCTTGTTTTGGTTCCAGTCCCAAAAATGTCTGGGTGCTATTTACTTAAATATGTTCAAAGAAAAGGACTTTGATGGTTTGCAAATCATGTCATTGAAAACTGTGCATAGACAACTTTAAGTTTTGAAACTGAGAAATAGTTTTTGTTTTTTGAAATTTTTTTTGAATCAACAACTTGCAAAAAAAAAAAAAAGAAACAGGGAGGTGTTTACTGTGTGATGCATTACCTCTTTTTTTTTAGTATTGTGACCTGTGGATATTCTGGAACAGGACAGACAGTTTCTGGAGTTTACAAAGTGAAATAATGCCTCATTCTTGCCTGACATCTTGTCATTTTTGTTTTGTGTTTCAAGGTGCATCAAGTGTTTTTTAAAATTTTTTCTTTATGGGTGACAAAGACTGCAGGTAAGCGAGTCTAGCACCTAGAGCAGTCTGCTATGATGCCATGCTGTCATAACGCAGCCAGATTATTGTCTGACATTTTCAAGGTTTTGTCCAGCGTATGACAGCAAACATTACTCCATAACCTGCACACGTATGTCATTCAGCAATAATGGTGCCATCCTTGAAGCGTAAGCTACCCCCATCACTGGGGCCTCTGAACCGTGTTAATAATAAACTGGACAGTCCTTAAGAACAGAGGATGTCCTTACTAGATTTGTTCATGTCCCTTAAGTCCATCAGAACCAGGTTTGGGCTCAAAGACTAGAATTTTTGGTCATGTTGTTCTTGTTTATGTTTCTCTCTTTGCATGGTACGGTTAGGTTTTTTGTTAGATAATGCTGCGCCCCCTCTGGCCCGGAGGCCATCTGGTCCATTTTTTGGCCATTCCCCTTTTGTACAGAACATAATTTTGAGGTAGTTAGATGATGGTGTTGAGTTGAATAATAAATGATGTCTTTGCACTATTTGATTTGATTTGCAAACCACCAGAGTTTCTTTGAGAAAGCACCTGTACTGTTTTTGGGGATTGTGTGTTTATAAGTGAGCTTCAGAGGAGTATTTGAGGTAAAATCCCTCTGAGCAGCTGGGCCCTAGTTAGGTGGGTTCATCAACTGCCTCTTGTATTTCCACAAATGTCAAACCACAGACTAGTACAATCCTCAGAAAGTAACCTGCAGATGTTCTTTGTTATAAACGAGAGGCCTGAATAATTAATGCTGCTGTGGTGTGAGTGCAGTTATTGGATATCTGATTGAAGGGACGAGCTTGATCCTTTTCCTAGCCTTAGCCACCTGAGTTTTACGAACACTTGATCCAGATGACTGAATACCTTCTGGATTAGTGAAGCCCCCTTTATGCCATAAAAGCCCATCTGGATAATCAGCCATGAGACTTTCTTACCTGTTTGTAATCAACTTTAAAGCCATAACACAAACGCAGGAGGTGGATCCGTGTTTCTATTCTGTCAAAGATAGACGTTGTTGCTTCACATATGTTTACAAGATACTTGGATAGAACACGTTTAAGTGTTTTTGAACCCAGGTGTCCTTTGCTAACCCAGGGATGGATGAAAAATGAATCTTGAAGGGAGAAATGCACGCTCTTTCACATTTGCCCCTGCAGTTTATCATGATAGTTTATAAGGTGCCTTACTGCAGACAAACCCGCGAGTATAACCCAACAGTTGACAGAGTTCTGTCTGTAAAAGCTCGCACAGTTCAAACAGTCCAAGTTTGTTTTTCTGCCATATCTTTGCATAGACCAAACCCGAGCTCAGTAAGTCTAGAGAGAAACCTTACTGGAGTGTTCTGTTTGTAAAGGAGGATCTTCGATGTGCTGCAATGTTCTTGATGCTTAACTGTACATACAGATATCAACAGGGGTCAGTTCTTCTAACTAGGCCATGTCTCTTTCTAACCTGCTCATAAATGTTTGTAAAAATATGTTTACTCAGAAATTATATATATAGATATATATATGAATCCTGTCTATTATTTTTGTGTAATCGCCCTTTTTTTCCTGTAACACCAATAGAATTTTTAGATTAATTTCTATTTTTGTAACAGCCAGATATTTAGATGTCTGTTGTTTTGGGTTCTCTGATGTAAAGTTCTCCTTGTGCATGTGTTTCTCTATGATGTTTTCCTCTTGTTCCCAATGCCCTGTGGTGGCGTTGGCTGTTTTTTTTAGGAATCAAAGCCTTATGGGAAAAATCTAAGTATGTTTTGTATGTTAATGTTTTGATATGGTGTTGATATTGTTCATGCAGATGTTGTGATGGGACGTTTGCACTTACATGGTCGGGGTTTGGATTGTGTCACTTTTTTCGACGCAGATTTCCTCTTACATGAAATGTTGTTAAGGTTTGCTTACAGAGAGATGTATTTTTCCCAAAGGGAGGATAAAATTATGCACTTGGCATTTTATACAGTAAATCTAACCTTTTTGATGTATATCAAAAGATTTAAAATGATTTGGCACTAGCATACAATATTTATTTCTTTGAAATCTGATTGGAGCCCAATAGAATTGGTTGTTTTTATTGCATTTTTGCTGTAACTTTGATGAAAAACTAAAAACAGAGCTGAATATTATCCCCATTTGCAGCTTTTCTCCGTTAAGTCAGTCAAACTTGTTTTTGTATTTCTTTGTTTGTATTTGTGGAAGTTCCTCTTTCAACTTAACCTGAAAACAGAAAGTCCGTTTTCTAAAAGAACTGACAGCATCCCTGCTTTGTTCTGTCGAGTTTCCTGTTTGTTTCAGGCTTTTTCAAATGTTTACAAGCTACTTGTTTTAAGTGGCGTTTTAATGTGTGAGAGGTGTTGAGGAAATGTTTATAATGGACAAGAAAGGTGAGACCAATAATAAAAGACCTCTAATCACATCTCTGTGCTCTGCCATTATATCTTCTATTTAGGGCTGCACGATTTTTTTTCTCAGAAGACTCAATTTTAGTTTTTGATATTTTATTCAGAGACAAATTCACTAAACTTCACTTTAAAAATAAAAAGTTCTTCTGTCTCTTAAAACAAAACCACTGAAAACAATGTAGTGCATATGCCACAACAGTAAGTGGCGCTGTAACGCTGCCGAGGAAATGCACAAAAGACAGAAGAAGAGTACGGAGCATGGGTATAAAGGTTGTTTTGGCCGGACACGCGCAGGCGCCATAAAAGAGTGATGCTGTATGTCTCATAATCGTTTCAAGAGATGCAGACAGGCATCCACACGGAGATGAAATGGTAGTTGTTTACAGATTAATGTACTCTCCGATCTATTTTCAAAAAATACCGTTTACAGACACCTGAAACGCTTTTTCTGTACAAAAACTTTTGCGTTCACCCCTGAATTAGTTTTCTTGTGGACAGGTTGATAACGCCTTTAGACAGACTTTGCAGCGATGAGTTGTTTGCTCTTCATCCAAGACTGCGAAGCCGTACCAATTCCACATGACTGACTTGCTCTTCCTCTATTTAGCCACAAAATTATCGCCTTCTTTTGCAAACGCCATGTTTGTTTACACTGGCGTGTGTGGGAACTGGGGAGTGCTCTCGCAGTAAGGGGGAGCCTACGGTGGCCTGGAGGCGTGAGACATGATAGAGAGGAAAATCCATTTGACGATTAAAATTTTTTTAACATCGTCATAATCAAATAATCTGAATATGATTTGAAATCGATTAACCGTGCAGCCCTACTTCTATTATTGTCAGAGTGTCTGGCAGCTCCCTGCGTTTATCAGTAAATCACGACAGAAGCATTCAAGGTCAGTTTGTTCCAGTTTATTCACATTCACACATACAAAGTCAATAGTTGATAATTAAAGTCCCTTTGAATCAAGAAACAGCAGAGGTATAGTGTGCCCACACAACTTCTCTCTTCAAGTAACAGTCATCCAGGGAGCTGCTTGATCATCAGGCTTTAAAGGGTTCCTTTTGGGGAAACTGGGTAAAGTCCTTGAACACAGGGTTAAGACCTGGAGAGATTATTGCACCTGTCGTCCCTTTTTATCGTCCTCATTCATGTCTGACCTGTCTCTCTTTTGGGTCCTCTGGTCAGGATTCTTCGGTCTTTGGCTTTTCTTTCATTTCTGTGTTTTCAGCCAAATCTGAGAATGAAAAAGCACAGAGGCAAAATAAACATCCGTTCGTGAAATGTTTCTGGAAATTTCTGGAACAAAACCTTAAAAGTTCACCGAGCTGTCTCTGTTTAATTTAACACTGAGTCACAACAAAATTGAATTACTCATGTTGACTGGAGGGCTTTTCTTGGCCAGGAAAATACCGAAAGAAGTTGGCTCAACCAAGCTCATTATCTCATTAGAATCTGGGAAACCTCACTCACAAAAAATGTACTTAAAGGGATATTCCAGCATAAAATCAAGTTTGGGTCAAACACATCGGATCATTTCCTTGAAGTAATAATCATCATAACAATCATTTTGCACTGCAGACACGGTAGTTCCTCTGCCTTAGCGTCTCGGTCTGATTGCATTTCCATAAAGTAATAATCATAAATGTTCTTCTTTGAGCTGTGAAACTCCGCTACACTCAGTAAACGACAAGCGGCTGCTGGAGAAGAGTTGGTGAGTTGTGTTTACTCTCTTTGCTAGAGAAATCAGGCAAAGCTAAAGAGATGTTTGATGGCTAGTACTATGGCTGGGACCCTATATGTACTGTTGATGAAGTTAGCTGCTGTTCTGAGCATTATTTGTGGCTGTAGAGTGGCTTTTTGGTTGAGATTTACACGTGGAGGCGTATTTAGATAAACGAGTGTGCACTGCTGAGTATTTTACTGGGAATCATTTTGCCCTGTAACAGCGATCTGAGAACTTAAAGTCAAGGGCAGTACAGTCTAACTTATGTAAGGCTTCCTCCAGCAGTCTCAAAGCCACTCTAACTTGCTCATAGGCATGAGTCTGTGATAGGCTGGCAACCCCAAACAGCATCCGGATAACTATTAGATTGATTAATTTCTTCATCTGTCCACATGTTGCTCTGGTAGCTGATCACTGAACAGTCTGACCCAAAGCATACTCTGCCATAGCCTTGCTTTCATCTTCAATGTAATTAGTATCACGCTGCGTTAAAATGGGCTTAAAACCGCAGCTCAGACCAAAACTTATTAGGAAAATGTTCAATGAAGTAGAAAACAAAGAGAGAAGCAGAGCCATTTTTTCCATCTGCTTTCATGCAGGCTTTGATTCGCACCACTAGACTTGACCATCGCTGGCTCTGAGAGAGACTGCAGACTGGCTTTACAAACTGATGAAACGTGCACTCATTTGTTTTACAGCCCAAGGTTTAGGGCTGGGTGATATAGGAAAAAGTTTATCATGATATTTTTTCTTCATATCAGTCGCTATCGATACATATCGCCAGGGGTAGCACTCATTTTCTTTTTCCTCACCAACAGTGCTGTCAGCCCCACATGTTAAAGTGCTCTGGTTGCGCGTAGCTGCAGCCTGCCACTAGGCGGTTATTTGCTACTTGGTTCTAATTCAGTGCATGATTGGTTCAGCGTGAAGTGGACTCAGAGTACCTCCCCTCTTCAGTGGCTTGTATTGTCTACCAAAACATGGCAGAATACTGGCCAGCAAAAGTATATTGATCATGTTTTATATTGATATCAAGGTAAATTAATTTTTTATATTTATCATTATTGTTTTATCGCCCAGCCCTACCAAGGTTGAAGTTCACTCACATAGTATTGTAATCACATCACCAAACCTCAAGTCCCCAAGTGAGGAGGTCATCTGCCTGATATGCGCTTACCTGTGTGAAGGTTTTTGTGGATGTACTTTACGTAGAGAAACAGCAGGAAGAGACAGAAGCTGATGAGCGATGATATCGAGCAACACAGGAGGAAGGAGTAACTGCCCTGACTGTGGATCACCTGCAGGGACACATACAGTCTTTACAGTCACACTGGGTTCCTCTCCTTAGACTACCTAACACTAGTGTAGCCTCAGAACAGGTTTGTAGAGGCAGTGTTTACTTCACACTCAAATCATTCAGGCACAGAGAGCAGACGCACAAATCCTGGATGGCTTTATTAGCCTGCAGCAAGGGAGTTAGCGGTGACATCAAAACACTCCTGAACTGAGGTTGAGGACGAGTTTAACCACAAGATTCTCCTTCCTCTTTAATCAAATCAAACGTGCATCACTGATCTTATTTTCTCATAATAGATTACTAGAAACCAGAAGATAAAGAGGCAGTGGATCAAAAAGCTCCGTACAGTAGATGCTGATGTATTATCTCAAAGACAACATGTAGAAATTAGCCTAAAAATATTAGATTAAAAACAAAGTTAGCGAAGCACATTCAAAGAAAGTTGGGAAACTATTTCTTACAAATCCAGTGAGCAGCTGCAGCATCATCTCTCCTGTGCTGGCACATGTCACCAGGACTGTTGTGGCACAACCTGCAACATGCAAGAAAATTCGTACATGAACTGGAGATCAAACATGAATCACTCCTGGATAAGTAAAAAGAAGGTTAGGACTGTTCCACTTAACTATGCACACTTCTTTTTCTGCCAATAACAATACAGCAAAATCCCAGAGAACTTCAAATGTTTAGTGCCTGTCTGTGTATGGGACATTAAGGGGTGCTGAGAGTTTGTGTGCATCAAACTGTGTGTTGCTTTACCTTTGTATTCCAGTATGTCCTCTGTGAAGGCCAGCACAGAGGGGAACACACTGCTGATACACAATCCCAACACACATGTCCCGACGAAGAAGAACTCACAGCTGGTGTAGAAAATCAACAGCAGGCACTGCACCAGTATGACCCCCACCTGAAACACACACTGAGTGAGGATGGCTGGATTTTCTCTGGGAAACTCCACCAGAAAAAGAAGAACTCATCATGCTTGCAGAGTCCTGCTGAAGCTCAACAAAATGCCGAAAGGAGAACGAAAGTAACAAGAGCTCTTTGGAAATGTTAATCCAGAATCTAGAGGGCTGAATAACTAGAAAAACACACAATAACATATCTGATCATGGTTCTACTATACACTGTAATTTTGCAGTTTTTGTTGCAAATGTTGTAGGGCATGATCATTTCTTCATGGAAATGCATTCAGACCGAGAGGCTACGGCAGAGGAACTACCGCGTCTGCAGTGCAAAATAAATAATATGGTGTTTATTACTTCAAGGAAATGATAAAGAAATTATCATAAATGTTCCTCCTTGAGCTGCGTCACCCCACAACAGTCCTTAATGGACTGGCCCGGAGGTCTCGCTTCAAACAAGCTGCTGCAGGATAAGAGCAGGTAAGTTGTGTTTAGTCTCTTTGCTAAAGAAATTAGGCAAAGTTAAAAAGATGTTTGATGGCTAGTGCTGTGGCAAGGACCCTATATGTACTGTTGATGAAGTTAGGTGCTGTTCTGAGTATTATTTGTGGCTACAGAGTGGCTTTTTGGTTGAGTTTTATTTATGGCTTCTGGGACTGCTATGTATTGCTATCATGCGGTCGTTATTAAAGTTGGTATAACCAGAGAGACATGCGGTCGGCAACATCTATCACTCTACAACATCTATCTGTGTTTGACCCTAACTTAATTTTATGCAGGAATAACCCTTTAACACAAGGATAGTGATTTCAGTAAAGATATGATTGTGAAAGGAATCGTAATCGTAAAACCTCACTCCCAGCTGCCGAAACCCGGGATCGAACCAGGGACCTTTAGATCTTCAGTCTAACGCTCTCCCAACTGAGCTATTTCGGCCCATGTCACCTCATATAAGGTCATGATTACAAAAGCAAATGGAGTCATCCAAGGTAACCTCAGAGGTGAAATACCTGCAGACATATTTATCTGTCACCGAGGATGGGATTGTTCTATCAGCTGTTTGGTATGTAGGTTAACAATGATGCCTCATTTCCTGTTTGCTGAGATACAATAGGACAGGTTAAACCAGGGCACAGCTACACTGCGCCTAAGCAGCATTAACAACATGCAGGCTTTACTCTGCATTCTGCACTGCTGCTCTATCTGTGTGCAACAGTCATGGTTTGAATACAACTCAGAAAGCATGTCCTACAAGCATAATGTTTTCTATAAAGCTGCCTCCTCTGAAATATTGAGTTTTTTAACTTTATTAAGTTCTGTGCAGGCGTTTGTTTCTTTGTGAGAGCACAACAGAAACAACATCAAAACTGCAGAAAGACAGGACCCGATCATTAAAGCAGCAGATATCAGCTCTGCAGACCTACAGAAGCACACGTGGGATCAAAACATCCCAAACCTCGCCCCCATGGGTAAGCAGCTCTAACGTTCAAGCATCTTCTTCTCAAAATGACATTCGCTTGGATAGCTCTGGTAATAGTTAAAAATAGTTCTCAAAGAACTCAAGGAGCAACATTTTCTCACATGCTTTTGTTTCTGTCCTGTTGCTTTGGTCGAGTTTCCTCATCACATATCCTGCTCCCAAAACAGACAGAGCAACAGACATCAAGTGAGTCTGTTACTACCAAGCAAAATTGATTTGACCTTTTTTCCTTATCCAAATCACAAAATAATAGGATAAATCCTCAGCTACATTTGAAATAATCAAAGAAACCCTGTGCAGAGTTTAGAGGAGGAACACCAACATTCATGTACCACAGTAACATGGAGTAGAACCTCTGAGCCCGTCTTCATTTAGGGCTTATTTGGTGTTTCAACATTTGTGTTGTAATATTCAGCCTTCAGAAAATCAAATGTTAAAATGACCTCAAATCTGGTGACATGGTCGACTCTGTGCCAAAGCTTCAAAATGTTGATTTAACTCTTGTGTTGTTTGTGCTGTCCCCCTTTCACACCACTAGAGGGCAGAACCGACCCTTACACGGAGTGGACCTGAGTGGACTGACATGATGGCTGTGGATTCATGAGCTGATTTTTTTTTATGTTACAAGTGTGATCTCTATTATCCACTTTAACTTTTTTTTCTGGCAGATAGTTTTAGAAAACGAAGACAAAGAAACTTTTTTTCCTCTGACAGTTATAAACAGCAGGCTAAACTACTGGAGGAATGTCCTCAGGAGTTGGTGAAACAATAAGCAGTCTGTCTCCTCTTTAACAAGAACTTTTAAAGGTAATGAAACCTCAAATATTTATTCACATAGTTTGTTCAGGTGTAACGCCAGCATGGAAGTACAGAAGCAGATTGCAATTACCAATAAAAATAAAAAAATCTCTGTCTTTCTGAATAATTTTTTTCTGTTCTGTTTTTCAGGGTAAATTTTTTTTTCTGTTTTTCGGACTAATTTTTTTTTCTGATTTTCAGAACATATATATTTATGTTTTTCTGACTAATATTTTTACTGTTTTCCAGAGTATTTTTTCTGTTGTTTTTTTTTCAGGGTAATTTTTTGTTTTGTTTTTCAGACTTACTGTTTTCCTATTCTCTGGGATCATGATCATGTAACGCTTTCATTAGATGCTTTTATCCCCCTCTGCTCGATTTATGTGACGCAAACATGGCCCACCTGTTTAGTTTAATCAAGTTTTACTTTCTTGGGGTTTGAGACACTGTTAGATACTCCTTTCTTTAAGTCAGATAGATGGAATCATCATAAGTTTGTCTACTTCGTGGAAGCGCCTCAGGATTTCCATACCCTATGTTTAACTAATAATATGCTTTACTCTCATTGACCCCGTAGTCAAAGTTATCTAGAAGCCGGAGAATTCACTGATTTGGAGCAGCCGCGATTGTTAACGTTATCTGATTGTATGAGATTCTCGCATGATTTTGTAGTATCTCGCATAGTCAGGAAAAAAATAGTCCAAAAAACAGAGACAGAAAAAAAAATGTTGCTCTGAAAAACGGAAAGAGGGGGAAAACATTAGTACAAAAAAAAGATGGAAAAAAAAGAAAGAAGAAAAAAATCAGTCTGAAAAACAGCAAAGAAAAGAATATTAACAAAAACAGCTTCCTTTTTCTTTTTTTGTAAGTGAATGCTATATGTTGCCATATGCAAGGACTCTAAAAACTACAAAAAAGCTTACTGCAACAACCCTTTGGTTTAAAAAATTTGCTTCAGATTTTTACTAAGTGCTAACCAGTTAACACCCTGAAAGTAAATGCAACGTCAGTGAATGGCAGAAGAGAGAGTTAGAGAGGCCAATTTATTCACATCACAAACATGCTTTTGTTTTGACAGCCCCAATAAAACATTAAGTGCAACAAAGCAGTCTGCTTTGAGATCCTGTTGTCCGTGTACATATTTAATCCTCCTCTAAATGAAACCACCTGATGAGGTCTGGTGATTTTCCCAAGACAAATATTTGATTATAACTCTCAAACAACATCTGCTGTATGGTATCTGATGCACCGGGATATCAGACCTACCAGACTAAAGGTGAGCAGCTTGGACGGTGAGTATTTGTAGGAGAGGTAGATGAAAGCCAGCCTCCCTAACGTTATAGCGGCCCAGAATATGCTGTCCAGGCATCCTGCAGTCTTGTGACTCATGAGCAGAGGAGGGGACACTGCATAAGTGTAGAGAAAGCCAGCGTAGGAGCCCTACAGGACAAAAAAACACAGCAGGCGATCGTGACAGATCAGAGGGCATTTTCTAGTTATCACTGGCAGGATGGAGCTGAATCATATCAACCATTAGCTGTCTCTGTTTGCTGGGTTACTGTGGATGCATGGTCGAACCGTTGGATAACTGAGAACACATTCAGAGTGATTATTCTTCAGACTTTTAACATTCAATCATGTCTGTTCAGTTGTATGGACCTGTTTGTTGTTCTGAACTTGAAGTGCGTCATGTCTTTATTCAGATTTGTTCATCCCTGATGCAATGTTGTCTTAAGTACTTATGGCAAAGGAACCAGCAATTATATTATTTTATTGCTCCCACAAGTTGTGTGTTCTAGTCACGGCTGCAGCTACAACTGCTTACTGTAGGAGTAACCTATCCAACTCAATACAACGACTGTAACCTCACTTTTAAACTTCTCTGCGAGCATGAATTTCCCTCACATTTCATTATTGGTGCCCTTCTACAGCTACAACTTTTTGGAGTTTGGTTATTAGCTGATCAACTCCGGCTGATATTTGGCCTTAAGTTGCCTGTTAACTTCCTTATTTGATGTTTAAAGTCTCAGGTTAGTACGGAGCCCAGGAGGTGACATTGACTTTTGCATGTGTGGTTTAGTATCTCGCAGGTGCATTTTATTATATCACAGGTGCGATTTAACTGTTCATTATTAAACAAAATGACTTCCTGCAAGTCAGAATATCACCAACGGCAAAGTCCCTGTGCTGTAAAGATCCTGCTGAGGTGTCTCCAACTCAAAACAACACCAAATGTGGCAAAGCTATAAAGCCACAGAAAGAAAATGTTGACAATATGCTCTCTGCCCATGACACTGTCCTTCTTTAACAAATGAAGTGTGTGGAGGATTATTTACAAAAACGCATGTGTGAGACACTCATATCAGATGCATATAAGACGAACATTCAAGATACTCAATTGCACGTGCGAATTAAAAAATTAAAAGTTCATGTCACCTCCCAGGCTCCATAGGTGAGATCAAAAAGACATCAAAAAAGTTTTGTTTTGGAGTTTTAGAGTTTTTTCTGTATTGGTATTTGCCCTTTAAAAAATGTCATGGTGGACAGCATAGTATTGTTTTTTAAGTTTACGTGCAGTATGAACAGTTGGTCTTACTATGATCCCGTCAGTTATGAAAAGCATGGCTCCACCCAAAGCATGGAGGACAAAGAATGACGCTGGATGACTGTGGAATTTGGCAGGGTGACAGCAGCCAAAGAAACCCTCTTGACCTGAAGAGACAGAGACACTGAGAGGTCTGTAGTTTCACAGAAATAGGATGTTTACAAAAATACACACATACAGATTAAACCTCACCTTCGTCAATGTCAAAACTCTGACTTGTGCCGTATGTCGACTTGTTGTCAAGCAGAGGTTGACTTCTGCTGGAGCAAGGCAGCAGCCTCTCCAGGTACATCAGTGCTAGCACAGCAGCAGGCACAGGGAGCTGCATGGACACAAACACACACACACACACACACGAGGCTTGTAATGCAACATTTCCTGTCAGCTGATTTTAATTGTAAGCGTCTCCTTATAAAAGCAGAGTCCAGTCTGTCTCATCTCTCTTTCTGCTTAATACAACTACCGGTCAGACAGAGAAAGAGATGAAATTTCTGTCATCTTTGTCTAAGAGGCATTATCCTCATTTCAAAGCATCTGAAACGGCAATAAAAGCACAGCAAGAAGGAACAAAAGGATGCAAGTCTGTGCGGCTCTAAAGAATAAAAACCATAGACTGTATATAAAATGGACGCCGCCGGCCTCCTCGCTGGGTGAAACCACCACGAGAACAGCACCCTCTGGTGACGGGCTGCAGTATAGGTCATAAATCCCATCTCGTCCAGTAATCCCTATGGAGCTGTAGACAAACTTTTGAAATTAATTACACAGAATATAAACTTTTGACATATAGTTACAGTAAGACTGGTTTCTGCTCAAGTCCTCTTTTTTCTGTACAGCTCCATTTTTAAAAGTTATTCTGGGGTTCATGTTTACTATGTTTAACACTTGATACAGTCAATGAGCGTACAGTTTACGTAGCTTACCCGAGGAGTACGCTGAACGTCATCACAGCAACTCTCGGCAACTCTCCCGCTGAATGCGTACAATGCTACTGCGCAATATTGGTTTCAGGAAGTAAAGAAAAAAAAAAGGAAATACTGAGAGCTTTTCAGCTTCAAATTTGTTTATTATGATGGGAGGTGGAACCAAGTTGTCCATAGTTTATACAGTCTATGATAATAAAAAAACAAACATAATTTCTTTTATATAAACATTTACTTGTCATTTTGTTAGCTGTCAATAATACAGTACTCAAGGAGTACATCTGTACGGTAAATACTCTAAATATTGACCTGAATACTGTTTCCAAGGGAGTTTTCCACCGAGCTGTTTTTATAATCCTATTATGTTAAGCACTGACAAGTTAAGCCTACCAATTTGTCAGCCTTCTTTAAGATAAGCTGTTGGTACACTGATGTTTGTTGTTATATTTAATTTTATTGACTGTGTATGTTTTGATGAAACGTAAACACATTAAACCCAAACCAACACATCAGTACCTCACATTACTGCCCTCTGGAGGCAGGTACAGGACACTCGGATACAACAGAGCACAGCTTAAAAACAATCTCATACCCTTCGCCGTCAAAGCACAAAACCAATAGAACCCGAGTATCTCATCTCAACTGGAACTGAATTTTGTGTGTCTTTGTGTTTTGTGAACAAGATCTGAGATCTGGAGATCTGGAGCTAGGGTTAGGGTTGCAGCTAGGGTTAGGGTTAGGGTTATGGTTGGAGCTAGGGTTAGGGTTTGGGTTAGGGTTGGAGCTAGGGTTAGGGTTAGGGTTAGGGTTAGGGTTGCAGCTAGGGTTAGGGTTAGGGTTAGAGCTAGGGTTAGGGTTAGGGTTGCAGCTAGGGTTAAGGTTAGGGTTAGGGTTGGAGCTAGGGTTAAGGTTAGGGTTGAAGCTTGGGTTAGGGTTAGGGTTAGGGTTAGCAGCTAGGGTTAGGGTTAGGGTTACGGTTGGAGCTAGGGTTAGGGTTTGGGTTAGGGTTGGAGCTAGGGTTAGGGTTAGGGTTGCAGCTAGGGTTAGGGTTGGAGCTAGGGTTAGGGTTAGGTTGCAGCTAGGGTTAGGGTTAGGGTTAGGGTTGAAGCTAGGGTTAGGGTTACGGTTGGAGCTAGGTTTAGGGTTAGGGTTGGAGGTAGGGTTAGGGTTAGGGTTGTAGCTAGGGTTAGGGTTAGAGTTGTAGCTAGGGTTAGGGTTAGGGTTAGGGTTGGAGCTAGGGTTAGGGTTAGAGCTAGGGTTGAGGTTAGGGTTGGAGCTAGGGTTAGGGTTAGGGTTAGGGTTGGAGCTAGGGTTAGGGTTAGGGTTGCAGTAGGGTTAGGGTTAGGGTTAGGGTTGCAGCTAGGGTTAGGGTTAGGGTTGTAGCTAGGGTTAGGGCTGGAGCTAGGGTTAGGGTTAGGGTTTGGGTTAGGGTTGCAGCTAGGGTTAGGGCTGGAGCTAGGGTTAGGGTTAGGGCTGGAGCTAGGGTTAGGGTTAGGGTTAGGGTTGTAGCTAGGGTTAGGGTTAGGGTTAGGGTTGAAGCTAGGGTTAGGGTTGCAGCTAGGGTTAGGGTTAGGGTTATGGTTGGAGCTAGGGTTTGGGTTTGGGTTAGGGTTGGAGCTAGGTTTAGGGTTGGAGCTAGGTTTAGGGTTAGGGTTAGGGTTGCAGCTAGGGTTAGGGTTAGGGTTAGGGTTGGAGCTAGGGTTAGTGTTAGGGTTGGAGCTAGGGTTAGGGTTAGGGTTGAAGCTAGGGTTAGGGTTAGGGTTGGAGCTAGGGTTAGGGTTAGGGTTTTAGCTAGGGTCAGGGTTAGGGTTGGAGCTAGGGTTAGGGTTGCAGCTAGGGTTAGGGCTGGAGCTAGGGTTAGGGTTAGGGTTTGGGTTAGGGTTGCAGCTAGGTTTAGGGCTGGAGCTAGGGTTAGGGCTGGAGCTAGGGTTAGGGTTAGGGTTTGGGTTAGGGTTGCAGCTAGGGTTAGG